TTATTGCAGAACTACAAGAATCTGGTGCTAACCGATTCCGCATTCCGAGCCTCCGCTAGTCTTCCACCTCGAGGGAAGCGCATCAGTGCCATCGAAATTGCGAAAAGCGTCAACTGGATGATGATGCGGTCTGGACAGTACGGGTTTTTGAAAGATCTCTTCAGGCTTGTGTTCGGCTTCCAGGTTGAGGATGCTGAAAGCAGAAAGAATGCTTCTGTTGCGGTTTGAAGGCTTCTTAACTAGTCACTGGAACCAAACAAATTTGAGCACGACGCGGTAGATTCGGGACGGCACACGTTGACGTCCTCGCATATTCGCGTCAACACCGAGCACAGTTGGGTGATTTCGAGGCCTTTTCAGATGTCGGCCTCTTCAGCTATAAGTTGGCGGGGCACAGGACAATACCCAACCTACGATCTCGCCAACCAGCCTCGTCCCTTGGCCGTATTGGCATGGAGCTTCAAGGCATGGTCGAACGTGTTGAGTCACCAGCCAACTTCTCAAACAGGAAATGCCCTCGCTGTTCCCATTGACCGCCCACATGATGGGACAGAATAGATGTACTTACCGTCGCCTACTTGGAAGCGCAAGCAAACCCCCTCGTAGGCCTCCTTACCACACAATAAAATGGCCTTGGACATCAACTGTCTGAGCATGCAGGAAACTTCGGTTGGCCGCATGAATCAGCACTTCGTACTTTTTTCTCTATTCGGAGATCAATCCTTCAGTCTGGACATGTCGTTCACTGTTCACTACTTGCCTTGATTTTGGAAATCTGGGGTTAGGCGCTTGGCGGTTGGTTGTCTCTTTTTACAATTGTAGCCTTGGTTTTTTAATTGTATCGGAATGATTTCGGAACGCTATATATATACCCCCTTTATTTGTTGAGGAGCATGATGAGGTGGAACGAAAGGGCGGCGGGACGGCATCGGGGCGTGAATATAGTCAATGATATTTGCTTGTATTTTGGTGTTGGTGGGCCACTCATCATTCTTTGACTATCTATCTATCTGCCCAGTTGGGCGTCAAAAACTTGTTGGTTTAGATACCTATTCGTATTCCTTTGTGTCGCCCATGTTGGTGGTGACTTCTCAAGAACATCACATTGGAGATCGGACAAAGGGTGGTAGGTGTTTACGGATATTCAGAATCAACGGAAGGAAGGGTAGGTAAGCAAAGTGTAAGGTTAGTTTTACTTCATATTCGTTATACAGCGACTATCATACATAGGTATCGTCGTAGTTAAAGCTGGTAGGTACGTAGGTAGTCAGGCGATCGATAAAGGTACACCGCTACGTACGTAAAGGCCATGTCAACATGGGTGAATACTGAACAGATACACACTGCTGGACTTGGATAGAATAATACCAATATTCTTCTAGCTCTGTGTGTGAAGTATCTATCTATCCCTTTTAACACCCTCCATCTGTTGATGATGAGGGGGGAACGAAGGCAAAGTGCATAGAAGAAGGGCGGAAGAGTTGGGGTTGTCAAGAGATCCTTGGACTAACACAATATCAAGTTAAACGTTCTGTTCATTCTCATTTTTCTACCAACTCGACACCTGGGGTATGAAAGAAGCAGTTTCCCAAATACATTCTCACGGTATCCTTGAAAAGCTATGAAACTCCTTTTAGACTGACAACCTGCTCGATCGCAAACAACCGAGCGTCCCTGTTGATTCTCCACCACGGTATGATCATGCACCCAACTCCCGTAAAGGCGACGGTAATCGCCGTTGTCCCTCTACCTCCCTTCCCTCTTCCATGATCCATCTTTCGAGGTCCACACTGCGTCGGGCATCAAAGTCTCGACGTCGTGCTTATGATGTTCTGTGTTATTACGAAAGAACAAAAGTTCCTTTCCGTTGCGAGGAAAACGTGGTCTCCGTTTACTTCATCTTCTTAGGGACATCATCCTGCTGGGTGCGGCCGTATTTCTCGGCAAGCTCATCGTACTCGCGGTGAAGAGAGGCCGCCTGCTTCTTGAGAGTCTCGATGTCCTGGTCGCGGAGCTGGATCTCGCGCTTGAGACGGGAGATCTCACCGGGGTCGCCGGCCATGGCGAGCTTCTCGGACTGCTTGGTGTTCTTGTCGGTACCCTCGAACTTCTTGAGCTTCTCCTCGAGACGGAGGACTTCAAGGATCATGATGTAGGTGCGGTTGAGGATCAAGGAGAGGAAGAGAGTGAAGCCGCAAAGGTACATGTTGCGCTGGGAGTAGAACTTGCGAGCCTGGACTTCGAGACGCTCGTGGCCCATGATGGCGGCACTGTTGGATGTTGTTAGTTTTCTGGTTGTATTCAAGGGAAGGAGAACAGGTGTACGTACGCGTTACCCTTGGAGGCATCGGTAGCAGCGGCAAGTTCAACTTGCACACGGTAGACTCTGTTCACGCTGTCGATGAACAGGATGAGGATGAATATGAAGGTAATCTTTAGACCGTATTGTAGCTTTGCTATGAGTGGATTTTCGGAGATGAATGTGAACAGCCTCCTGCGAATGGCGAAGGGCAGAGGAACGATGAGGAGCATGAAAATGCTCATCTCTGCTACTAGGAGCATGAAGACCTACAAAGCAATCGCGTTAGCCAGTTCTGTCCATGAGCATCGCCGTATCGTCCTCTCTATCTAGCGACGTGATGCGGCTGCCACGGCGAAGGACACAGTAAACACATACCAAACTGTAGTAAAGCGTCATCTTGACGGTTGCGGGGGGACTCGCGAGTCCTTGTGTTCAGATCAGTGTTTAGGTGTAGTAAATGGGTTTGGGATTGCGACCGAATGCGCGACTGTTGTCTTGTGAATTGGTGTTGGTGTTAGTTTGGCGATGATGCCGGAGCTTGGAGGAAGAATGATGGTTCAAAGCAAGAAGAAATAAGGACAGAAAACACGGCGACAGGTCACAGCAAAGAAATGAGGTCTCCTGCCAATCTGGAGCTTGGCTTGGGCAGTCGGGTGCACTTGCAAACTTCAGGTTGCTGTGGGCAGTGCAGTGCGTTGAGTGGGTAGGTCGGCGGGACAGGTGTGACGTGTTTGGTCCGACTGGCAGGGCCTGACAGGTGGGCTGTTGCTGGTTTTCGAGGACGGGAGCTTCGTCAGGGAAGGGCCGGAATGCCAGGGTCTGTAAATCATCAACGTCATTGCTTGTGGCTTGAACGCTCATCCCAGTCGTATCTTCAGCCTCTTGTTGATCGGGGTTCGAGCTTGGCTGTGGCTGGAGCGAGATGAGTTCAGCTCAGCTCAGCGGATCAGTTCAAGTTGACAGCTTCTGACATGTGCTTCCGCTGCACAGGCCAAGTGCCAACTGCCAAGCAGACTTGAGTTTTAGGGGCTCGGGAGCACCCGAAAAGGCGCAGTTTGAACCCTAACCCTTACCACGATGTGAGACTCGGGGCTTCGGCCGCTGTTGACACTTGACGTGATTTCATTTTTCTCGTCGCTTGCAAAGTTGAAAGCTGGGAGTTGGCCAGCTGGGTTCTTTCGTTTACCCCTGGCATGATCGGTCAAAGGGGTTTTGATCGAGTGTTTGCTCCTCTGTTGTGATCTGAAGAAGAGCCAGGACGCATGTTCACGAAAAGATCCTATCTCAAATGCAAAAAGCAAGGATGAGGAGGGACAAAATACTCTGGGATAAAGTGTGTGCAGAGGGAGCGCCCTGGAAGCCACTCCGATTCTCCAAATCCATTTTAAACCCCCGCTCGCGGCTCAAGCCAGCGTGTTTCATGTCAAGACCTCTGCACATCGTCACCTCCAAATAATATCTAGGCCGTCGTCTTCTCCGTATCTTCCATCCCGTCATCTACGGACTGGGGTTCGATCTTTTGACGATCCCGTTCGACCTTCCTCTGAGGTTAGGGACCTGCCAGAATAACGACGGCGAGCCCGATCATGAAAAGATATGGAGACTTGCGAGTCATTTGAGATCCATTGATGCTGCTAGAATGCGGTTGCATGAAAACGGTATTTTCTTTATTTTCTCTCCCCTCCATCGCTCCCTGCGCCGATCTCCTCTGTTCATATTGATACAGATTGCTGAGCAGCACATCCCGCGCCGCATCTCCGTCTCTGCCGTATGAGGCACCAGTACGTGGAATGCGGTGTACACATGTACGTATCGGTATCAGGAATACGACCCCCGAGAACGAAGAGTGTCGAGACCATGGGGGGGCATTCGACGAGCACAACCGATAGGCTACAGCCAACGCCGCCGGCTCGCCAATCATCCATACGAATTCTTCACGAGAGAGTCCTATCTGCGCCTCAAAAAGCAGGTCGGAGCCAGTTGTCCACATTCGGCTGTAATCCGCAGTGCGGCCCGCTGAGGGAGAACCAACATGCATCCTCCATCCAGGGGCATGCAGCACCCTCAACCCCAAAATGCCCATCACACCTTCTTATCTCTTCAGGTGAAGAAAATTCACGACTCCATTCCCGAAAAAGGTACATACCTTGATGAAGCGTGGATAGTTGCCTGAATGCAAGCAGGGAGCAGCAAGTGCTGAGGTATCCGCTGTAGATGCTGGGCTCCTGGGCGATCTTCATCAATTGGGTTACCATAGTATGTGGAATGGTCCACCGTGGAAGTCCACATCTTAACCAGCCCTCATTTTTCTTCCATGTTCTCCCCCGAGGCCGATCCTAGCACCCACGGGGCCACGGGGGGCTTGGTACTTGTATATATCTCGCCGACCACCTCGCCGGTATGCATGATCCCTTCCAAAAAAAGTTTAAAGTCTTTTAGAAGTCTTGCCGGAAACCCGTTCTCATTTTTCTCTCGTTTAAAGCCATTTTCCCTCACGCCAGAAAGCGAGCTGTCTTTCGTTCCCGCTCGTCATCCACATCCAACAACAGCAACTGTCAGCAAAAGTTCGCCCACGATAATACGAGGCAACCCTGCTATTTTCGGCGAACCGACCAGCTTATATATACACCGTACCTCGAATCGACCATACCTGTCTCGTGAGGCATCCTTCAGTCACTCGCTCTCCTCAGTCTCAAAAATGAAGTTCCAACTCCTCGCCGTCTTCTCTCTCATCGCCATTGCTTCAGCAAGACCCATTGTTTGCCCAGATGTACGTTCTCCTTCCTCTCGAACATAAACTACACATATGCTGACGCTATTAATGTAGGCCAAGCGCGATGCTATCCTCAAAGGTGACCTACCAAAGGAGGCATGCTGTAGCTACGGCCGGTGCTTGGGAGATGTGGTGATTGCCTCGTCATGAAAGGGCTGTTTCAAGAACAATCTGTAACCGAAAACATGGCTGTTCGAAACATCATCACAACCGTCTTCATTCCCCAACGGAACGGAACGTCTTGAAGCATTCCAATATCCGCCCTCGCTTGCACCATCCACCACCGTCCAGGGCGTTCACCATTTTCGGCCATTCCTTTTCTGGCACACATGGCCCCATCTGCGCTCGTATCTGGGCTCAGCGACTCCACCGGGACACGGGACGACACCGGGATGGACGGCATAATCCGACGAACATGGCCCATGGAGATGGTTCTCACCGACTGATCGACCGACCGACGACCTATCACCTTTTATCTAATCGACATCGGCCCGGTTCTTTGATACCCCCGGAGCCAAAGCACATACTCACACACTCCGCATACCATCATCTACACTACACACACATTCTTCACATGGATTTGGTTGTCGTTCAGCCAAAAATTATTCGACGCACATACGATATCTTTCTACGATTACTAAGTCACCGACGACTACTCGATGAGACGCTGTATGGATGGCATTGAAAGCGATCCGATTCAGACATCCTTATGCCAACGGGGAATTTCGACATTTTATCCATTATTCAACATCATAGAGAGAAGGGAGGGGAGGGGGGATGAGAGCAAAATGATTTGACATGAGAGGGCGTGTTGTCCTGCCGATTTTTCGCAGCACGGCTCGGGACATCAGATGTCTGGCGTGTGACTGCCACGAAGCATTAGAGGGAGTTTTTGGAGACTACCTATGAATTAATGTTTTATACCTTTTCCTTCGCCACAAAATTCTCGCATTCTTCACGACTGGAGCCGGCCACACCCAGGGGCATGTGTATGAAGTCACATCAGCTTGGATATGGGTTACGTAGATACTAACCACACTTTGACTGTACATAGCTTACACCGAGAGAATTCATGGTATTCTCTTGCTGAGAAAGGCAAGTCATGCTTGTAAGTAAGCCTGAATTTTACTGCGAACATCATCATCACATCTTGCTTGCCGTCCACTCTTATATCCGGTTTAGGCTATTCTTTTCACAAAGAGATGTCGGCAACAGACACCAAACAGTCCCGAGCTTGTTCGGTGATAGTATCACCAACTCCTCGTGTCACTCTCAGTTCCACACCAGCCAGGCCTTTCACCACAACCATCAATCATCCATGGACGGCGGAAACTCCGGGACAGTGATCATATCAACCGCCCGTCCATCCCGCTTCCAGACCTTCCCATCCTTCATCACAAACCCCACCTTCCTCAGCGCCTTCCCATCCTCTCTCGGATCCGCGTCCAACGCGATGATATCCGCCCTACACCCCTTCTCCCACCAGCCAAACCGATACCCCGTCAACTCCCCGCCGCACGCCTCCCACCCGCCCACCGTCGCCATCTCCAACACCTCCTCTAGGGGAATCCCCGCCTTGACAAACAACTCTATTTCGCGTGCATTCAGCCCATGATCAATCACCCCCGTATCGCCCCCCGTCACCACCCTCACCCCCGCGTCTACTGCTTTTTTCACAGCCGCAAGGCACGCCTCCATAAACTGCGGCGCGGCACTCTCCACCGTCGCCAGCGTCGGCACCCAGATCGTTCCCTGCCTCTTCATCTCCTTCAGGACTTCATCCAACAACCCGTTGGTATCTTCAAACATGTGTTCCACAGTCGTCACGCCCGCCCGCGCCGCCATCAGCGCGGCCTTGGTCTCGCCCGCGTGCGCGGCCACAGGGAGTTGAGCTAGTTTCGCTTCGCGCACGATGGCGTCCATCTCGTCCTGCCCAAAAAGCGGCACAGCAGGGTTGCGCTTGCGCGGGTCGTCGGGCGGGAAGAGGATGGGTTGGTTGGAGGTATTCGAGACCCCGGGACCGGGGAAACGCATTACTTTGCGGCGGTAGTCGGCGTAGAATTTGATGATATCCGCGCCGTCGCCTACTCTGCGCCGGACACCGGCGCGCACCCCGTCGACACCATCGCACGGGTCGGAGGCCCGCGGGACGAGGAGCCCACCACTGCCACTGCCGGAGAGGGACTTGTTCTCGCGCCGGATCTCGTAGGAGCCGTTGGAGGCCAAAGCGTCGGTTGCCACGAAAAGGCGGGGACCCGGGATTAGACCCCGGTTGATGCAATCACGTAGTTGCGCGTCGGCGGGGCCGAGGGCTTCGGTGCCGAGGTCCCGGTAGGTGGTGAATCCTGCGAGCAAGGCGGCGCGGACGTGCGAGGTGGCGCGGAGGATGCGTTCGACGGGGGAGGCGTCGCGCATTTGTTCTATGGAGGGGCGGTCGCTGGTTCCTTACTTAGTGATCTGAATTGAACGTACCTACCTAGGTAAGGTCGGGGAAAGGAAGCGGGGAGCTTACACATACGAATGCAAAAAAACATGCGTATGACTATCCACCACACCGGGCAGGACGCACTTGCCGCCGCCTCTTAGGTCGATGTCCCCGGCTTGGATCTGAAGCCGAAGGTCATCGTCGTCGTCACGTTCGTAAACATTGGCTATGGAGCCCGTGTCCCGGTCGATTTCTATCGAGATGTTCTTCCGGAAGGCCTTTTGCTTGGGGTCGAAGAGGAGGGAGGAGTGCACCGTGAAGGTTTTGGGTGGTGGCATTACGCGAAGGGTCATCCCGAAGGTAAGGAAAAGTGGTCGGTCGTTTCAAGCAAGTGGTGTGGTGTATACAATGAATGGGCTGTACTTCTTGATCGGAAATATCTGGAAATATGACTGAAGAATTCAGGGACGTAAACATACGAAAAGGGGCACATGCCTTTGTTTATGTACCCAAGAGCTAGCCCCTGTAGCTCCTACATAGTAGGTCGATACTAGCACGCGATAATGTGCTCCTCATGTTGATGTTACCTTGACGGCTAGGACGGGTACCTTGATGGTTACCCTCTGTCGGTAGGCAAGCCTGCCGCCCCTCCCCGGGAATACGTACGAACATGGTCGGTCTTGCCCAGGGGCATGGACACGCAAGCGAGTGCGCTGTTGGGCTTACTCTGCGAACCAACGGTTGCTTGCTTGAAGGCGATAGTCCGTCCTGATTCTGTGTGAATCCATATTGTAGATCCAGCTAAATGCTGACATTAGCCGATTTATGACCGCCAACAACACTTTGCGTGACGCGGAAAAGTTGGGAACACGACGAGAATATGCATAAACGCGAAGAGGTATACGCTCCATTGGCACGACCACGTAGTCCCTGCCGTTCAAACAATACGAAATCCTTTCCCATTACTGGTCCCATGGATCTGGAAGGCAACGCGGAGAGGCGACCTTTGTATCATGAAACGTGTTGTTGGTTTAACATAACACTGTTGTCGTTGTATTACCTGCCGGTAAGATACCTATCCCAATGCTGACGATGCCCTTAATAATTCCAATGCCCAGTTGTTCATGTCCCATCATTCCAAAGCAAACAATAATCATTTTTCTCCCCCTTTTCTTCCATTACTTTTGTCCCGGCAAGCTCGCGCCCTTCTTCTTTAGGATCTCCTCCTCTTCTGCTTGGATCTGTGCGTCGATCTTGGCACCTCGGGATGGCTCGTTGCCGTGGTCCTTTGCCTGTTCAAGGTTAAGGTGTTAGCCTGCCTGTTTCTCTTGGTTATTGGAGAGAGCTACACCTACGGGGAGTGTTGGGTCCTTCTTGTGCAACTGTGTCTCTCTGCTGTCCTGTTGCGAGTCGTCGGCGGCCTCTGCTGCGGCCAGACGGTTCTTGATTGACCTCTCGTCCTTAGAGTCGATGTTATTGTGGGCGTGGACCTGGCCCTCGTTGTAGCGGTCGGGGGTCTCGATCTCGGACTGCTTCGCATTGCGCTGGTCACCGGCCTCGTAGACCTGGGCGTTTCCGACGTTGGAGTTCATATTGCTGGATGTTCTGCTGCTGGGGTGTTGCTGAAACTGTACGTTTGGCGGGAATCTGAATCCTGGAGTATTGCACATGAACAAATGCTTGTGGTATGATGTTTGATGATGTTGTGAACGATGTTGTTCAAATTGAATGCGGAACAAAGACAAAAGAACAACCTGCGGCTACTTGCCTCTACTTATACCTAACCTCCAAACCTCCAAAAGACGACAAGAGGAAAGGACGCCTGCTGGTCATGGGGTCCACGGACTGTACGTCATGCCAGGGCCACTCAGCTTCCACAGCTCACCTCCCACTGAATGGGGCTGTCTGTCCATCATGTGAAGCTCAGTGGAGGGCAGTTGCCCGGATGTATGGATTTGGTGATGGATTACAGTTATGGTATGGTAATGATGCGACGCCCGCAGGGCAGGCTTGTTTTGGCTTTGGTCCTATCATTTACGTCATTGATCGACAGGGCGCTTGGTGATTGCGGGGAAGCCAAAGTGCGCTAAAGTGTTTGCGGTATTGCATCTTTTTGCCCGACAAAATCGGATAGAAAATCATGTAGCTGAATAAGATGAATCCAACAAGAACAACCACAAACTCCGCCGTGTGTATACAGTCACAACACAGCGGTTGTAGAGGGCGGAACAGATAAGAGTTGTTACCGTCAGCACCTTGATCAAAGTGCTGGGATATGCGGAGGGAGGGGCGCCAAGGCGCTCCATGTTTAGGTGGGTGGGGCCCTGCGGGAGATCCCACTTGTGGGGTGGGGGGTCGAAACTTGAAGGGCAGGTCCAAGCCATTGTCCAGAGAGTCCAGGAACCTCTCAACTGTCAAGGTCAAGAAGTCGAGATGAAGCAAAGGACACTGCGGAAAGAGTCCCGGAGTATGTACCCGTATCATACCGGCATCTTCCCTCTTCTACTGTGTAGAGGTCTGAGGTGTAGAGCAGTCCAGGTGAAACTCGAACTTGAGCATTGAAACAAACGGGAGCGCCAATCTGGTCATGACTTTGATACAGTTGGTAGGTAGGTAGAAGAAGAAATGCACTCATCCTGTCCGTAGGCTCTGGAAAGGAAGTTTACAGATCAAATCTGCTGTCCTGTGATTCGTGTAGATCTTGGACATTTGAGACGAAGAGGCACAGATACTCCGACAGCAAAGACCCAAGTACATTATGTTGTTGGCAAACGATGAATGCATGCTGTAAGCTGTCAAAGATGGGCGATTCCATTGATGAGGAGGAACGGGCTTGTTGGTTTAGAACAATGTTGGATACCTCTACCGGTAGCTCCCATAGGTATCAAGCGCCATGTGCTCCCTCCCACCGGCTGAGAGACATCACCCCAAGGGACTTGAATCTTAAAAGATGCACCTGGCATGAGTGCACAAAAGTATGGTTCCTTGTCATTTGTCTTGTGAGCCCGTGTATAACGCAAAGTTCTGCTTACAGCCCATCGCCCTCAAACAACAAAACATGGTCACTTCTGAAGGAAGCTCTCAAAGTGAGGATGGAATCAGGTACGGGCTGTGCGATGTGGGGTCGGAGTGGTTGCCGGGCGAGCCTGGCTGGGCCTAGTCTGAACTCCATATTTCATCCCGATTGGGCAATCCGAGTTGAGGCTTAACGCGTGGCCCAAGCTCCCAGCTCAGGTTTCCATTCGTGGACGTCACCCAAACACTTTCTTCCAGTCATCAACTACACACCAATCATCGAAGACCATCATCAACAGCCTCTCAGTCAAGTCAAAGATATCTTTCACTTCTATACCCGGAATTCCCCCAGTCTCATTACCAAAATGTTCAAGTTTGTAAGTGGCCATACATACAGCTGCGAAACAGCCATAGTACAGCGAGAATGTGCACTGACTCAACTCGGCACATGTAGCTCCAGCCCAAGGTGCTTGACGCCATCACGCTTTTCCACAAGGCGAGCAATCCTGCATCCATCAGGATTGCCACTCTCCTCAAGCAAGCCGCAGGCTCCGGTGCTACTGTTTCCGACAATGCGCCCGCCAAGAAGGCCGACTTTGAGCTCAACATCACCGAGGAGGCACCCACCACTGAACAGCTCAGAACCATCTTGGACTATGTGGGCAAGACGGGCATTCCATCCATCATCAGCAATGCCCAGAATGAGACAGAAGCCCTGAAGAAGTTCAAGGAGAACGCCGATAACCTCAAGAGGCCTATTGTCCGTCTCTCCCCTCCCGCCTTGAGTACATACCTAGGCAGCTTACTGACCAGATTACCTTTGACTGCAGGTGGTTGACTGGAACAACGGCAAGGTCTTCACTGGCGACAACGAGTCTGCCATCCTCAAGTTGTTGGAGGATCTCCCCAAGAAGAACTAATGCTGATGCGCATTGTCCCGTTTTTCTGTTCTCCTTTTTCCGATTCTGTTCTTGTCCAGAAGATACTCCTCTCCTCCCCGTCTGTTCTGTAAATATGTAATCGGCATTGTTGTTCGTGCTCCTCTCACCGAAGCACCTTTACTTTATAAACACCAAGTGGTTGAATGAAGCAAAAAGAAGTCTTTCCAATCAACTGGGCAAACCTGTCCGATACCAGTGGACGATTGCCTCTTTTCTTTCTTATGATATGGTGAGCGCCATTGGGGCTAAAAATGTCGTGAGCAAAGATCGAACGAAGAGGTATCAGCATTGATATCGATGCATCCACACATCGGACATCCGCACAATGCAATGTCCGGATCCATCGATAACAAGGAGAAGGAGAAGGTGGTGATTAAGCAGCAGGGCACTAGAGGGGCTTGCGGGAAAGGGTTTCGGCGAAAGTTTCATGCTATCGTCCTGCACAGGTTCGGTGCGTTCTCCCACGTCTTCGTGCATGGTAAATCCGGGCACGGTAATATCGGGCATGGTAAATTGGCTGGCAGCATGTCCGACGAATACGTTTGCCGGTAAAATATTCGGGCAGAAGCTCAGCCCTCCCCTCACTTTCCGGTCAACAACACTTCACCTCGAAAACAATCTTCCATTCACTCGTGCAGTGTCCGGGCAGTCCTCGAACATAAATCCCCAGCACTAACCATTCCCCCCCACCCTTTTTCTTCCTCCCAGAACAACCTTCCACAGCCCCGCGTTCTGTCTGATCACCATCAACACAGGACAGCGAGTCTTTCTACCGTCCCAGTAACTGACCGACAAAGATACTCGCTTCCAATCAACTCGTTGCAGCAGCCTTCTTCGCGAAGCGCATACCCAGCTCTTCACAAACCGTCACCCCGCCAACGCTGAGCTTGATCGAGCTCCTTCCAGCAACTTTCGCTCGTCGGCAAAGGTCTTTGCAAATCTGATTGACTTGAAAACAAGGTTATTTGCCAGCACGTCTACTTATTTGTCACAGCAGAATCTGGTCCAGGTCGCCGAAAAGCCAAGCTTGCGGTATATCACCATCCAGCTTACCCCTCTTCAACAAAATGGCTCGACACGCTACTCGTCAAGGTGTTCTTGTACTCACCTCCGACAAGATGCCAGCCCCGACCCCAATCACCGAGAAGCCAAAGATCGGTTTGTACACATACTTACCGTCCGGGTCGAAGTGCGCCTTTTCGTTACATGCAGGCAAGCCTGCTTTGAAACATACGTTGCCCGCTCGCGACACACCACGCAACTGGTCTTCTCAGAAGGTCCAGGAAGTTGCAGCAGAGATCCGCAGCCGTCAGCCCGATGCTGTCGAAGGCATGACTATCCCCTGTTACTGGGAGGACCTTCACCAGTACTTCCACCCGATCGATCTGTGGTACAAAGGCGCTTTTAACCTCAAGGAGGTGGTCTTCCGACTCCTCAAAGAGAATGAAATCTGCATGTGGGTCGAAAGCTGGCTCACCTGGCAGCAGAATCGCTACAGGCTGAGTTGCTGGGATACCACCAAGGATATCATGTCGGTGTTCGGTCCGTCTGAGTGGGCTAACATCTACGCCCACGGTGTTACTTTCCCGAAAGATTGCGTTGCCTTCTTCTGTGACCAGCTGGAGTATTGGTATCACTACTATCGCAACCCGGACATTGTGGCCGTGAACTCCCCAGGCATTGTGGCCAAAATCTCCCCGGACATTGTGGCCACTATCCCTCCAGAGGATACATTGCAGCTTGATTGTCAAGGTAAGTTCACATACCACTGCTGCCCTCTGGCCTTCCTCCGATAGCTTAGCGCGAGACAAAGCCATCCAACTAACTCCTTGCAGGCGCTCCCGTGACATCGTCTCCTCCTCTCGGCAATTCCTCTTTGACGGTGGCTCATCCGCCCTTCGCACGCGCTGCGTCAGCATCAATCCAAGCCACGGCCCCTGACTTTATCCCTTCGATCAGACGAAGTTCATCGGACCTTTGCGACAAATCTGCTGACAGCAAGGTTGAGACTCCAGCCAATAGCGAGCACGACCAAAAGGCGAACAAAGTACAACACAAGCCGTCAAAGTCAGGCCCAATCCCAGAGTCTGAAGTCAGCAAACTCCAAGTCGAGACGGGAATTGCAGGTCCATCTCGTCTTCCTAGCAGAGTCTCGCAGCAAATGCCAGCTCCATCCAAGTCCTCTGCTACTGTTACTGAGGTGCCCCATACCGGGAATGTTCTCCCAAGCAAAACTCAGCTTGGAAGCGCCAACCCGCACACTCAAACTCGTGACCAGAATGCTTCCAGCCGTATTACTTCCGGCCGTCTTCCTAATCAGCCCGCCTCGGTATCCCAAGCGCAAGGCCAACAGAAGAAGAAAGGAACCGACCAGAAGCCCAAGAACGGGTGGTCTCACTTGCGGAATGATCCCATACACGGTCCAATCAGGCAGCATCATAAACAACCTCAGGGCAGCAGCAACACCAGCACCCATCAAACTTCGAATCGGGACAACCACCATACATCACCCCAGGAACCAGCGGCCAACTCTATTCCTCAATGTCCTAACCTTGGGAAATCGGGTTATCAGGCCGTCTGGGAACCTTGCGAGTGCAATATTTGCAACAAGAAGAATCGTGGTGTTCGTGCTCGCCTTGGCCAAGGAACAATGTTCACGCCGACCAAACTGAAAGCCGTTGAGGATTATCTCCGTCAATTTGGGAGCATTGAAGGCTGCAGCGCATCATCGAAATATCATCACAGCAAGCTGATTGCATATGTTACGTGAGTATCTGCATACTTGAAATACACGGAAACGCTTAAAGACTTACGCTGACTTGTGATTTAGTTTCCGGAAGGAAGAAGATGCGGTGAAGGCCGTGAACGTTGGCAATGGTGCCCAAATTCAAGATGGCACCGGCTGTCTCCGTCTGCAGCTCGAGCACCCTTGGGTCACCAAACACTGGCGGTGTCAACCTCAGCAACGCGAGGCTGAAACTGGACCACAACCAACCAAGGAACCTGCACAGCTTCATGAGCGCACACCTTCTGTCACTTCTAGCCAGAAGGCTGGCTATCTTGGCAGTGGCGGTTCAGCCCGTTTGCGCAATGCCAGAACTTCTTCGAGGCATTCATCTATCCCGGAGACTGATCCCTTTGTCGGAGGAAATCCGAGGAGTTTTGGGAAAATGCTGCAAACCACAGGGTCGCATATCCAACCTCAACATACTGCAGTGCCTCTTCACTCATTACATCATCCCCATCATCCGCATCATCCGCATCATCCCCCTCATCCCGCTCATCTCCAGCATCCCCATTGTCATGCTCCTTCGCCCTACAGGATGCCTGCTCCATGCAATCCTGCTCAACCCGTTCCTTTCCATCCTGCTCATATGCCTTACACCAGTCCTAGCCACTTTGTCCTTACATATCCCCTACCGCCTCCCTTTGGCAGCGGTCCACCGACAGTGCCACCGGTAGCGTCACCGGCACACCTTCCAGGGTCGCCTAGGACTCATCCGTGGCCACAAGGTTTGGGAGTCCCGACTGTTCATCATCAGCCTAGAATGCCAATGGTATATACCCCTTGGCCCGAACAACCCCCGCATGGACCTTATCCTGGTGGCCCCCATCAACATGGGCATATGCCCATTCATCTTGGACAGCCGGTAGGACAGCCGGTAGGACCGTCGGCAGGACCGTTGGCAGGACCGTTGGCAGGACCATCGGTAGGGGCACCGGCAGGACCATCGGTAGGGGCACCGGCAGGAGCACCGGCAGGACCACGGGCGGAGCAGATGGCCAATCAGTCATCAAATCAGATCGGACATTCACACGTTGAGCATCACCGAAGAGAAGGTTCACATGCGCAGACTAAGAAACCTGCCGAAGTGTGCTTACTGCAAGAGGAGGAGTTACCATCCTCAAGAACCTCCAATTCCTCTAGCTCCCACGGAATTCCGGTGAGACTACCTTCATCTCGTAGTACATTGGAGGAAATCCGGCTCGAGCAAGAGAGAGCTTCCGCTCCGCAGCAGGGCTCGGGCGGCGAAGGCCAACAGGCTGAAATCTATCAGGAAGGCAGAGGACATCATGAAACCCACATCGTCGGCGATTAGGAGACGTCGATGAAGTTAGGATCAGATGAGCAACTTCAACCTTCCAACAATCGGAACTCGGGACAACCCGAAAACTTGGACGAGATAACTGGAACAGTAATACGGCACAAACCGACCGGTAGGCAAGCTTTGCCGTCTCAGTGGCTCGCCCAAGCACCAGTTATCCAAGATGAGGCGTCTGAGAGAAACTCGGGCCCGACAGATGTTGTTTCACCCGTGGCAGAGCCTCAGGAAGCAGACAAGGAACAGAAGTTGCCCGAAAACGGAAAGGGCAAGAAGAAGCCTACCAAAAAGAAGAAAAAGGAGAATAGTGCCGCACAGGGGGCATGCTCTCAGACCACTTCGGGGGACTTGGGGAATTCGGTGGACACAAGTCAGGCTGCAAAGGAGGAGTCACAACCGGCGCCAGTTGTCGTTGCTGACAGCAAGCCCACGCAGGCCTCGCAAGATGAGTCTAAGAAGGTGACTAAGAAGAAGAAGAAGCCTGTGAAGAGAGGACCAAGTGCCACTGAGCAAGCTCCCGAAATCTTCATTGCTCCTGTCGAGAGCGCGCGGGCTGAGAGCGCCCCCGTCTCGAGTGCCCCTGCCAAGAGCGCTCCCGTTGAGAGTGCTGATACCCCCGAGACCACAGCAGTCATCGATAAGAACGAGTCTGTTCCTGCTGCTATCGCGGCAAAGCCGTATCGTGCTGATGCCGGTGGCTCTCTTCACGTCTTCCGGCAGCGTTACAAGCCAGCCATCAGGGATATTTTCAAACCGCACCAAGACGTAGAAGACATATCCGAAGTATCAACTGCAGACAACACTGAGCAAGGCACAAGTTCAACTAGCATCGCCCATGAAACTTCGCCAGAGCGCAAACAAGAGCCAACAAAGGTACAAACGAGGAAGAAAATCCACGGTAGCTTCGGCAATCTCGACGTGGGCTTCAACCCCTGGCCACGTGCCCCTTCAGGAGAGGTTTGGAGTCCTTCCAAACGACCTACCGCGGCCCCTCCCCTCAACAAGCGCTCAACGACGCCGCAGCCGCCTCAGGTCATAATAGAGCCAGCGGTTGATACGGTGACAGAGCATGGCTTGCCGACTCCGACCAAAGTGGCTTTTAAGGACACCGTCACGGAAATGGGTCTCGGAGAGGAGATTTATGCCCATCGTAGAGGTACTGGCTCGAAAAAGCCGTCGGGTTCGTCGTTTGTGTCGATGGCTGAGAGTCAGTATACTAGTGTTAGCAGGTTAGTACTTTGCCTTTTGTTTTCGCTGACTTGCTTGTGACTGTGGAACAATGCTAACGTTATTGATGCACATATAGCTACCACAGTGCCCGGTCTACCTTGTCGTCGGGAGAGAATACTCCTCCTGAGAGCACGCCTCCTGCCTCGCCTTAAGCCTTTTCGTACTACCGCTTGGGTCTGATAAATAATGGAGGAACAAGAGTCGCAGTCACAGCCAGCGGTCTTTCGGAGTGTCGTCTCGTTCCACTGGATGTTTCGATCCTCATTTCTTACTCTCGGGTCTCTTCATTTTCTTTTTCTTTCCTTCTTTACGTATGTATCACATATTTGCTTCTCCCTTATTTGAGCTTGGGCAACGTCAAGGTATGGACAGGTGGTGTTCCTGAATGCAGACAAGTTGGTCAACCGTCAATAGACAACCATGTAGTCTTGCGTTTCAGTACATAGTCGACACATCTGTTCATCACCCGCTTTCTAGCGGCAATTATTCTCTTCTCTATCATAGCATACATAGCCAATGTCCTCTGGTCTACTCTACGGTACAGGACAACCTTAATAATTAGTCCAGTTATAATTCTCCCTTTTGTCGCCATCTATATGATGTGATTTCACACAGTGATTGCTGCTGTTGTGAGAAAGAGATGAGCCATAAGTAGGTAGACAGACCCTCAGGCGGGGAGGTCGAGCTTGATGACTTGGGCGCCTTTCTCCGTTCCCGAAAAGATCTTGGATCGGTGAGTCATGGTGTACAAACGTAAAGGCTACTAGAAGTTGTCGGGTTCTTCGTGCGCTGCAAAGGGTAAGGGGCCTTGGACAGCAAGTATATTAGATTCGTGGCTCCCGTCTCATCACCGAGGTAGAAACGATGGTCTGCGAATATAAGTAAGTATGAGTCCAAGTTCCCTATTGACTAATTCGCAGAAGGAACGCGAACGGTCTGGGTAACCGCACATACCTCCAGAGTTCACATTCGTGAAGCAGGTGGCCCCAAGACCCACGTCATCGTCAACTAGCGGTCCAGATCTAGGTTGGTTGCAAAATACAGTGTCCCAAGTTTATGTACGTTGATTCCAAAACCCAAGACCGGTTTCTCGCAGCTGTGAACAGCTGTCGCTTATTTTATATCAACGCCTCCAAGGCACTTAGGGCGTGATCCGTTCGTTGGCAGTTTTTTTTCTTCCTACCGTACAAGCTGTCCCGTCATCTCGGCAACGGACCTAGAAGGTCCAGATACCTACCTGCAACCGACTTCAAATCGTCTAGACTCGTTATTGCGATTGTCCATTCGCACAACCTTTTGTTAGAAGGCATCAAATCATCAAGAGCAAACACCTTGTAAGTGAGCGCATTCAAGACAGCAATAGTATACCCAGCAATGCAGTTGCTCCAAACACTAACCTGCGACAAGGAGAAACCATCCCGATGCCCGATATCAAAAGCGAAAAGCGGAGGGCCGACCCGCCCGCGCCATCGCCTAATATGGAACTGGCAGTAATTGAAATCTCTAGAGAAGAATTTCAGGCGTGCAAGAAGCGACGCATTGCCCCTGAGGAGAAGAGGAGCGAAGCCGCCAACGTGTTCACACCTTACCACTTCATGCCCGACGATATCAAGGAAGAGGACAGGGACAGGGACGACCCACTCGCATCCGCGCCCGCGCCCGCGCCGCCCAACATGTTCACACCTTACGTCTTCCACGACGAGTCCCTCGGTCAAGATAGCGACGCGAATGCGCACATCGACTACTGGAGGGACAGCCTCTCGCCGAAACAGCGTCTTCGCTTCGCTTTGAAGAAGTTATTGGAGTGTGAGTTCAGTCAGACGTTGGCCATCACCGCCGAGCACAAGGTAGGTACCGATCATACTTATTAAAACACATCTGAATATAATAATCTGATGTATGTTTCTTATAGACCATTCTACGCCCTCTCCTGCTAAAGAACTACTGGGCCAAAAGCCCAGCTAGTCTCCTCAAACCTGAAATGGGAGCGTCAGGAGCACTATACGGGTGTTGCTCGGTATCTTTTTACGCCGAAAGAGAATGGCGAGGAGACTTGCAACAAGTGTACGACTATAGACAATTACGGCCCGTTTGCGGAGTGTGTCGCTGGCGGTCGGGCGGTGCACAAGGGTGCTTGCTTCAGCTGTTATTATAAGGGCGAAGGAAAGAGTTGTTGCCTCCGTATCGGTATGTTGTTGTTTTTTTGTCTTTGTCTTCGTCTTCATCCTCCCCTCGTCTTGACCACCTACCTACCCTGTTTGTTCTTCTTGGACTTTGTTGTACTTTTTCCTCGTCGAGACGGTGAAAGTACCTCGCGCTTCTTATTGTTCGTGCTCGAAAGTGCGGGCGTATTTTTTTTTCCCTCGTTGATCCTTCTTGTGCCCGGCAGAGGCCGGCGTGAGGGTGACACCTCCGTCCCTGTCTGTCCCTGCTCGTGTCTTGGTTTTATCACTGTCAATTACGCATCAACTGATATAAAGGATTACTAGCTTATGAAAAGGCAGAGGAGAAAGCGCGGCACAGAGGTCGTCCCCCGTTTTCAGCCACAACCATTCGCAACTCTAGTACAAGATATTTAGAGAAGGCGTTGCGGTGGATTCGGAAGGAGTTAGCAATCCGTGAGGAGGATTGATTAATGATCATTTGAAGTATCAAGCGTATTAATTACGTTTCAATGCGTCCTGTACATATATGGTAGAGGTCTTCAGCTATGCTATGCTAGAAGAGAAGAGAACAATAACCGGGAGGAAGCGGGTTTATATTATCTGTTCCCCTAAAGTGGTGACAACATGAAGGGCCCCAGGAAGAAAAGAAAACAGAAAAAAATAGCAAAGCAAAGAAAAAGAAAAACACTGAATGTGTCAAATAACGGGACTGAACTGATGACCTCGATGTGTATGTGCAAAAAAAAAAAGAAAAAAAAAGAAGATGCCCAATAACAGGATTGAACTGTTGACCTTCGCATGAACTTGATATCTCGGAGAAGATATTAGTACGACGCTCTAACCAGCTGAGCTAATCGGGCTGTTGTTGAAAGTGGATCGACACATGAGTCTTATATATGGATGAGTGATGCTGCAATGTTGGCAACGATGTGACACTTCAAAAATGATGTGAATCGTGATGATAGATTGGGTCGAGCGAGGAATCGATTCCTGCTCGCTGTCTCTAACTAAATAAACTGGTGTGTGGTGTCGTGCCTGACATGCTCTTGTATGTCCGACACAGACATTGCTCTGGGTCCTGCCTTATGTGCGACATGAGCTCCTCCGGAAAGGGCCATCTGCACTCTCACAATTGGGGTTTTGGGTTTGGATGATTTATACGGTGCGATTGCTGTATTGAAAATTAGGTAGCTTCCAAATTCACCTCGCCTATAGCGGTGTGGTGTGGTCACAGCAATGTGATGTGATGTAATGCGGTGACTTTTGTTGGAAGAAGGGGATGGTGAATCATAAACTAGACTGATTAAGAAGAGGAAGAACAAGAAGGAAAAGATGAGGATTTTTATTCCATTAGCTGAACTAATCTATCTAGCCACCCCTAGTGGGCATGCGGTCCATCCACGTTCCTAGCCGGGAGGAAAACTCGTAAAACGGGTGAAAACCTCCCACTTCTCTGCCCGCCCATCGGGGCCGATGCGCTGCCTTAACAGTCTCGCGGCGGCCTCCAAACGACTTCCTCCGTTGCTAGCAGGCCTCGCCGTTATGCTGAGATGATCGAATTACAATGATTCTTAGCATGAACCATACCATGACTATCCTCCTCTCTACCCCTCCCCTCATCGCTCCCTCGCGCTGCGACAACCTCCTCCTGCGATGGCCTCATATCTACCTCTCCTTTCATCCCATCTTCTGTTTGTCCCTCAACCCATATATATCTCCTTGGCGGGTTCCAGCCCTCACTTGTGCTTTGATATGAATTTTCGCTGGGCCCCTTCCTTTCCTTTCCTCTTCTCTTTTCTTCCTTTTCCTCTGAGACGGAGGTGAATTATAACTGAGGAAGATTCAAGTTGTCCGCACAACCTTCGGCCGAGAAGGCATCATCACCAAGAGCAAAACCCTCCCTGTAAGCACATACAACACATCAATACACACGCGCTTCAAATTGGGCTAACTTGCAACAAGGAAAACATCCAGATGCCTGATATCCAGAACGAAGAGAGCAAGAGCAACCCGGCCGATATCAAAAGCGAAGAGTGCAGGGACGACCTGCCCGCGCTGCCCGCCTTGCCCGCGCCGCCCAACATGTCCACACCCTACCTCTTCCTCGGCCAAGTCATCGACGCGAATGACGACAAGGACAAGGACAACATGAACGACTCTGAGTGGAATGACAGCCTCTCACCCAAGCAGCGTCTTCGCTTTTGTTTGAAGAAGCTACTGGAGTGTAACGTCCCTGAAGCTCTATCCATCACCGCTCAGCACAAGGTAAGTATACCTCTACCTATAATACCTACCTAGGTATCAACGAACGCCGCCCGATCAACACTCTAATTCGCTGTTATTATGTTTAGACCATCCTGCGCCCCATTTTGCTCAAGACCTACTGGGTCAAGGGCGAGATCACCGGCTTCAGACTCAGAAACGGCGAGCTCACCGGCTTCAAATTTGCAAAGGGCGAACTGACCAGCTCCAAACTCGTGTGGGAAGAGCGTCCGAGGCACTATACGGCAGTTGGTCGTTATATTTTCACTCCGAAAGAGAATGGGGAGAAGACTTGCACCGAGTGTATGAACCCGGAGGGATATGGTCCGTTTGCGGAGTGTGTCGCTGGCGGTCGGGCCGGTGTGCATCAGGGTGCGTGCTTGAACTGTTATTATAAGGGCGAAGAGGAGGGCTGTTCCCTCCGTATCGATATGTTTCCTTCCCATTTGATTTTACCTGCAACACATATTCATGACACGGTAACTAAGAACATGATTTACTACCCCAGGTTTTGAAGGTGATCAGAAGAAAGCACAGTATCCCGGTAGTCGTGTCCCGTTTTCAGACGAAACCATTCACGACATTCCGACAGAGGTGTTAGTGAAGGCGATGGAGATACTTGAAGCTGAGATTAGAAGGCGTAAGGAGGGTATTTAGGTTATGGGAAGTATTAAGCGTTATTTAAACGCTTGATTGCCCCGTACGTATGTATGGTCAAGGACTTCTGGGATGATGGTATGCTATGCTAGTGAAGAGCACGATAAGCAACCTTGACATAAAGCCAGTTTTATTACCAAAAGGGGCTAAACAAAGGTCCCAACACCAACTGACCACCCACAACCCCCAAGTAAATGGGTTTCAATATCCCTTGCTTATCTCGAGCTTCTACTAAATTGGACTTGATTCCCATGTTTGCTATCCAAATCTGCGACTGATCAAGTGCTGCCAGATGTATCCTGATGTGCAGGTACAAATCAGTTTGCATACTCGACCAATAATTACTAGGAGACAAGTTTAATATGAAGCAAAAAAGTTAGGGTAAATGCAAAAAAATCGCCTAACACGCCTCACCATGCAATTGGTAGTATCCCCCCCCTTTCTTTCGACTTCAACAGATATCAAGATGTCCTGTCCCTCTTGCCGCCCAACGCGGTCACAGTAATCCAATAGTTTTTATGTGTAAACAAAGCTGTTTCTCTCACATCTTAAACTGAGATTGTTCAGGTCCTCATGGCAATACCATGCCTGCCACAATTTCGACTATTCCCTTCCTCTCTATTCTTCAAATCAGAACTGTCCAGGCGGAAACTGTCCAGACTGCTGAAACTGTTGAGATTGATACGGTCCAGACTGATATGGTCCAGGTTGACGAGGCAGTGGAGGCTGTATCCGTTTCCCGTCCAAGAACTGGGCGCTCCTGCCGTCATAGTACAGGTTCCTGGTCTCCATCTGTCTTCTTGCTTCAAAAGCGGCACGCTCCTCTTCATCCAAAGCGAACGCCTTCTTGAGCCACCCAAACGCGCTTCGCTTTTTCTTCAGCGATTTCCCACCGGTCGTCTCCTGGCTCGCTGTCGTCCCTGTCGTCGTGTTGCTCCTCACGCTCATGCCCATAGCAGAAGGGAGGTTTCGTGGCGGTATCTGGTGAAGCTGGCCAAGTGGCTGTTGGGGAGACTGGTATGGTGACTGATACGGGGACTGTTGCCCCTGCACGCTGTACTGAGTTCCTGAAGTGTGCGGTCTTTGTTGCAAGGGAGAGTGCGGGCTCGCTTGGACAGGGCGCCAGAACTGCATCCCGCTTTCTGAGTGAGGTGAGGAGACAAAACCAGGGTGCATGAGTGGTGGCGGCGGCGGAAAGTCGGAGACTGTATCGAACGATGCGATCGAGTTAACTGGTGGTCGCTCCATGTCCGATCCATAAGCAGAATCCGATGCCTGGTACGCTCTGGACGATGGGAACAACGAGTCTCGGTATTCTGGCGAGTCGGGTCGAGATATATGTATCGAGTCCGGCGGTGTCGTCTTCTGTGAAACTTGTTGTCTGGATGAGGATCTTTGCTCCGGATGGACTACTACCTCTGGCAGTGATTCCGGCGATATTCTGTGGCTTTGCTTCGATGTTGGTCTGGAGTCCCTTGTCTCAACCGGGGCCAACTTTGGCTTCGAAGGTTGCGGTCTGAGCTGGGGTGACTCTGGTGTCGTCCTGTGGCTTTGCTTTGATGTTGGTCTTGAATCTCTCGTATCAACCGGGGCCAACTTTGGCTTCGAGGGTTGCGATCTGAGCTCCTTCGAGGGTTGCGGCCTAAGCTGGGGTTGTGCTGCACGTGGATTATACACCTTTGCCTCCAATGTCGGTTCCTGACTATACACCTTTGCCTCCAATGTCGGTTCCTGACTATACACCTTTGCCTCCAGTGTCGGTTCCTGACTATACACTTTTGCCTCCAGTGTCGGTTCCTGACTATACACTTTTGCCTCCAGTGTCTGTTCCTTCGGCTTTTCAATGGTGGGCACCGGTGATTCCGGCTTGTAGCTGACCGGTTCATCCTTCGGCTTCGGGCGGTCGAACACGCGAGGAGAGGGAAGAGGCGATGTTTGTGGTGTGTACGTTTTGGGTTGAAGGAGGTAAACCGGCTCTTCTTCTTCCTCCTCTTCTTTGATTTCCTCCTTTATCTCGGGAGTTGTCTCAAGCTGAGATGGCGCAAGCTGAGGAGGGGCGGGCTTAGAGAGCCGGCGAGGGTTTCGGGCTGGCGGGGGCGGAGACTGTATTGGTAGTTCCAATTCCGTTGAAGACCTATTCGCACTATCCTCCACTGTGACTTTCTCTTCTGTGATCTCCTTCGATGGGACTGTCGATGGGATATCCATTGACGTTGAATGCGTAGGTGTACGAGTAATCTTCAGATCGAAGTATGAGGTTGGCGACGACTGCTTGCCCTCCACGATCGAACTGAGCCGCAACGATAAGCGAGGGGGTGTATTTGGAGTTTTGGCGATGGGAGACGTCGGGGGTGTTGTTACCGAGGATGCGTCGGAAGCATGGGGGCTGTGACGCGGTGATGTGAAAGGCTCGATGGTGAACTGGGAGAAGGTCAGCAAAAACAAGAGGCATTCGGAATGCAATGCAGCAACCATGTAATAGGTAGAGGATACTCACTCGTGTCTTTCGGCTCACTTCACCCGCCCTCCGCTCCATCTCGGAAATGATGCCAATCAACTGGACAATTACTCCATTTAGAGCATTGCCCTTCTCTTCCAAGTCCATAAACGCTTGGAACCACCCATCGGTATTTCCCTTCATTGCATCAAATATGTCGATTACGTCTGGGCGCTCTTTCCGCCAGCGGCCGTGCTGCCGTTCCGCCAGATAAATAGTAAAATCCCTCGTAGACTCCAGTCCTTCGGTAATGTCATTCATGATTTGCTGAAGGGCGACCTGTGTCCGGGCCACGATATGCTCGATTTTCTCGTTTCCTTGAATAATTCTAAGCCGAAAGTTGCGATCCTCCAGCATCCGTTCGAAAACCTCGATGTTATCCATAGGCAACCTCAAATGAATGATGCGCTCGCTTAAATCCTTGGTTGCCAGGCCAATATCCTCCAGGATCGTCTCCAGAAACTCATCCACCTCGTCAATATGCCCCTGGAGAATTGTCACGACGGACATTTGGCTATTCGCCATCCCGTTAAGCAAAAGATAAACGCCAAAGGAGATTTGCGACATCAGTCGACGCAGCTCGTGCGTTTGTTGCCCCGGACGATAGCGCCATTGGGCCGCCGGGGGTTTGGCCGACTTGTCTTGCTCCAACAGCTGCTCCCGACGGGTTTTGGCGTCGCCGGTACGCAGTTTGGGTTTTGGGGTCGCACCGCCCTGGGTGGCTTCGAATAGGGATTCTGCGAAGGCTTCTTGCATGGACGGAATGGGATGACGGGGCGCTGGTGGTGGTCGCGGTTGCGGTTGTGGCTGCGGCGGCTGCTGCTGTCGTTCGTCCCGGTGGTCCAACTTCCTTCTGTGCCTGTACGACTCGGTTTGTTCTGTGTCCGACTCGGTGGCTGTCCCTTCGTCCTCGGTCCCTCCATTATCCGGAACCAGGACGATGGGAAACTGGCCATCCGGACTGAGGGGTGACGATCGGGCCATGATAGGCACTTGTGGTGTGGATAAAACCACTACGGTTTAAACAGAGATAGGCAATCAAAAATAGCATCGATGAGGAGCCCGAACTGCTAGCTTCCCATGGGCCTCGCGGGCGACGGGGTCGTTTGGCTTCTCTCCTTACGGCGGCGATCGACAGCGACGGCAGGTTGTGGGATGAACGCGTGGAGGTGTGGACGACGGCGTGGTACGGTCGAGGGAATGGCCGATTTGGTAGCGGATCTACCAGGCAACGAAGCCAGTGCACCGGGCCGGCGCTGGCAATCCAGATGCACTCAGTGCTGCAGGTACCCGCAATCTCAGCGAGCTCAGGACCCTCCTCCAGTGGGACAGGTGCAGCTGTCAGGCGGACGTGGCGGGTCGGTAGTGGAACTGTGGAAGTTCGGATTGAATGCCTCCCGTCAATCCCGTCGCGATGTCGAACTGGAACCGTGTACCTGGGCTCGAATGTTGAACCGTGATGCTGTACTGCGTATTGTAGTGTAAGGTACCTCTAAGGAACGCCCTGGCGGTGGGCTCTGGGCGGCCCTGGTGTTGATAGACGGCGGGAGCTGGATTATCAGGACTATCAGGACTATCAGGGTGGGAATCGGGGGGGTCCGATCGGCAGAGGTGTAAATCACGGTCCTTCCGGGTAGTGGTCGGTCTTTACGGCGTCGTTGGCGTGTTTGGTGGTTGTGGGTGGGACACACGGCGGCCAAGTTGTAAGTGGTTTGGAACTTTTGGAATGCGGAAAGGAAGAAGCGCTTCACAGGTCGCGTCCAGGCATGGACAGTTCAACCGCCGAGTTGTTGGTGAAAAGGAGAACAAAGACAGGTCGAGTTCGAAGCGAAGCGAGAAATTCATAGCACTACCTGAGAGCTGACGAAGACTCCATGGCGCCTGTCCTCGCCTAGACACCGGCAAACATTGGAAGCCGAAAAGCTGGGGAAAATAAAATGAAGCTCAGGTGAGCCGGCGTCGAATGAGAGCGGAGGGCAAGCCAACGGTAGGGGAGGGAACCCAGGTCTATCGAAATGGAGCATCTGGCCGGGCCCCATCGAGCACTCCGGTTCCTGGCGCCGTCCCTGGGCCGTCCCTGGAGCTGGGCGAACAATCCATGTTGTGGGAGACGCTGTCCGGTCGAGATTGGTCCAGTATCTCCCAGGGCACATGCAATTGGATGCAGTCAACTGTGCCCCTGGACTGCAGCTGCATTTGAAGGAACATATTTTGACTTTCTTTTCCACATGTGAGTGAGCACTCTCACCTTCATCTCCCAATTTCAACCAACAGATATCAATATTCAGTTGGGCGTACATGAAAGAACCAACACGTTTAGTCAGGAAGACGGGAGATCAGATCGAGCCCCAAGCCTCTTGGTCTTCGTTTTCTTTTCCGCTTTGGGGATCTACATTTCCCGGGCGCCTACAAGGAGCCAACCTCGCAGAAATATGCAGCTCGGTTGCCGTCTCTTTTTACGCACCCTCCAGTCTACTGGGATTCCTTCAAGTCCACGTTTGTTTGGCCAGACTTGATTTTCATTTCCACCTTTACCTTGCACTTTCACAAGATGGGCTGCTACGTGTATCGGTCGGTACGTTCCATTGTAAGTTTGCTTCATTACCGCCATCATATCCGCAAATCTGTATTACCCTGACGAGCCTGAGTACGTACGAATCTACGATGGAACTGATACAGTAATGTCCCCTGTTAATGCAAGCCCCCCCTTTTGCAAACACTTACAAACTGACCCATTAGATGCAAAAGATTTTGCGACCCGGATTCCCAGTTTTGTATGTAAGTGAGGCACCCCTTAATGCAAAAACCCCCCCTAATGCTAAGACTCCGAGCTGTCCCCCATAGTGCCGGAATTAGTTGCATTAACAGGGGACATTACTGTAAAAGCGTTCCCTAGGGCGGTTACATCCAGCATCGATCCATTTCTTCTTGCTTCCCAAAAGGGCTTATTGCCGCGCTGTAAATAGGATTGTGGAATGTCACCTAACCTCTTCCCCCATGTAGAACGTTAATATGGGATCAAGGGACCCTCGACTCCTCGAGACCCCTTTCCCAAGAGAGGCACATAGCTAGCTAGTAGGTATGTAGTCTGGGGCGTGACATTTGCATGGTCAACGCCACACAGCCCCTCCAAGCGAAAGAGCGTCGCCATGATATTCTTACGAATCTTTATACAAAGCGTTCTTTTTCAGTGATCAAAAGATAAAACTATTTTGATACTGCGCTGCTATCCGCTTACCAAGTCATCTATCATCGTCTATCCTGTTTAACTTATGGTATACCACAGTATACGGCAAACTATGACATTTTCACCTGGAATAAAATAATCACGGACCGCATACCCACACATACCACTCAGCACTTCAAGTCAATGCCCTTCCTCAACTCCGACTGCCTGATCTCAAACATGACCTGAATACCCACGAACAGCGCGAGGCATGAACCTGTGAGAAAAGAGATGCCTAGTTGACGTATGTTAGTAAAATTGTCCATCAAGATCAAGCAAGCAGTATAGCGACGTACCAGACAACCCCCTAAACAGGCCCTCCCAGAGAGCCTTCATAGCATCAACACCGCCCCCAAAGCCCACCACGTTCGCGCTGATCATCATCAACACGTTTCCAACCGCGCCCACACAGCACAGCATCCTGTACGCCGTCGGCCTGCCCTCCCACTTCCTGCGCGGGAACAGATAACCGGCCGCGATCTCGGGCAGGAAGAACGCGACAATGAGCCAGCTCCACACGAGCAGCTGGAAGTCCACGTCGTGCCAGATGGCCACGAACATGAACACGGCCAGGTACGTGACGGTCGAGTAAGCCGCGCTGACGAGCGTCTTGAAATTGGACCCGCCCAGCGGGATGTAGATGTAGCGGAGCGTCCACCTGTAAAAAGAGCGGTGCCAGGAGCGCCAGAAGGACAGGGTGCTGTAGTTGTCGCTCACGCACCGCAGCATGTTCTCGGGCGGGTCGATGCCGTCGACCAGCGCCCAGAAGCGGAAGAGGCGCCAGGGGACCAGCAGCTTTAGCCAGATGATGTGCAGCTTGAAGAAGGAGAGCAGGGCGATCTGCGCGGGCGTGTACGAGGACCAGTCGGGGCGCGCGTTGGAGATGGCGTTGGCGTAGTTGAAGTGCAGCACGAACTCCATGGCTAGGAGCACGAGCAAGCACCGGATGCCGTACTTGACGGTGCGCGAGAGCTCGATGCTGGCGGACTTGTACCGGCACTGCGAGATGTAGTCGTTGAAGGTCAGGATCGGGCCGGCCAGGTACAGCGGGGCGTAGATGGCGTAGGCAAAGTAATTGCGGAAGGAGTAGTTGTTCTTGGGTGCCGGAGTGCCGACCCGGTCGCGTTCAGAGAGGTTGGCAGGGTCTAGTTGCTTCTTCTTTGGTGCGTTAGTAAGAGCGCAAACTGGAAAGGGGACAAAGATTGGATCAAAGTGTGTGTACCTCGATGGGACTGCCGCCCTGTCTGTCTGTCATCCAGGCATAGTCGAGGTTGAAGCTGATCAGTCGGAGAATGGTGATGTTGAAGAGAATGTGCCACCGGTTCAGGAGTCCTTGTTGGTTGTCCATCCAGGAAGCAAGATCAAGCAGGCTGTCTGGCGCGAAGGGGATCAAGTTCACGAATGTCTTGAACCTGTAACCATCATAGACCTTCATAGTCACCAGGATGTAGAGGTTGAAGATCCATGTCGCCCATGGGACAACCTTCCTCGGGAGCCTAGTTGCAACTTGATAGTTCAACCACAAAAGACCTAGGATTTTGAGTCCGCTGGTACCATGGAGAGCTGTGAGGAGAATAGTGCCAAAGAACGCATCAAACGATATGCGCTGCTCCAGTCGTGCCTCCGCAGCTCTGGGTGAGGTTTCCGAGGCACCAGGTTCAAGCCGGGTGGGCTTGAAGAGGTTCCAAACTCGGCGCAAGAGCGGTTGGACGACGAGTAGTCCAAAGATATGCGGAATCTTCCCCCGAATCGTTCGTAGCTGGCTGTCCGATACATCCACTTTGCGACCCAGCATCCATCCGTCTGACAGATAGCGCTGGAACTTTGGGTACCTTGGGTCAGATTCCCTGGATACCTCAAAAGGAACCCAAAACATGTAGGGAATCGCGATCAAGAACACCAAGTAGTATAGGTAGAACTCGGGCGTGCTCCATTTTGACCTCTCTGCTCTCTTCCCTTTGCTCAAGCCGCCATCCTGTGCTCCAACTGGATCTTTCCTCGCCTCGGTCGCAAGTTTGTATGGGACGGACGAAGGTGTTGTGAATCGTGTGTCGAGCGTGTCTAGTTGGTAGATGCTTCGAATGAAGCCGAGGATGCCGCCTCCCATCTTGCCGTGTAGAATGCGCGAGTTCAGATCATAACCGAGCTTTAGTGGAGACGTAGAAGTCGCGTAAGGATATGTTTTGCTTCGAAGCGTCTGATTTCGGGTTCGTTCGTTCGGTTGTGACCTTTTCGATGTCGCGAGAGATGGTTGGCCTCGTCCCGGGTAGGGTTTGTCCTTCAAGGTTCACGATGGCTTGGCTTGGTGTTGACTCGGCGCAAACGCTATACGGAGGTGCTTTCGACTGTATGCGGGACGCCTGTAGGTCAATTAGCATCCGGAAAGAAGCTAGATATAAATAGTCCTTACTTTGATATTGACCGCTCAATGGTTGTGGCGTTGTTCGTATTAGAGAGCTGTCCTCGAACTATTCAATCAAGCGATACAACGAGCGACATGGATAACAAGTGGTGGTTGTTCTAGCTCCAATTTCCCCAGAAAGGCGCTGCAACTTTGCAGTTGCTAGCAGCTGGCGTGGGGCCGTGTCAGCTCGAGCCACGTGCGTGTTGCCCCTGAGTCCCTGAGCTCTCCCTCGGCCCCCGTTCTGTTGGTTGACTTTGCGCTTGTCACTTTTTTGGGACCAGACACAAGTACCCTTTTTGCGTGCTCCTATGCGTTGTCCCAACGGTCCAGACTCCGGTATCAAGAACTAGTACAGATGTTCTTTTGGTCGTCACCCTCGAAGATATCTTGAAGACATGTTCTCTCAAGCTTCGCCTGAGCCCGACTCGACGAGCAAAACAGAAACCGCAAGTGGCAAGCCTGCCTTCTACCATTCAGTTGCTTGTTTGAGATACCCCTGAGTGACCCGTGCCCCCTTTTCACATCTGCCAGCACCCTGCTGGCGGTGCGGGATCCAGGAGAGGCCTGCTTACCATTCGTCGAACCTGATGTCAGCCCGTTTCCTATAAAGTTCCATTCGATTTTCTGCTGGCCATTGTGAGGGTGAAAAGGGTGATCTTATGTGACAGAGCCGCAATAGAAGGGCGGGATCGTGATTCCCGGGTCCAACTCTGCAACACCGTTCCGGTTCAGACAGGAGATACCCGGGTTGAGTTTCAAACAAGAGATCGCCAGATTTGACCGAAGCCATCACAAGATGGTCAAATCAAGTTCTTGTCAATGCCTCTTGTCTTTGGACATACGTACGCTCACATATAAGCGCCTTGAAGAGTTTCATCTTCTTTCAGCCCGGCAAGTTGCAGGTGTTTGGGAGACGAACTCAAACTGCAGATGAGCTGGCTACACAAAGCCGCCCTCTAGATATGAGTAAAGCTTGACGGGAAGATGGGAGCTACCGTCAAGCCTACTTCTCGAGAGGTCTAGGCATGTTACAGATCAATGAGACAGATGCCAATTAAGCTTATCGTCATACATCAAGGGTGAATGGTGCTGCCCTATGTCCTACCAATACGCGGGTTTGGTTCACACAGCTCACCAAGTCGGGTGCTTCCAGTCACTTGTGTCCATTTTGTAATTGAGCCCCTGACCCATCGTCCCTCTCGCCGTCGTCGGACCCCCAGACCCTGTCTGCCTGTGTGTGAGTCCCTGACTGCATTCCATCCATCGATGTAACCCCACTGGAAGGAATCCGGCGCTCCACTATGCGGGCACCCTTCCGGCCGGCTGCCTCTCACAAGGCCCCGGCCATCCTTGTCGCAGCTGTCCGTCCTGCACAACCATCAGCGGCTGCCCCTCGCTAACAGGCGGGTACCTGTAGGCGTCACAGTAGCGAGCTTACAGAGGAGAAGGGGTTGATGTGCTGTTAGACGCCAGATTCCAGCCCGGACATTGGTCGGAGACGGGAGTGAGCTTGTTTTCCGTTCACGACCTCAATTGCCGTCGAGTACAACAACGTTGTTGGGAATGCACCTTCCTTCCCTTTTACAACCGCGCTCAGTCGTCCTGTCATCATCCTGTCCTCACAATTCCTCCTTCATATAAATGGGTGTATCAGATGCGCCGAGCACATAATTCACGACTAAACAGGCGACCCATTTTTCTCTCTCTTGTCGCTGCTAAGCCGGCCCAACCGTAGCGGACGGTAGCGGACGGTCCACTCCGTCCGTTCCTTTATTTGATCGCCGTCACAGTGTCCACGGGATCTCCTCTTGTTTTTCTGTCCCTCCCAACTTTCTCCCCGATTCCCCAATTCCCGCCTTTTCTCGTCTTCTCTTGGCTTGGACACTCAGGCACTCCCGGGCGCCGACGACCTTGGCTTAACAGACATTCATTTCTTTTGTCGTCGGCACAGCTCGACCCCGAACGGATTGTGAACCTTGTTGCCCCTCGCGGCCCGACGAAACTCGCAATACCCATTCAACGCAAACCAATATCATGGTCCATCATCGAGTAAATTGAGCTCCCGAAGACAGTCGACTATACATACACTTCGCGTTTCTGGTCGAACGGGCGCGATCGCTTCCCCCTTTGCGCGAACCTGCTGCACCTACATGCAGGCATAGACCGCCACCGTCATCTTACTTCCGGACCCAGCACACAAGGCAGGCCCTGAGTGCACAGGAAGATGGCATACAACGGAGGATACGAAGGAGGGCCGGGAGGACGCCAGTATGGTGGCCAAGCACCACCACCTAGAGGACCGCCGCAGCGAGCATACACCGCTGGGCCTGGCATGCCACAACAGCAGTACAATGCGCCGCCGCCTCAGCAGCACTACGACCAATACCAAGAAGACTATGGCTATGGCGGGGGCTACGATGACTATGGGGGTGGCTACGATCAGGGCTATGGAGGACACGATCAAGGTTACGGCGGACAATATGATGACAGAAACTACCAGAGAGGCCCGCCAGCTCAGGATTACCCTCAGCAAGACTACTATAATCCCGGACCCAACGGCCGCGGTGGACCCCCTCCTGGACCTCCTGCTCCCGGTCCCGGTCGAGGTGGACCGCCCATGCAAGGAGGCCGAGCTGGGCCCGCTGGTCCGATGCGTCCTCCCGCAGACAACGGCAGGGGGGGTCCTCCAGCTCCCTATCCGCCGCGTGGTGGCGGCTACCCTCCGGGCCCGGGACGGGGTTATCCGCCCCAAGGCCCCGGTGGGAGACCAGGTCCTCCGGATCGAGCTGTAGCTTCAGATCCCAGCGGTGCGTTTCACGCTTGCACATAGACTCCCCTAACGGCTTTACTGACAATATCTTAGCGAACCGCCGACCACCCATGAATGGCCCCGGTCCTGGTCCCGGTCCCGGCCCTATGAGTCCTGGCGACCGTGGTTTTGGTGGTGGTAATTTTCCGCCGCCTCCGGGAGCGCAGCGAAGGCCGGATATGGACAATGAGAGACAGATGACCGCGCAAATGGATGGGATGAGCCTCTCAGATCAGAGACTGCCAACAAGGGGGCCTCCTGGGCCTAATGGACCTGGACCGCAACGAGGACCGATGCGTCCAGATACCAGGGATGGTTATGGAGGGCCGATGCGCCCTGATACTAGAGACGGCTATGGAGGACCGGGACCTGGAGAACCGGGACCTGGAGGACCGCAAAGGGGACCGCCTCAGCCATACCGCCCCCAGCAAGATCTTCAAGATCAGCGACGAGGCCCTCCTCCTGGCCCTGACTTTGGCCAGCCTGGGGGATATCAGGATGGCGGCTTCGGCCCCCCCGGGCGGAGCATGACAATGCCTGCGAGAGATGATATGGGTTTTCAGCCCCCACCGCAGAATTTCATGCACCGGAGCGACAGTGCCCCTTACAACGGTCCTGTTGGACGCGCGATACAAAGACCGAACACGGCTCAAGGTGCGCGAGCGCCACCACAGAGGGTTTACCCGTCTGACAATGGAGCGCCCCCGTTACCACAAAACAACTATGACCAAGGGTACGGGAACCGACCAGATATGGGTTATGGAGGCCAACAGCAACAGCAGCAGCCCGGTCCTGTTGATGATTACTATGAAGATTATTACGAACCTAATGGCAACGGCGGATACCCAGCTCAAAACCCGCCCTCGGCTCAAACAGACGGCCCCAATTTCGATGCTATTCCCCCTCACAGGCATAAGGACTCTTTTGACCAGCACATGCAGCCTAATCAGATGCAGCACCAAGCCCAGCGTGGACCTGGCCGCCTTCCGGAGATGTCTAGGGCCAAGTCTCAGCCTGACTTGCGAAATTCACAGACGGCTGTATTTGAGATGGCGAGTGATATTCCCCCGATACCCATGATGCCACAACATACTGGGGGTCCGCGGGGTTCGCTTGAGAGTCAGAATAGTCTTCACAGGCCGTCTCCTAATGGCCAGCCAGGACCGCCGCCGCCAGGAGCTGGTATGCCTCCACACCCAGTACCGTACAGACCCGGGCAGTCTGCGCCCCCTCAAGGACCGTATAACCCGGATAATTTGCCATCGCATCCTGCTCCAGTCCGCCCAGGTCAGATGTCCGGCTCTATGGTCAACTTGAATGACAGGCCCCCTCCAGTCAGGAACTACCAGGCTGCTATGAACAGTATGCCTGCTCCTCCCCCTCTCAACAACCAACCTGGTCCTCAACCACCGCAGAGCGGTCCTAGTCCGCCGCCGCCTCCCACGAAACCAGTCGAGCCCAAGGTTACTGTGGAAGAACTGGAACACCTGCGGGCCATTGTCAAAAACGATTCCAATGACCAACAGTCTGCTCTTCGGCTTGCTAAGAAACTAGTCGAAGCGTCAGACGTTTTGGTCCCAAATCTGCCTGACCCCAAGGCTCGAGCTCGCTCTCGGGATCGCTACCTCGTTGACGCCCACAAGATTCTTCGCAAGCTTGAGAAGGCTAGCAACCCAGACGCCATGTTCTTCTTGGCCGACAGCATCGGCCGCGGGCTGTTCAGCTCCGAGCCCGACCACGCACATGCCTTCTCGCTCTACCAGTCCGCCGCGAAGCTCGGCCACGCGGCAGCCGCCTACCGCACCGCCGTCTGCTGCGAGATCGGCAACGACGAAGGCGGCGGCACCCGCAAGGACCCCCTCAAGGCCATCCAGTGGTACAAGCGCGCCGCCACGCTGGGCGACACGCCCGCCATGTACAAGGTTGGAATGATCCTGCTCAAGGGACTGCTGGGTCAGCCGAAGAACAGGCGGGAGGCCATCAGCTGGCTCAAGCGGGCCGCCGAGCGCGCCGACACCGAGAACCCGCACGCCCTTCACGAGCTCGCGCTCCTGTACGCCAGCGCCGAGCCCGACGACGTCATTCTCCGCGACGAGGCGTACGCCTTCAGCCTGTTCAAGCAGGGTGCCGAGCTGGGGTACAAGTTCAGCCAGTTTCGCCTGGGCGCGGCCTATGAGTACGGCCTGTTCGGCTGCCCGATCGACCCTCGGTTGTCTATAATGTGGTACAGCCGTGCGGCGACCCAGGAGGAGCACCAGAGTGAACTGGCGCTGTCGGGCTGGTACTTCACCGGTAGCGAGGGTGTGTTGCAACAAAATGATACGGAGGCGTATCTGTGGGCAAGAAAGGCTGCTATGGCCGGACTGGCCAAGGCCGAATTTGCCATGGGTTACTTCACGGAGGAGGGTATCGGTGTGCCGGCCAACCTTGAGGATGCAAAGAGGTGGTATTGGAGGGCTGCTGGTAAGTTCTTGTTCTTCACCTATCCATACCTTGACCCATCCTGCATGCCACTCATCGAAAAGAGTTCATCACTAACCGACTATGTACAATGATAATAGCCCAGGACCACCCCAAAGCCCGTGAGCGTCTAGAGGAGCTTAAGCGATCAGGGAAGAACGGGCCGAAAAATCGGGAGAAGATTTCCCGCAACAGAAATTCGAGGCAGCAGGAGGGTGAATGCTTGGTAATGTAAAATGCGTAATCATACAAATTCGAATCCAGGAAGCTGTCCCTTCACAAAGAAAGAGGTGAGCAGACAGACCATTTCCCATTGGGAGGCATCATCGTATTGCGTTATAGTTAGGGAGCTAGGATAGGTAGAACAAGTAATCACTGCATACCCCATATCCAATACTGTACTATCAGATTTCCTAGGATTTTGCCAGTGATTCAGATTGTCCCATAAATATGGTACCAACTCCCAAGTTCTTTCCACCCCCTCGGTCAACAAAAGGCCCCACTTAAAGCCGCGCGACAATGGAACTCCGAAGTACACAGGGCCGAACTAACACTCGGCGAACTTCCCGTGATCACCACCTAAAGCCGACTATCCCCTCTGGTTTTTTTTTTTTTTGTGTTGGAGATGGAGCTTCAATGAGAGCTAGGAAACGGCTTTAGTGTGCTGCATACACTCTTGCATTGTTGTCATCTCAGAGCGTTTTTGAACTTGGCGAGCTTCCATTGTGTCCGAGGATAAAACATCGTGCTCTGATTGGCTACAGCTGTGGGGTGAAGTGGCTGGATTTCAATGTCCTGTTTGGTTCAAAACCACCATTTTCTGAGTAAACAAACAGCATTTAGTTCCGAACGAACGTGATCCGGAAGCTAAAACTTGCGACTGCAGTTCCAGGAAGCCAAACACGTATTTCGAACGTCCAACGTCATGGTGCCAGATTCCATCAATCACAGCCAGATACTACGTAAGGGTTCAGTGCCCTATTCAATGAAAACTTCCACCATCCTTTGACCGACACCATTCCGGTTTCCCTTTTCCCTTCTGAAAACCCATGAATGTCGGAAATTCATAAGTCTTCCAAAAACCCCCGCCAACCACTCTGAGAACTTGTTTTCTAAAGCATCATCGTCGGAAACTACTTTACTAGAATGGTGCTTTTGTGTCGTTAAATCACTTTTATCCCCCTTCTATGAAGAGGGCATGCATTGATATCCCAACTCCTTCGATTTCTTCTACTCGTCTCCACGACCTCAGTTCTTTGAAACACTCTTTACTGCGAACCTGCGAGACCCAATTCACCTATCGTTGTTGGCTGGCGTGGCTGATTAACTTCGAGAAGTTCATCGCGGCCACCCATCAATTTATACGATCCTCCTATATTTCGCAACTCTAAGATAAGCGGCAAACCTCTATTCCTTGGTTGGAACGGTTTGTAGTATGATTGGGACGGAAGCTCCTATTGCTGTTCGGCCGTGCTGGCTTCTACGAAATATATGGTAGCTCATTATCGAAAAGGTTGCCGAGGAATATAAATGTACAATTCTACTTCTTCTTACTCGCCTATGTCAGGATATAGCTCTTGTCATGGCATGGCTGGATAGGCTACCGGAGGACTGGCTACTGGGCAATTGGGTTATGACACCCAACATCGGATGGAAGGTTTATGTTCTTATCGATAGCGATTCCGGATCGGGAAGGCGGCGACGACTGGCAGATCTGACTTATATGTCCAGATCCGAATACCTTCGTTCGTCTTGCTTCCCTTTCCCTCTTTACACTTAATATTACTTTGATTTGTGGCTTCTAGTCTTGCAGTCGAATCTCTCGTAGGATCATGCTTTCACAGCTCTTATTGTCTTACTTCTAATATATAGTAAGTTTATAGACCTTAATTTCCCTAATACTAATTTAGAAATCTATAAACTTAAGGCAAGTATTTGTTTTTGGCAGTTAATTATTATATCTAGTTTAGGGAAAACTTTATATCTATGTTGCCTTTGGATTAAAACTCTAAATATTTCGGGTTTCTAACGTCTATTCTAATATTTTCCTTACGTTCTATATTTGCGATAGAAGTTTTATAGCCCTCCGTTCAATTATTTAGAAATACTTAATAATTTTAAAATTGGTAGGAATAAGGATTCGGAAGTCGTTTTGTTTGAGATTATGAATGAAATTATAAAATATATTAAGAGTATAGCCGATTAGGGACATGGCTTTACTAGTTTTTTTTATTTTGAAGGTCCAGACTTCGGTTAGTTTACCAACTTTATGTACTTTCTTCTTTAGGCTTCGAGATTTACTAGTTTGATAATTTTGTATATTTTGACGAGGGTTTTGTAGATGATTATATAGTTTAAAATATTGTATAATATTATTTTGGATTTAAATATTTATAAATATATATATTCTAAATACTCTTAGGTAATTTTTATTTCTATTTAGGATAAAAGTGTAGAAATTAGTTATTTAATTAGTTTAAAATCCTTGGCTACAAATTACCAATTATTTATCCGGGTTCTATACTAACGTTTTTATTAATAAAAATAGCTATACCCGATTGCCGGATAGTGAAAATTAAGTAGTTAAGTTTTGCGAACTACTTCCTCCTAATATACTAGGTATAATTAAATATCCAACGTAAGAGTATCAGGTATTTAACTAACCGAATACAAAATCTTTCTATATCCTCGAAGGACCTATAGACGAAGGTCGAATCCTTTTTTAGGCTTTATATAAATATGTTCGGTTATTGAAGTGGCTACGTTTATTTTCTTTAACGCCTAGAGCCTTGGTATCGTTAGACTAATTCTAAAGTTATATTAATTTAGAGGCCCTCGTACTAGAAAGTTATATGTTTAGCTACCATAACCCTAATTAGGTATCTAATTATACGTCAATCTATAGTCGAATCGTTGCCTAGTTGTAGAATTATTCTCAATTAGAATAATTAGAACTCTCCTTTATCGCTGGTACTTTTTAACTTCTTTAAGTAGTTTTAAAGTTACCAAATGTCCGACTTACTAGTCTTCGTTTCGAAACAAGCAAAGCAAACGTACTTTGGTATACTTCATTGCACTACTAACAAAGCCTCACATACTTGGAGGTAGAGGTTGCAAATAGTACGGCTAGTGAAATTGCCAAAGTCATATCGCAGCTACCCGAGCTTCGTATACTGAGTATAGACAAGCAGTTTTCGTTGGAGGACTTGGAAGAGATCAGTGAAGGGGCATTGAAGCTGGAAACAATCATCCTCAACCGTCGCGGATGGGAGGTGTATGATGCATATCTCATGCCACTAGCGAAGCTTCCACGCCTTAAAAGACTTGACATCAAGATGTGTCCGGGGGATCTCACTGGTGCCGGACTCTTGGAATTCGTCAAGAAGATGGAAAAAGATCCCAACGGACAACATGACGGATTCAGATTTACCATTGCGAAGTTGTGGCTGTCGGGCATTTGGTTTACTAAGGACAAAGTAAACGAGGTGAAGGACTATATAAAAAGAGCGTTCAACGGAACGTTCTACGCCTTGGAGCCTGTCTGTATAGAGGCATAAACAGCAGAACAGCTGCTAAAAAGTCCGGTTAGGGTGTTAGTGCTTTTCGCGGGCGGACTCTATACAAAATTCTCCACGCATTATGGAATTGTTAGACCTAACATTTAAACTTCCATTTCTATAAGTGCACTGGCAGCTCTCCCATTTTCCACTTCCATTTACACCTCCAATTGTACCTCTATTTGCACCTCCATTTATATATCTAAGAACATTCGCTACCTTTAATTCCATTCTACCTATTTGTACCTTCATTTATACTATTTACACCTTGATTTTAAGGCAAAGGTTTCTCCCTACTTTTTAGTTTTAACTACGGTTCAACCCAGTATCCAGCTTCTACACGGGCCACAACCCAGGATCCAGCCTTTTATTACCTGGGGAAGGGAAGGCAGCTTTGCTGCCTCCCCAAACACTAGTTCCTCAATGGCGTGGTAAGTCGTTCACAGCAGCTTTTTCCTTGAATTATCTTATATAGTAACTCTAGTTAGGAATAAAGACTCTATAGGGAAACAATGGTGGTATTAGTATTACCTCCGCCGATCGGGGCTCAACTTCAAGGACAGTATTATATCTCTCCATAGTTTGGAAATGTACCCCCAAGTGTCATGAACCCATCTCCATCGAATTCGTCGAATCTTCTTTCCCGAGTGATGCTGCCAACCCTAACCCTGGCTTCAACCATTCCATTACATAAGCCCCCCAAAATTTTAACCTCATCCCGTCATCGGGAAACTTTTCTTTCCCTTCAATTCTCTGTTTGCATCCATCAACACCCTCCGTCCATCCCTCCAATCCTCCACCATGGCAGCATCAAGAGACCATCTTGCCGACCTCGACCGGCATATGCAGCTGCTCGAGGGCAAGGTCAACCAGCTTCACGCATCTCTGACCCACTGGCAACAAACCTACTTTGAGTATGCAGCACTCAAAGAGGAGGTCGACAGCCTGCCCAAGGACCCGCCTCCCCGCACCGAGCTTGCTCGCATCCGTCGCGACTATGACGGCACCCTCATCACCAAGAAAGAAATCGGCGAGATCTTTGGCGAAAATGATCTCAAGGAAGCGGATCAGATCTCCAGTGTCCTCGGTCGCCGCCTCGACTACGTCGAGAAGAACGTCGATACGCTGACGAAGCTTGTCGAAACCGAAGAGAACAAACTCGCCGCGGCAAAGGTCATCGCTAACCCTGACGGCGGCACTGATGAAGAGACCGGCCTCCCCATTACCGATATCATCGAGGAACTGGATGACGAAGACAATGTCCTTCAGTACCGCCTGCAGAGCGGAGGCGAGGTCGGCAAAAGGGTTGAGGAAGCTCTCAAGAAGGCTGGCATCGAGAAGCTCCCGGAAACCCAGGCCGATCTTTCTCAGGCTCAGGCCAAATCCAACACCACACAAACTGCTGTCTCTGCCTCTGCTGCCTCTGCGACCGCCAGCGAATCCTCGAGCACGGCTCCCACCACTCCATCTACAAGCTCCGCGAAGAGTGTCACGTTTGCCGACGATACTAAATCCGTCGACCAATTGCCGACCACAGCCGACGAACTCAGGCAGCTCATGCAAAAGGTCAAGGAACAGGAGGCAATGGATATGTCGAAAGCTGTGATACCCGAGGACGAGCCGGAGGACGAAAGCCAGTTGCGCGCCGACATGCTCCAGTACATGCAGAAAGAAATCCATCCCATCGTGGCCGAACTCGAGATTGACGAAGGGTCCACCGAGGATGAGAATGCGGAGTGGGATGAATATGAGGACGAGCTCGAAGAGGATGACGATGATGATGAGGATGAGTTTGGTCGCTCCAAGCACAGCGTGATCACCAGTGATTACATTCAGCGTATGCAGGAGCTTGAGAAGCGCTTGGGCTTCAAGTCTGCGTTCACTGTCGAGCGTCAGAAGCCCCAGCAACCGGATGATGAAAATCGCAAGGATGCTGGTGGAGGCTACATCACTGTCGTCAGGGAACCTCGCTCAACGCCGGCATCGGTACCGGCACCAGCACCAGCGCCGGAGAGCACCCAGCTAGAGCCAACCGCCTCGTCTCTGAAGTCCAAGGGGAAGGCAAAGGAGAAGAAGGGTGTGCGGTTCGCCACAGACTTGGACATTGCCCCTGAGGAGGAGATCCAGCCGGCTGTGCAGCCGAAGCCCGCTGCGCCAAAGGTGCCCTTGGTCAATCCCATTGGGGATATTGTCGAACATGGAGCTGTGGCTAGTGAACCGACAGCGCAAGAGCAGGAGCCGGAAGAGCCAGAGCCTCCCAAGCGTGTGTCACGGTTCAAGAAAGAACGTGCGTCAACCGGGAAAGCTGCTGCTCCGGCCGCGGCATCCCCACCTCCTGGTCCGTTCCAGCTGCCTCAGCGTTTCCGCGAGTCTCATTCTGCCCCTCCTGCCGAGCCCACTCCTCCCGAGGATCAAATTTTGGCCAACCAGGTTGTCGAGAGAAGTGTCTCGTCTGCGCCGCAGGAGCCGGATGACATGGACGATGAACTCCTGTACCGGGCGGCGGCGGTTGAGTACAATCGGTTGCGGAATCGCATGATCCAGAAAGAGGGAGGCTTCATGAAGCCGGAGGAGGAACAGCCCGTCGTCCCGCTGGATGAGGAAGAGGGTGGCCCGCCGCGCATGAGCAGATTCAAGGCGGCTCGTTTGGCCAGATCATGATGGCCTGGTTGATTTGATACCCCCCATGTTTGGCAGGTCCAAGAGGTTGTCGGCAGTCTCGATTTCTACCAGAATCGAACTATATCAGCATCCTCGCTCGCCTTTTGGCATCATCTGTTCCTGACGATTTCTTGTTCGTGATCAAAGGCACCACTTTTTTTTTCTTTATCTCCCTGGTCAATCCATGCGATTGTGCGTTATGGACTAACATCTAGGACACTTCTCATCTCGTGAACCCCAGACCCCAAGAGACATGGTCCATTCATTGCTCTTGATCACTTGCACTTTGAACAACGAGCTGATTGCGGCTCACACACCTTTCGGAACGCTTATTATTATTCATGGATTGCAGCTGTCAGTCTGCGTTTTCATTACTAGCGATTCCAAGATTGAATCCGGATGGGCTCTCTGACGCCATGATCTCTACACCGTGGTCTCGGCGATTCGTTTCACCCATCACATCTCTTTTGCGCACTTCAGTGTGTCAACCGAGTTTCATAGATCTGCATTCATGACAATAAATGGCCGGTTTGGCATCAGCTCATCGTGTTTCGTTTGTGTCCATGTGTATTATGTTCCTGATATCGTGACAAGTTCTCCAGCTATGAATTCTTCCGTATCCCGCGATTTGTCCATCCACCAACGACAGCCCCCGAAATACTGTATCTGTTTTTCGAAATCCATGGGGTGTAATCTCTAGGTCATCTACTGGAGCGTACGCAGAGTAATCTGTCACAGCTTTAGCTTTTCCAGGTACAATATAGTCCGTGGGCGGCTGGAACAGAATATCACCACAACAGTCCAGAGAAAGTGTCCATCGACAGTACTTCACCCTCTTTGATTCCATAGAAATAGAAAAGGTCATATCCCAAGTCATTAATTCTTCATTATCATGATTATCTCCCTTTATTTTCCCCCTCTCCCCCCATCCCACCCCCCCCCCCCCCCCCATCCTCTTGGTATCCCCCCATTACCCACCCCCTCCCTAATCCACCCCCTTCCCCTTCCCTCTACCACCCTACTGAATCTTCGCATTACTAAAATCCATCTCCGGATGCTGTTCCTGGAACTTCTTCAAAATATCCATCTTCTTCTGCTCGTCGCTCGTCGGCAATCCCATCTCCTTTTGTCTTTGGTCGTACATCATCTTCTCCACCATCGCTCTCGTCTCGCCTTCCAGGTCCGATAGCTTGCTGTTCTCGGGCACGATCTTGCTCACGTCGATTTTCGGGGCGCTGGTGACTACGTGCGGCCACCATTCGAGCTTGTTGTGCTTTTCGAGATGGATCTCTAGGGCTTTTTGATTGTTGGGAGCTGGGGAGAGCGTCCAGGTTGAGTCGTCGAGGAGGATTGGGTGGGGGAGGTCGCCCTGTTGAGAGGGAGTTAGTTGGGGTTGGAGGGGGGGTTGTGTGGTATAGCGGCGGAGATAGGAGGGAAGGGTGTGTGATGAATGGGTAGGTAGATGCATACCTTGATGATAGGCTCTTGACCCTTGATACCAGCTGTGAGAGACTGCTTCTTGATCTCAACCACCATGTCTTTGCCCTTCAGGTTACCGGGGACGAGGATGGTGATGTCGACGTCGCCAATGGTCTGCGTCCACTTGTAGGGGAGAGCATCCTGCTCGGCTTGCTCCTTGGCGCGGGCAGCGGCCTCTTCGGCGGGGGTGAGCTCTGGTACGTCTGATGACATTGTTAGGTTGGTTAGTGGGAGATGGTGATAGCGTGAGGTTAGACTTTGGTCTACTGAAGTTCTGAAAGCGCACCTTTGTCGGCCATGTTGACAACAGTTGTTATTTTCGGATGTTAGATGTTTCGTAGACTTGGGAAACAAAATCAGCTTGGTGGTGTGCTGTAGCTTGTGTAGAAGACGATGGAACGCGATGACCGAATTTCTGGAGGGGCAGGCAACCCGCAACGGCTTCGGCCGCCCAATCCCAGGAGCTGCCCGTCCTGCCCGTGAGCTGTCACTGTGACCCCACACCCGCGCTTGCCCGTGTCCAGTCCCCTGAGACGGAGATGACGGGAGCGCGGCAGAGTGCCGTGATGGAATGCCCCACCCTGCGCCGTCAGGGTAGCGTCCACTGGAGCGCTGGCGCGCGTTGGGGGACAAGTGGAAACAGGGATTATTCAGCCCGAGCCTAGCCTAACTCTTATCGGTCCCTCTTTCACAACATCATCGATCCCACTTCGGGTTTCACTTTCGTCTTTGATATTTTCGAACTTTCCCTTCCACCGCTTATACAACACCGCGTGACTCGTAATTTCTGTCTAGCAAGATTGGCATTATCAAAAACAATCCAGAACGAAATCAGGTGCAGACACGTCCTTGTCGCAAACCCCGACCTCCCAACGGATTATAACGGAAGATTTGGGCCGTGATCGCCACTCACCGACACAACTCAAGAGACGTCCTCGGCAGATACGGACATACGGACTCTCCCTTGAAGGAAAAAACGCCCTTTCGTTGTTATAAACCAAGCAGCATTCTCCTCGATCACCAGAAAATTCGAAAGACTCACCACAACCTCCCAGCCCTCATTTACCGAAATCCATATCAGCACTCGGTCCCCGACCTTTCCAACCAAAAACCACCCACCCACCATGGCCCGCCCCCTCGACCCCCTCGGTTTCGAAGACGAAATGTGTCCCGTCTGCAAATCGCGCAAGTACCTCAACCCCGACATCGTCTTCGTCTTCAACCCCGAATGCTACCACTCCATGTGCCTAAACTGCGCCAACCGGCTCTTCAACGACGGACCCAACCAATGTCCGCACGCAGGCTGCAACAAGACTCTCCGGCGCAAGGGCTTCCGCTCGGCCTTCTTCGGCGACCTGGCCGTCGAGCGCGAGGTCGATATCCGCCGTCGCGTGGCGGCCGTGTTCAACCAAGTGGAAGAAGACTTTGAGACGCTGCAGGACTATAATAATTACCTGCAGATGGTGGAGGATTTGACGTTTGAGTTGGTTAATGGGACTGATGAACGACGGAGACAGGCGGAGGCACAACTGCAGGCGTGGGAGGCGGAGCATAGACAGGATATCGAACGGAATAAGAAGGCGGGGAGGGAGGCGGATGAGATGTCAAGAAAGAGGCTGGCGGCGGAGAGAGATGCGGCGCGCCAGCGCCGCATTGAGGCTATCAAGGAGGCGGAGGAGGAGAAGAGGGAGAGGGTGAGGAGTCGCGAGATGGAACTGGATAACTTGGCCAAGGGCATTACGACGACGACGGAGCCGGCTACGAAGGTGCAGTTGAAGAGGCGCGGGCAGGTGAATCGTGTTGCTGAAGCAGCTCCTAACCCGGCCGCCTCCGCAATGGCAACGGGCGCTTCAGAAGTCGAGCGCTTGTCCATCCGCGGCTTGAAGGAGAAGCCGAAGGCGCCGGCACCGCAGGGCCCCTACGATCCCTTTGGGGGCATGGACTTTGCGCCTAGTCGGTATAAGCTGCATGGGGGTTTGACTCACCCGCTCATAGAGAAGTACCGGCTCGACAGACAGCATGTTGCTGGTGGGTACAGCTTTGACGACTTTGCGGCGCGCGCTTTGTATGAAGCGTTTGCTGGGCTGGGTGTGTTTGTTGAGGATGAGAAGGAGGCTGGCAGTGCCAGTGGTATCGGTTTGTCACAAGAGACGACCATGGCCGCTGGGATTGCTGCCGTGGATGACGCGGACAGGATGGATTTGGACTGAGCGGAGCGGTTCTAGAGCGGTATGCCCTAAGGCCTTTCTTGGTGGTGGTGTTTTAGATGCATAGCGGCGGCGTTTACTCAGGGATCGAGTCTTTTCTTCCTTACGGATCTTGGTTTCGGAACACATGTGAGGTGGCGGCAACATCATAGAGATGAACTTTAGAATTGGTGATTTTAGACGAGCGGATTAGCAAGTCTACTGTGGGTTTCAGGATTAGGAATTCATATACAAATGGTCGCAGTCTAGAAGCGAGGTAGAATAGAACTTATCGAAATGCAATACTTTACAACATTTAAGCGTTTTTACCGCCTAGTGAACTAGTTGTCTGAGATAAAGGCCATCGAGGACCATGGGTTGTGTGAAGGGTTGTAACGAGAATGCTGGAGGAAGGAATGAAGGAGAGTGAAGTGAAGACCAGTAAGATTGGGTCGATAGAACTCAGAAGGTGTCCAAAATAATGTAGATTAAGATTTACAAAGTAAAAAGAGCCTCGAGGCCTCCTACTGCAGAAATGTGTATGCCTCCCCTCTCGGCCTTTCCTGGAAGGAGAACAATGGCTTCCAACCCAGCCAAAGATTTGATGGTATAACTACTCATCACACCTCTCTCTTCATGTTCTGTCCTCGCAGCTGCTTATCTCAAACCCTCCTTCAGCTTTAGAAGCCCGAAGCCCATCAACCGCCCTCAGTGTAGTGTATCCATCCCGATCCCCCTTGTTTGAACCTTTTATCTCGCACCCCCCCACCCCCCCCCCTCCTTTAAATCACTTAACGGTTCGCGACCCTGCTCTTCCACAGCCGATCCTTCTCTCTTCTTCTTGCTGGTCCATTTCAACGTACAACGACACCAAACCGTCCTCTACCCCCGAACATTGGTCGTCCTTTCGGTAGACTAAGGAGGGGGGCATTGCCAACAAAACGGAACAACAATGACAATTGGTCAAGGTCAAAGAATCGAATAACAGTATGGGTGGGGAAAAAAAAAGTTGGGCTAGGAAAGCGAGTAAGAAGAACGCCGCGCTAGATGCATGACTTGCCCGTTCGTGCCTTTCCGAACAACCCAGACAAGCCAAAAAAGAAAAACAGCAAAATGACAGAAAAGGGTTTAGCGTGCCTCTCAACGTCAAGCGCTTGCCCATACGGCCGTTGGAATACAAGATTAAAGGAGTCAAGCGTTATGCAGCTGTCAGAGGAGACAAACACACATTCTCATTGCTGCCATGGCGTTTGCTGTGCTGGCCTCGGAAACACCGGGATTGTCTCGAGCTGGTCGAACCCGCCCCCTATAGGCTGTTGGTTATGCTGCCACCCCACACCGGTAGCATGGTTCACGAACGCACCCTGACGGAAAGGATTTGTGCTGCCCGTTGGCGTCGGAACAAGTGGGCCACCAGCAGTGACGGGACGCTGCTGCTGCTGTTGTTGAGCCGGCTGGGAAGCCGCGAAACCCCTCGCGAAGGGATTGGTTCCGGTCGGCTGTGGTTGTTGCGGAGGAGCCGACTGGAAAGGCGAGTTGGCTGGAGGAGAAGCAAAGGGTTGTGCCGCCTGGGGAGATGCGCGAGCAAAGGGGTTCGTAGACTGAGCAGTGACGGGGCGTTGCATTTGCTGTTGCTGCTGTTGTTGTGGTTGCTGCTGCTGGAAAGGGGAGTTGTTCGCTGGAGAGAATGGAGATCCCGTTTGCTGTTGGTTCATCATCATAGATTGTCGGAAAGGGTTGGTGACTTGCTGGGGTGGTTGAAGGCCTCCGAAGCCGGTGGTTGCGGCCGTCTGGAAATTCGCCATGGGATCCTGGGGAACAGGAGGCAACAAGGTGGCCTGGAAGCCTTGTTGCTGGGGAGGAAAGCCCCCATACCCAGCTCCCGTGAAAGCTTGTTGCATCTGTTGCTGAGGAACCTGCTGAACTTGACCAAAAGGATCCACTGTTGGCTGCTGTTGTTGCTGCTGGAAAGCCTGTTGGAAGGCAGCCTGAGCCGCAAAATCGTTGTTCTGAAACGGCTGACTGGGTTGAGGTTGGAAAGCAGCTTGTGCCCAGGGGTTTGCGCTCATTGGCATCTGTCCCTGAGGTTGCTGAAGCTGCGGTTGCGCCTGGACATTCATTTGCGTCTGGTTTTGCTCGATCGAGTCGAAGAAATCGATGAGGTTGGCATCCGCTGACTTGATAGGAATGGCCGGCCTTGATGACTCTTCCTTGGTGCTTGTGGTCGCCGAGGCAGTATTCTTCGTAGATGACTCTGCCTTTGGGAATTTCGATACGGAGGATGAACCTCCCTTCTTCTTCGCCTCCAGCTCGGCCAGATACTGCCTCCGGTGAATCTCAAAGTCCGGGTCCTTCAAGTAATCCTCCAGCTGTCGTCCAAGGTTTACAGGAGCGTGCTTGAGCTTAGGAACCTCAACTCTAGTATGGTGCTCATATTGCCGAGCGACACTGAGGTAATGCACCACGGAATCGGTTTGGCGGGCAAAGTTCCGGTAGATGTCCATAGCTCTCTCGGCATCAGGCTTTGACATTTCAAAGAAGTGGCCTAAAATCAGGTCAGCTTGGGGTTACGGGGCGACTGGTTAAGGCGGGTAAGGTCTTACCGAGAAGATTGATCATGGCCTGGTTCAGAGCTTGGAACAAGGCAAGAAGATCTAGAACCAGGAGCCTGAACACGGTAACCGTAATTTCGTTTTCTGGTTCGTTGTCCATGACCTGCTCATATGTGTCAGCAACAAGCGTCGAAAGCGAACACCCGGATAGTAACGTACATCACATTTAAGCAACGCAGTGAGCTGCTTCTGTACAGACTCTGTCTCTCGCAGCAAGCCTTTTTCGACTGAGAGCTTCTCTAACCGGTTCTCCCTGCCTCGAACCCAATCAATCTTTGTGTCGCGGTATGCTCGCACCCTTTCGGTAAGGTACTCGTGGTAATGACGGATGTTTCGACCTTGTGTTTGGACTGCGTGACCGCTTGTTAGTACTCGGCGCAAAGAGCAAAGAAAGGAACCAATGGCTTCGGCACCACTCACTATCCGATACCATGCCCAAACCCAGCATACTCCGGTGCTTAGCAAGGTATGCTAGGGTAACATCTGGCGAACCCTCTCGGATCATGAGGTGTACCGTAATCAAACTCTTGAAGACAACGGTCCATGTCGAATCGCGCAACCGGGTCTGCAGTACCCTAAAGACCTCTCCCACTCCCGCCTCACCCGAATGTGTCGCGACAAGGATATGTTCGATGTACTTCGTCTTTGGAGGCGCGGCCTGTTGTCATGATCGATTGTAACCGTTAGCCGCTGGGTCGCAAGGCTCTGAAATGGCAGTGTAGGACAAGTAGGGCCGGCTGACGAACCTTGATTTTGGTCGCGCCCTTGACGGACTTTTCGAAGGAGCTTGCCATCTTGTCTAGCTAGTCGCGACCAGAGGGCAACCTGCTCCTGGGTATTGAAAATGCGCTTGTAATATCAACTTCGGCGCGCGAATTCCAGCTTATCCGTCGCTCATCGGTTGTCGGGGTGTCGGAAGCGTATGGGGGGATTGACTCGGAACGATTGTAAGATTAAATGATGTCGTAGGTAAGTTGTAACGAATGGCGGGCGGCCTAACAGTTGGTACCGCTGTTGTTGGGTTGGGGGTTGCGGTCGGGCAGCGTCTGAGCTCGGAATAACTGGATGTATCTACTCGGAGTGTCTGATGTAATGACGGAGGTGGTCGTTGGCTGGAGGAAGTCGATGGAGCGGGAGTGTAGATGCCTCAATACCGTGACCTTGGACGTCGGATGAACACAAGTAACCTAATCTATAAGGAAGCGCCCTGTGCAGCACTTTTGACTGGGGCCCCGGAACAGGTACTAGCGTTCTGTAGGCGATTCAATGTGTAGGGGGGAGCCGAGGGGGAACGGTAGGGGGAGCGACAGCGGTAGGGTAGGGAGATGTCGAAGCCAGTGCACGATTGGAGGTTGCACGGGGGACAGCTGCACGGGGAGCATGGGGACAACGGGAGAAGTGGAAGCGCAGAAGGTGACGGGCAGATTTCCTGGCGGATACGCGCTAGGAGGAAATACAAGGGACATGGGCTCCTCCAGTCTCCAGGCACGCCGTCCAGTGATCTCCGACAACATCACCCGGATTCCTTGTTCCACTTCTCTGATGTCGGGCGCCGGTCTGAATGGAACCACGTCGAGAATCACGACCGATGTTGAAAAGTGTTGCACCCAGAAAACTTGTGCATGACCCAAGGGTCTGGGTTACGATGGGGCTCACCCTCAAATCTCGACATGATGCGCTTGGGGAGATCGCAAATCACGCTATTGCCCATCTTATTTGGAGATTACTATATTCCACACTGATGCGTGCGCAAGCCGCCCATCCAAGACAGCCATTCTAGCGATATAAGTACGATATTGTACAACAGGACATCAGCGGTCTCCTCCTGAACTAGCCTCAGTGACCCCCAATATGCGTAGGGGAACCACCAAGCTGTCTGACGAGGACTGAACCCCGCATATGTCCACGACGGATAACCGTCTCTTCAGCTTCAGCAACGTCTTACCTTTGAACCCACACTCGTAACAGTGAGTAGTAGGGTGTTTTAGATAATGAGTCCAAGGGAGGAACCCGAGCCTCAAGAACGGAGGCGGCGGTCAACGACCAGAGGGGAAAGGAAAACACAAAAACAAGAAAACAAGAACTCCTTCATTCAAATAGAATCAGAGTGCCGTGTTGGCGTCCGATGAGTAACAAGGTCGGTGTGCCGAACGCTTATTTCAAAATTCCAACATTCCATTACAATCGAACCACTTAAGCCCCGTGAGGGGAGAGTTCGAAAGGTCAGGAAGGAGGAAGCTTCATCAAATTAACACCTAGGCTTTCATCATTTTGTTTTGAATGGAAGGGTCATGAAGAAAAAAAGAAGAAAATTCTCAAAAGCCGGCGCGCGGCAGAGGTTTTTGTTCCCTGCGGGCGCGACTGTGGACCCCACTTGGAATTTCGAAATCGTGCTCGAGCCAGCAATCTGCCGACCAACGAACGAGCAGCGAGCGGCAAGGTTAAGTGGGGCCGTTCAAACGCAGGAGCCTCCGGCGGGCAACGAGCTTCCCGTCCATCAAAGCTCAGACCATCTTACCACTCCCAGCTCAACCCTCACACGTCCCGTCTCGTCCACAGTCAACCCTGGACCGGGGCTCACACCACCAACAACCCCGTTCACGATGGAGCTCTCTCTACCAGAAGCGGAAGACGGAAGGTCGACAGACGTTGACGACATCAGACTGCCATGGCTCAACCTCGCGTCTCCATGAGACGGCTCTGTAGACTAATACCATCTCAGAATTCGAGACTCTACACAAGCCGCACAAGCCCTCAATGGCAGTCGCTGAAATGCCTGCCCCGGAACTCGCAACGCCTGCTTCACACTTCCTCCGCTCTTGCTTCACCAGCAGGTGATAAAGTAACCGGCCAAACGTTGCGCGAGGAATGGGCACAGTACAGTAGGTCTTCGCCGTGTTATACTATGCCTTAGCTGAGCTTGGCTGATGCGGGCCAGGCCATTTTCCCAGTGCATCCAAAGCCGCTGACTTTGTCGAGGGCAACAAGGTCACCGTCCATGGCTTTCTCCTCAAACGAAGAGTCAAGAGCTCAAAACTGGTGTTTGCCGACATCCAGGTTGAGAATGGCCCTTCGGTACAAGTCACGGCCACGTTCAAGGAGGATGGAAGCCCAAAGCAGTTGGCCACCAAGGCCCTGAGAGCAGTCCCCTTGTATAGCCCCGTGTGCGTGACTGGAATCGTTGCTCAACTCAATGGTAGCCGTATCGACTTGGACCTTGACGCCATTCAGCCTCTCAATGCCTTCCCCAAGGACATCATCGTCTCCGAGGGCGTTCAGTTCCCGGCCTCTGCCAGGCATCTCCAAATCCGCTTCTCAGACCCCCTCCGCTCTCGACTGCTGGCCCGTCCCCAGATCGGCTTCCAACTCAGGAAGACACTCAACGACCTTGACTTTACCGAGGTGGAAACACCCATTCTGTTCAAGTCCACTCCTGAGGGAGCAAGAGAGTTCTTGGTCCCGACGAGACGTCGTGGGCTAGCTTATGCTTTGCCCCAGAGTCCGCAGCAATACAAGCAGATCCTCATGTCGAGTGGTATCCGTGGATACTACCAGTTTGCTCGCTGCTTCCGTGATGAAGATTTGAGAGCCGATCGTCAGCCCGAGTTTACCCAGGTATGTCAGCCTTCTGCCCCTTACTTATGGGCTTTCTTCTATGTCATACGCTAATAATTCTCGGTGCAGCTTGATCTGGAGATGGGATTTGCCACGGGCGAGGATGTCATGCGCACTGTCGAGACTCTTGTCACCCAGCTGCTTCCTGCTTTGAATGCCCAGTTCAACATCGTGAAAAGCGGTGATGATATCTATCCTGTACCCAAGCGTGGCCTGAACAACGGCGAATCGACCGAAAATGGTGACCTTCAATGGCCTGAGCCTACTGCCCCTTTTCTTCGGCTCACATATGACGAGGCCATGACAAGATTCGGTATCGACAAGCCCGACCTCCGGATCCCCTTCGAGGTACGTCTTCCCACTCCCAATATGGTAATCAAGCTGTCTAACAACTAACTCTAGCTTCACCGTGTCGACCATGTCCTTCCCGCCCAGTTTGTCTCTATGATCACGCACACCGAACAGCCCATCGTCGAGGCCTTCCGCATCCGTCCCGAGCTCGACGGCGAAACCGTCACTCCCGCTACCATTGCCGAGTTCGTCGACAAACTCATGGACCAACTCCCCAAGCCCCTTGCCAAGAACCCCGACGGAGCTCCCGCCGCCCTCATGTTCGACTCCAAGAAGCCTCTCTGCGGCCTGTCCTCCCTTGGCTTCGAGGGCTTCGACGCACTCACCAGCATGGAAGCCTTTTCCGACCTTGAAGACGGCGACGTGCTCGTCTTCCAGGCGCGCAAGAACGCCCCCTTCCAAGGCGAAGGCTCCACGGCCCTCGGCGTCGCCCGCACCCACTTCTACCACTCCTTCATATCCGCCGGTCTCCTGCCGCGGAGCTTCGACCTCAAGTTCCTCTGGGTCGTCAACTTCCCCATGTTCACTCCGGACGACGGCATCGACCCCGGCCAGGGCGGCCAAGCCGGGTTCAAAGCGACGCACCACCCCTTTACCGCGCCGCTCACGGAAGCCGACGTCGAGCTGCTCGCCACCGACCCGCTCAAGGCGCGCGCCGACCACTATGACCTCGTCGTCAACGGCGTCGAGCTCGGCGGCGGCAGTCGCCGTATCCACCTGTCTTCCATGCAGGAGTACGTGATGCGCAACATCCTCAAAATGACGGATGCGGGCCTGGCCCAGTTCTCTCACCTGCTCGAGGCGTTGCGGGCGGGATGTCCGCCGCATGCTGGGTTCGCGCTTGGTTTCGATAGGCTGGTCGCTGTGCTGACGCACACGGATTCCGTGAGGGACGTGATTGCCTTCCCCAAGAGCATGAAGGGAGAGGATCTGACGGTCAAGAGCCCGAGTAGGATGACGGCTCAGCAGTTGGAAACTTACCATTTGGCGATCGCGGAGAAGAAAAAAGTGGAGGAGAAGCAGGACGTTTGAGAGAAGAAAAATGGGCTGAGAAGGTGAAAGTGTTGCTGCAGCCTCCATGCGCTGTATGCTTGACCTGCGACCTAGCTCAACGGCTTCACAGACAATGTGCTGTGCTGTACATTAAATGAAAGATCAATCTTGGTATGCTACCGTCCATATGCACCCCTCGGTTTCGCAACGCTCCCTTGACATCCTCCCGTCGGTAAGGTTGGGCTGACTTGAACCACCACCTGACACCTCTCATTGAAAGCCGCATTCACTGGTGAGAAGCGGAAACATCCCAAATGTGCTCACCGTTCCTATCTCTAACCATGCAACTATGGTACAACGCAGCTAAATGGCCTGAGAAGCGGTGTTATAGAAGGGATCTGCGCAGTCTGTACCACAAATTCTACCTCAAGCCCACAGGCTGAACATGTCTTCAGACCACAACATTGCAAAATATCGTATGATATTGAAACACCTCGATTTCGTGTTTGCAGATTTACCACAGAGACAAAGAAGATAGACGGTTGAAGCTTGGGATAAAGACCCTGAACCATCATGCTCAGCTAGCTCGGCAGTCATGCTAATTGTCATTGAAGTTTTCATCTCATTTTCCCCTCAAGGGTCTTGGTGCGGTGAGTACTCTGATGAGTACCGCTACACCTGACCCGAACCCGAAGACATGGTCAAACAATCAACCATCAGGATCGACACTGAGGGAACCGACGCGCAAGTCCAAAGACTCGGAGAGCAAGTCCAAAGCCTGGGAGTCAGAGGCCAAGTTCAACACCAAAAGAGCAACTTCTGGAGGAACCATCAAGTGTGAGAACGCCCTGTTTCTATACACGATCTACCCTATTACTATTATACAGAGCCATTCCCACAAAAATTTTCCTCTATGGCCCCCTTCCTTCTCATCATTCAAATTGAAGTCATTCCGTGTCCTCTTTATATGTACAACCCTTCTTTTCCTCCAAGTCAAACTATCCTGGTGCGATAACTGGCTAACAACTAACAACTTTGCCATTGTCAGAACCGAGTACAAAAGCCATGATATGTTGCGGTTGTGCCTATAGCCAGGCTCCGGCTCCGCAAGAGAAAAAGCAAAGTCATTGGACTGTCAACCAGCTCGAGTGTACTTTTTCGTCCGTCGAGAGAGTGAGCGAGAGAGAGAGAGCTTTGAGAAGTTTTGGTCAACTTGTCATCGAAAGTCTTGATGTCGGTCAGGAGTCGACAAGCCGAAGATGGAAGAGCCACCGAATGTCACAACTCTTCTATCACTTCATCAACCACCCAAGCCCTTCCCCTCCTCTCTCCCACGAACCAAAGGAAACATTTACAGCTTCTTAAAGCTGCACAAACATCAATCCAGCGAGACCAACAGCCAACGCAATCTTCGCATCAACCTTCTGTCCAGCAGCACCAGCAAGCTTAACGTCCGCGAACCCCGCACGCTGCATGTCGTCCGCGCTGCCGCCCGTGGCCGCCGCAGGCTCAGGCGCGACAGTAGAGAGAACCAAACCGCCATCTCCACCATATGCTGCGTAGCCGGTTCCCCAGGGGGCGTCACCACCCTCCTCGGGGCAGGGTTCCTCGCCTTCCGCCCACGCATCACCGGTGGCTGTGGGCCAGGCTGAGGGCCAGGCTGAGGGCCAGGCTGAGGGCCAGGCTGAGGGCCAGGCTGAGGGCCAGGCTGAGGGCGAGGCTGAGGGCCAGGCTGAGGGCCAGGCTGTGGACCAGGCGTCCTCGCCCTCGTCGCCACTACCGTCATCCTGGGTGTCATCGGCAGCGCTCTCGGACGGAGCGGCGGACTCGTAAGCGGACTCGGCGGCAGAAGAGGCAGCACCGAAAGAAGCGGCAGCAGAAGAAGCGGCAATATCCTGATTGGCGCTCTCAGACTCAGAAGCGGCGGCGGCGGAAGGGGCGGCGGAGGACTCGGCCTTATTGGCGGCAGAAGGGGCGGCGGAGGACTCAGCGGCCTCGGCGGCGGAGGAAGGGGCGGCAGAGGACTCAGCGGCCTCGGCGGCGGAGGAAGGGGCGGCGGAGGACTCAGCGGCCTCGGCGGCGGAGGAAGGGGCGGCGGAAGCAGCGTTGGCCTTGTCAGCCGCAGTCGACTCGGGAGCCGCCGAGCTGGCAGCCGAAGCGGCCTTGGCAGCGGCGCTGGAGGCGGCCTTGGCATCAGAAGAGACAGCAGCGGCCTGGGATGAGAGCGCGGCGGCAGATGCGGCGGCAGCGGAGCTGGCAGCTGCGCGCATCTCGAGTGGATGGACGGTTACTACCTCCACGACCTTCTCGACGACAACTTCTGTGTTGTCGTCTTGAGGGGAGCGCTTGCGCTGGGCGGGCTCGACGACCTCCTCGACGACAACTTCCTTGACGACGTCGGTCTCGTCCTGGCGGGCGTAGACGGAGCGGGGGACAGAGGCCAAATGGAAAGCAGACGCCCTATCATTTTTACGTGTTAGCAAAGGGGGCGAAGCACAGGAGAGAGAGAGAGTTGTTAGGAAGTCAGCAGGTGGTAAGACTTACACTCTCTTGAACAGAGAATTAGACCGTTCCAGGTCTCTTTCCCTCAGGGCCACATCTCTGTTTGGAACAGCAGAACCTGAGGCGCTGAGGGCCAAGGCCCAAAGGACCCAAACGGTGGTCCAGGTGAAGGAACGCATGGCTGCTACGGTCGAGGTAGTTAGCAGGTATGCTGGGGTTGGCGGAGGTGGAAACGATCGGAAGCGCCGAAGTTGGTGCTGCCAAAACGAGGGAGAGGGACGGACTTCTTTTTCAAAAGAAGCGAGTGAATTGGATGGCTTTATGACAAAAGATTCGCTGAAAACGATGGTTGTTTTCGAGATAGCGAAGTCGATGTTTTCGAGTGTGATGCTCTGAGGAAAACAAACCCGTCTTTGGGTGCGGAATGGATCTCCTTAAGTATCCATATGTCTCAAGCTGTTTCAACAAGTTTAACTTCCATTTTCCCGAGGCTTCAGCCGTGAAAGGAGAGACTCACGTCCCGTCGGGGTCCGACAAGCAAGTTACAAGGTCCCGATATGCCGTTTGAAACTGGGAACCGAAAGACCTGCCTCCTGCATAAGACGGAGCCTACAGGAGAAGAGTGGCTGGGTTTTGCATTGCAGGTGCTTCTTTTTCTTCACGACCCAGGGGCTCGGAGGTTCATCGACCGAATGCCGCCCCTTTGCCAAAGCACATCCTTCATCCATCATGGTCACTCCAAAGCCCTCCTGGTTAATAAAAAGAGCCTTGAGTGATTCCAGAGTACGGTTAGTATGAGATGAAGAAGTGAAGCCTCCTCAGAGAAATTCCCATATGAAAACATCACCAGAAGGGATAAGACACCATCACACAGACTCAAAAATGAGAGACGCACACAACTTTCGCTCACAACCTCACAAGCGAGTGAGCGAGTGACTACCTACCTAAGCACAGACTCGCACAACTGACCTCGCATATCATTACAGTACATAGACTTTGGACTTTGACATCTTGGTAAATTCGTCATTCTCACTGCGATGCTGAAGTGCTGAGCCACACGTTGATTTCTAAGCCAGTCAACTGGTCCATTTTCCTGAATGTTCCAAGCATGGAATGCGATAGCGGTCGCGCGTAGGTAACTCAGTTGCCGCTTCTTCGATGGACACGAGAAAGGCGACAGTTGAGGCTGCGGATGCGAGTTGCGGATGCGAAAAATCCCCTCAACGCGGCTGGTCTTTTGAGGAGATGATGACCGACGGATGCCTATCCATCACCGAGGACGCCTGTCTACGTACCTCTACTTGCCGCGGACTCGCGGAACCCGAAGATAGGTATCCAAAATTCAAGTTCAGATTCAAAGGCGTTCGACAACAACTTGCATGCTGCTTGACGGCTGTCAACAGCAAATGGTACACTGCACCTTTAAGTTCTTCTCATGCTGGCTAGAGCTTGAGCTTGAGCACTGACGGTCCGATATCCATCACCGAAGACTTTCTATTTACCGCAAGACTCGAGATATTGAAGACTGGTTGCCAGCTGTTTTTTGACAGCCGTCAAGGAGCATGTAACGATGATGTACGTTGCTGTCGAGCGCCTTTACATGACTCTGCAACCTGGGTTCAGGAACCTGGATTCTGGACATCTCGAGTCTTTGCGCTTTTTACTTCCGCCGAGGCTCTCTGCTGTGTATATTCAACCTGAAACTCTTCGGAACTCTGTAGACCAGCGCTGTATTTCATAACACGAACTCTTCACTTGAACTTCTCCCCCTCCCAGTGCTTCCTCCTCTTCTGGCTCTGGCTTTTGCTCTAAACCGAGCCATGTTAACCGTGGCACCGAAGTCGGTATCGAGTACTATCGGATATCAAGGTGGCACTGGCTTTCAAGGCTGCACACATATATATGTAAGCCCCATGTTGACAAAGCACGCAAAACAGAAACGCACGCATGCAAAACAGAAATGCAGTTACAACTGAAATGCAAAGAAGAGGGGGTTTCAGACACATCCAGGTCCATCCGTTCAATCGGGAACCCAATTACACCGACAGTCCGGGACCACAGGAGCGCAGTTGTCTCAGTGAGGTTGTTGACGATGATTTGTAAGACGTGCAGTGGGAGATGGAAGATGGACTGTGGACGGGAAGTTTTCGAGAACTTGGAACCAGGCTCGGCAACGGGATATTTCAAACAAGATGTCCAGCATTAACGCGCTAACACGCAGTGCATGGCATGAGCGAGAGTAATGACAATGCTTGAAAACAGGCAGTCTCAGTCATGTGAGGCGGTCGTAGCCAGGATTTCGTGGTAGAAGGCTGCAGTAGAAGATGTAAGGAGCAGGTGGCCAACTTGTTTCGCGCAGAACACCCAAAGAGGCAATGAGTAAACATGTGTGTCGGATTAACCCCTTTATCCCATCGCAACACCACAAGCAAGGCAAACATCATCCAGGAAGGGTAAAATCACTGTATGATCCGATAAAGTCACGGTATCTAACACAATTGGGCTGCTTCATGTCGGCAGACAATTATGAACCATCGACAGGATCGATACCACAGCTGAATGTGGCAAGATAGGCATGTAAAGAGGGTTCAGCAAATGGGTTGTCATTGAGAATGCTTTGCCCCATGTTTGTCAGCTCTTAGTTGTTAAGGGAGCAAAAACTCCGATATGCATCGGCTTCTCACTACAGTATCAAGCTTCCTAGCATCGACCTTGATATCTGGACATCCTCTGTGCCTCTCAAGCAGGCAACTTCAATCTAAGTATCTGGACTGCAGGAAAAGGCTGGCCGGATCGATCAGTTGTTGACTCGGAGGCTTCACGACTAACTTGAACTGCAGTGCACTGCAGCGGTTACGAAGCCGTCTGGTTCGCGCGAGTTGAGTACGGTAAGTTTCACACCTAATAATCCCAGCTGTTAGAAGGGGTAGTAGAGCGACGGATTGATTTTCACATAATTAAGAAATGCCGTCACTAACAGAAGCAACTACGCCAGCAGTTTATCTCGTAAATTACGAGTTTCGTCATTTTCTGTCCGACTCCTTCGCAATAAGTCAGCCGAGGGAGGAGCGACCACGGTTGGACCCGAGAGTAAAGCGCGCAGATAGAAACAGCGAGCTGAGAATGTCGACTCGGAAACTCGAACTCAAAGGCCTCACTGCACACGCTACTTGGGTAATGAGACCGCGGCGAGAAGAAGTCAGTTGATGATAACGAATCCACCTGGGGAAAAGATACCGTAGAAACTCGCGAAATTCGCCATCGTCAATCTCCTTTTTGGGCGCCGGACAGGGCATAACGCGGCGCACCGTAAGCACGCATACACCAGCAGATGTGTCTGTCCAGTTCAAGTTAGTGTCGAGGACATTGCCCATCAGTCTAACTTGCGTGCGTTTCAACGTACAGACTCGGGCTTGCCCTGTACAGATCTGCCCCCTGTCCGGCGCCCAAAGAGGAGATTGACGATGGCGAATTTCGCGAGTTTCTACGGTATGCACTTTTTAGCAAGGTCCATTGCTTCATTACTTTTGGTCATCGACATCATCACAATGCACTCCTGCGCCCAACGAAAAGTCCCGTCATTGTAAAACTGGAACATGATCTGAATAACTTGATATCTGCTCCGCTGTTCATCGTGATTGTCTTCGAAACCAACTATAGCCAAGCTCGCTTATCAAAGCATGTCGAGCTTCAAGCGCCCGTGATACTTCTCCATGCAGACCAGTTGTCTGCGCTTGGCTGAACGTCGGATCAACTAAACTACAAACATACGGCCAAAAATGATGCCAAAAGCAGCTGCATAGAGCAGATTAGAAATGCTGAACTCGAGTCTGCCGCCGCCTCCCTGAACAGGAGACGAGCCCGAGTTCGAGGGTGACTCCCACGACAGCGTCCAGTTGGATGTCCACGCTCCTTCCTTGAAGTTGTCCTGCAGCTCGGTCACCGAGAGGAACTTGCCCTCGGAGTCGTAGGACCAAGAACCTGATCCGAGGAAATCACCATTGATAGACACCCTCAGAGGTGCCTCGGCCACTCCCAGGATCGTGACGTTGGCCAGTGAGTTCTGGTCAGGGTACTTGCCCTGAGGTGTCACTTGAAGTGAGTTCTTCTCAACCGTGAACTAAAAGCAGCCAAAACCTGTTAGCACTCTCGACCTTCTTGCGAGAGGAGTGGCAAGTGACCAGCTAAACACTCAAAGTGAAGAGAAAAAAGTATAAAGAACGGAAAAAACTCACATCAACCCACTTCACATTCTCACCCGGCTCCAAACTCTCACCATCATCCAGATACAAGGTGCCATTCGCCTTACCCTCACCATCAAGCGCAACAATGACACTCCACTCATTTTGTCTGCTCTCCGTCGTAGTCATGCCCGGCTCCTGCACTGGGATGACATGGCCACCCCTCAGAAAAACCGGAATGTGTCCCAGAGGTGCATCGATCGTTACATTCTGCCCAGACTGCACCCCTTCACTGGCCGACTTGTACGTATACCAATCATACCAGACGGTCCCGTCACCAACACCAGGGAACACGCCGTCCACTGTGTTGGCGCCCTGAACCAGGCATGGCGTCACCATCACCGCACTGCCCAGCATGAACTGGCGATCCGCGTCCGCCAACCACGGCTCTTGCGGGAACTCCCACGACAGAGCCCGCATGACCGTGCTTCCAGACAGGCTGGCCTGGGTCATGAGCGTGTACATGTACGGCAGCAAGAGGTATCGGATCCTCATCGCCTTCTTGGACGCATCGATCACGGAGCTCCACACGTAGGGCTCCTGGCTGATGGCGCCGCGGACGTTGTGGTTGCGGTAAAAGGGGAAGAAGGCGCTGAGCTGCATCCATCGTGAGCACAGTTCGTTGTCGGCATTGCCATTGAAGCCGCAGGTGTCTACACCGAACATGGGGAACCCGAAGATGGAGAAGGACAATGCCTGGGGGATGCTGAAGTACAAAAACGCCCAGAGGGAATAGTTGTCACCGCCCCAGTGACCGGCCCATTTGCCGGAACCAGCAAAGGTGCTGCGGCCGATGATGAAGGGACGTTTTCCTTCGAAGACTTTGAGGAGTGCCTGGTAGGTTGCATGCAGAATTTGATGGCCGAACAGATTGTGGAAGTCATAGTCAACTGTGCCACCATGATGGGTACCATTGGGGCTGAGGGCGTGAGTACCAATGTCGCCGTGGAAGTTGTTGATGACATATGGTGGGTAGTTGATATTGCGGGATCCAGGAGTCGGTGTCGTCCTGAGGTAAGAAGTAGTGCTAGTGGTGCTGGCTGTGGTCGTGGGGTCTGGGTACTGCGTTTTGTGAACCGATGTTGCAGAGGATGCCTCACTTGCGTTGCTCTTTTCAAAGCCCTCGGGGTAATCGAGCACAAGAGCACCTGGCTCACCGGGAAGACCCCATGGTGGATGAACCGGATTGAGCGTCAGGTTGCCCGTGCCACAGCTTCCGATGCAGAAAGAAGCGACCTCGCTCATGTCAATCCAGATGCCGTCGAAAGCGACCTTCTTGTAGTACCTAACAAACTCGTCGATCCACCAGCTTACGGTACCTGTACCGTTGAGGGCCGCACCGATCCAGTCCGGGAACACGGTATAGCCAGGCCACACTGCACCGATGTAAAGGGAACCATCGGGGTTCATGATGAAGGCATCAGCTTCGAGTCCGCGGTGGTAAGGTTCGTAATCATCTTCTGGCTTGTCAGGGTTTGGGACATAGATAGCCGAGTCGACAATGGGCACATAATGTTGGTGGTTCTGATGGAGCTCCTCGAGGAACTTGGCGCCCTCCTCATAGCTGAACTGATCAGGATCGTTTTCAAAGTCACGATATCCCTTCATGTAATCGATATCGGCTTCGAAAAGTCAGCAAGAAGCATGAAAAGAGAAGTTATTGAAGCAAAAGAGACTAGGGTATACTTACTCCAGATTGTCTCCAGCGGGATGCCAAACTTGCGGAAGTTGTCAACGACATCCTTCACAACAGTCCAGTTCGAGTATCCCCAGCGACACTGGTGAAAGCCAAGAGTCCAATACTGCTGCATTGCAGGAAGTCCAACCGTACTGAGCTGATAGGACTTGATGATATCCTGAGCCGAAGGTCCCTCAAAGAAGTACAAGTCGATGCTTCCACCGAGAGTCCTCCAGGTGATACCCTCAGGTCGAAGGAGCACTTCCTGTGCATGAGCATTGCGAAGGAAGACACCGTTCGTATACGAGACGTATTTGGCGTTCTTGTCTGTCGGGCTAGAAACGTAGCTCAACTTTCCAGACTCATCCTTGGTGAAGTATCTGGTGTCGAGATAGATTGGGTGGTTTCCGTAGATGTTGGCATCGAGGTTGTCACCCACATCCGCAGCAAACAGCGTGCCTGAAAAGGTGTTAGTAAGATGCAATCCCCGGCACAAATTTGTGTTAGGAGACTTACGTGTAAGATTGTTTCCCAGTCTAAAACCATGCATAACCTCACCGAGGCCATATAGATTGTAATTCTCGGGCAAAGAGGAGCCGAACTCGATGAACTGATCCTCATAAACGAGGACACGACCTTCAGTCGTGAACAGAACGTCTCCAGTCCCCTTGCGCTTCACTGCGAAGGAGAAGGTGGGCTCATTCGACCACGAGATTTCCAGCTTGCTTCCGGCTTCGTCTGCATTAGGCTCGGCCTCTGGTCGGGGCACAAGCACTTCAGGAAGTATGAACCAGGTTTCATTAGCGGGGCCAATGTAGCGAGGTTGGATCTGAACGTTGATGCGGTTGTCCGCCTGAAATTCAACAGTTAACTTCAGGTTCTCGATGTCGTTGCCATAGACGTTGCAGGGAGGGCCAGCGAGGGACAAATCCGCCGTAAGTCCCTTCTCCGTCTTCTGTACATTTGCAGCTGTATATCCTGGACAAACGTTCTGAACATCAACTGCTTGCGGGTCGAAGATGTTGGGTAAGAGGTTTGGTCCGATGTCAGCTGAAGCTGGGAAGGTGAACATAGGGGAATCCCCCGCCGCCGTCCCGCTCAATACACCAGGCCCAGATGACGTTGCAGTCACAGACTCATGTTGAGCGGATGTCCATTGAGGGACAAGAGCCGCGAGGAGGAAGAAGGAAGCCGAGGTAAAGACGGCCATGACGAAGAACCCCGGGTTGAAGGTCCCCCAGATTTGCTTCACCCCACGTCGACCTTGGGATATGAAAAAGATGCCCAACAGGCAAAACAAAAAGGTGGAAATGCCCAGGTAGGTCGAAGTCGTTAGATGGTCGCCGAAGGAGCCCTCGAGCTGGTAAACTCCGTCGAAGTCGAGGAAGGATTTTGGTACTAGTCGTGTGCCGAAATCTCCTGAGCCTGGGTTGTTGTTCCGTCTATCCTCCGAGCCCGCGTAGACTGGATTGGTGAAGAGTAACTGAGCGAGGAAGACTGTTGCTGGGAGAGGGTATTTAAGAGTCCAAAACTGGTAGAATAGCTATCCCAAAGTTGGTCAACTCAACCCCTTGCTTGCTCAGAACCAAGAGAAAATGGAATGGGTGGAGTTGGAAAAGTAAACATGTGTCAGAGACTGGATATCATCATCCGGATATCATCTGCGGATTCCCGGCCGGGTTAGGAAAGCGGGACTCACCTTGACAATGACACAATCCCCGCGCCCAAGGTAGCTTCCGTTGGCAGGCACGGTAGTGGCGTTCAGGTTCGTATGCGTTTCCTGGGGTTGCTGCACTTGCGCTTGCAACCGCGAGCCGTATGTTTGTGTCGTCCATGCCAGTTTCGGTGTCGTACCTATCTCCAGTTGTGATCCTCCAGAGGAGCACAAACGGGTTGAAGCGGGATGCTCCACCTTCCCCGGACGCATCATGGTCGGACCCGATCGACGTTGGTTCACGCAGGTTTGCGGGCACCAATCAATAACGGGCAGTTGTTAAAGCTAAACCAGGCTCCCGGGGCGGCTGCCTTGGTCGGTCCGAAACCTGTATGCCGGCGCAGTTGGTAACGGAAGGTAACAACGTCTTGTTAGAACCGGTCAGTAAGTATCCGGGGCGGTAGTTGTTGCCAAGGATTACCACAGACGTGAGACTGATATTGTCTGGCTGAGAGCAAGTGCGGGCGACACGCCCATGATTGGGATGTATAACTATTTTAAGAGAAAAAGAGGCTTCGGTAGTCCGTCATGGTAGAAACACAGATAGTTGAGGCTTCGATCTTGTGGTTGAGGAAGTGCAATTCGGGGCCGGGAACTATAAGAGCCAAACGTAAGGTTTCCAGTCGGAAGCAGTTATGAGTCGAATAAATTGAAGATGATACAAGCTGGGAGGAAACGAGGCGCTGGGCCAATGTAAATCGTGAAGCAGGACCAGCGGGAACGAAATGACCACAAGAAGCCCCAAATGACCTACCAAACACCTCAAGGCTACGCAATGGCTTTCTCTGTGCTACCCGATATCCCAGGTGCCACAAAGTGCGAAGTTCCAGGCCTGGCTGTGTACCCCATCTCAACCTCGAATTGAGTTCGGATGATCCAGATCGGATGAGATGAATCCAGCCAGCATCAGCCGACTAACATCTGAAGGCAGAATATGGATGGGTATCAAACCTCCACAGACATAGGGCCACATGCCCGTCTCCTGTTGTCCCCGTATATACTCAGCCCTTGATGTTGCATCGTCCTTCCTGAATAAATGTAGGTACCAGTCGTACTGATGTTAGTCGTTGGTCATTCGTAACCGTTAAAAGGTTAAACCAAAACAATGCAGGGTGGTTTCGCCAAAACGTGATGCCCATCCCGTCAGCATCACTGCAAGGTTACTTGCGTATTTCGTTCGGGGTAGCCTCAGAACTCCATCAAGCATATCCCGCCTGTCTGTGACACGGACTATCTAAATTGCACAATGAGGTACATGTGCATAGATGTGTCACGTTTCCATCAGAATGATGACACGTTGTTCGAGGGTCGTTGTTCTCTGTAATGGATATAAAAACCAGCTCGCGCCACGAAGAGCGCCATCATCTTTGATTCTTACACAAACCTTATCAGCGCCCAGATAACTGCACCATGTACACTGGTTGACTTGCCCATAACCAACAATGTACGAACAGACATCCTGAAAAGCATCTGATGGGCGTTATCCGAAGCCCTTATCCATAGGATCCGGCCTGCAAGACACAAAGCTGAATCAAGAGATACAGCGCCCCCAAAGCAAGGCCACCCAGAGTCAAAAACAAAATGTTCAGCATAATAACCAAACAGTTGATACCCAAAGTAATTTTCCCAAATCCAAAAAGCTCCAAAACTCCAACACGCTAACTCCGTCGCTGATATCGAGAAAGCTCGAGGCAGATTGTAGCCCAAAAGCGACCGGCGGTTTCCCCACCTATAAGCGTGAAATTCGAACAGGAAGACGTTAATAACTGAGATCGATATTCCCCAGAGATGCCACAAGTTTATCGTCTTGCGACGCCGCGGTGTTATTGCTCCCGCCTGTGTCGGTTTGAGACGTACTCGCGTTGCTGGTGCGTGACTGCGATTGCTGGAGTTCCACTTGTGGCTGGTGTTGTGGTTGGTGTTGTTGTTGCTGCTGCGTTGGCGGTATGCCGCTATCGGAGAAGCCAAAGTCTCGCATCTCCTGGAAACTCCAACTCGGTTCGAAGCGCCTGCTGTGCCACGCATGGTCAACTCTCTCATACATCTCGTCGATCTGCTCGAGACTGATCTTGCTAGTCTCGTATACCATGCACCATACAAAGCCGACCGCTACTATGCAAAACGCTCCCCATACGAAAAACACTTTAGAGCCGAGATCTATCGAGGTTTCGTTGCTCGCTGCGCTGTTTGTTTGCATATACGGGGTGCCATAGGCGATGCCGAAATTGAGGAGCCAATTCGAAGCCGTAGATATCGACATGGACTTGGCCCTGACCTTCAGCGGATAAATCTCGGAGGTGACGACCCACACGACCGGGCCCCAGGATGCAGAAAAGAAGAAAATGTATATCCCAACAAAGGTGATGAGGACCTTGTTCTGTGCTGATAGGTTATTGGAGCCGCTGGCCGCCGCGAAGGCAGCGATCAGCAGCTGACAGATGGCCATGCCGATGGCGCCCACCATCAGAAGCCGACGCCGACCCCATGATTCGACCACAAACAGTCCGGGTATGGTCGATGCCGCGTTAATGACTTGCATGATGAGAGTGATCTTGAAAGGGTTTCCGACGCCAGCGTTATTGAAGAAGGTGGTTCCATAATACATGATAAAGTTCACGCCGGTGAGTTGTTGCAGCATTTGCAGACAGCAACCCGTGAACGTGCGACGGCCAAGGTGAGGTTCGCCGAAGAGAATGTCCTTGTAAGAATCGGGACCCAGCGTCATTTCGTATTGATGGTTTGCTTCGATTTCGGCAAGCTCCTCGACCAACGCAGGGTGAGTGATGTCCAGTCGACGCAGACGACTGAGTGAAAGGGCAGCGGCGTCCTTGTCTCCACGTTTGATGAGGTAACGGGGAGTTTCGGGTAACACGGTCAAACCCAGGGCCAAGACACAGGCCCAAGTTAGCTGAAGTCCCATTGGTACCCGGTAGGCAGCAGCTGAGTTTAATTTGTATGTGAGGATGTTAACCACGGCAGCGGCAAGAAGCCCCATGGTGATGGAGAGTTGGTATGTGCACACCAGTGTTCCTCGAATCCACTTGGGTGCCATCTCGGACTGATATAAGGGGACAAGCACAGAGACAATGCCGACACCAACACCGGCAACCGTCCTGATGTTGTCACGTTAGTCCAGGAACGAGCCACCAGCAAAGCCTAGGGTAAAAGTACACACCTTCCTGCCACCAACAGAGCAATATTGTGTGCACAAACTTGCAGAATGGCGCCGATTACGAAGATTCCGATGGCGCCAATAAGGGACCGGCGACGTCCATAGTAATCTCCGAGAGGCGCAGAGAGCAAGGCTCCGATGGCTGTTCCGGCGCTGAGCATGGCAACGATTAACGCGCTCTCTTTTGGATATATACCAGGCTGTCCGTTGCCGTCGACGTAGCCGGTCGAGAAGTGATCTTTGAATGATTTCATGGCCAGGATGCCGTTGATGGTTCTATAAGTGAGAGGCGCATAGTTAGCCTTTTGATCTGATGTTATCTCGAGGGTCTGGTCTGCGACCATGCAGCACCAAGCACATATCCGTCGCATATTCCATCCCATGTTCCATCGCACGTCCATCGCAATCGACGTGTTTGGCGCGCCTGAGTGCATTCGGGAGAGAGGCTTCCTTACCCAGTGTCATAGCCAAAGAGTAAGCCGCCTGTGGCGACAAAGAGGCCGACCATGATCGCCGGGGCAGATGAGCCAGCGACATTGTCGGGCTTCTGCCAGCCCATGGCGAAGATCGCCATGGCGCAAAAGGTCGAGGGCAGTCAGGCCAGGGTTGTTCAGTGTCGTTGCCGCTGGGGTTGTCGCGGACTGACGATGATGAGGTTGGACGGTTGTTGAACCATTTGAATGGGGATGGATGTCTTGGGGTCCCCGTAGCGTAGCGTAGCGACCGTAGAGGAGGTAGCAGTGGCCGGGTCACTGGTGGCACTTGAGGCTGTCGAGGGTGGGCGGGAACCACAGACGGGCTAGGTCTGGGTAGGGTGTAGACTGTAGTTCTCGACTGTAGTTCTCGACGGTAGGCTGTATGTATGGGTAACGTTGTGGTTTATTAGATTTGGCTATGGGATGACAGCGACAGTCCCGTCCGACTGGTGTCCCGTCTGACAGAGAGCCGGGTCGCGAGGCCTGGGGCTGGTGTCTTCGTGTGTCCGTGACTGTGTCCCTGTCTGGAGCGCAACGAACGAACGGGCCAGAGACGCAGCAAGACGACAGGACGCAGCGAAAGGCAGAGAGAAGGTAGGAGGGAGGATGGAGTCCTGGCTGGCAGTGGATGGGTGGATGGGTCGACGGGTGGGTGAGTGGATGGATCATGATGGGCAGGCGGACTGGACGCTTCGAGATCACAGTTTCTCTCAGCACGGGGAGGGCGCGCTCTGATTGGCCGATCCGTCCCGGCCTGCCCCAGACACCGGCAAGCCCGCCCGTGCTCAGTTTGGCCTCCTTTGGCCTGCAATTGCCTTGCTGCACGCCGCCTACAGGCCTGGTAAAACCGGGGGCTGCAAAATAGAAGCTTTGCGAAAGGGATACCCATGATGAGCCGGAGAGTATCCAGTCCCATGAGTGCCTCTTGCCATGGGACGACACCACTCAGACCCCATGGGATGTGATCCGGATTGGATGCGATGGGATGAACAGGGCATCACGCACCAGGAACCGCACCTAAGCACCTTCCCCAGAGGCCCACCAAAATGTCTCCATCCACCCTTCTTGCCTCGTTGGCGCTTTGCCTCGTTCGTCAGAAAGTCTCCCTGATCCCCAGACTAATCCCCATTGAGATGCTAGTGCCCACACGCTCCGGCCGACCCCCGGTGACCTGCAGGCCGTTCGGTTATTCGCACTCCTCTCACTTCGCAACTACGCCATGACGAGAACAAGACGAGATATCTTCAATCATGACAGTCAATTCCTTCCAACACGCGATTCTTGTCATAGTCCTCTTGGTCTGCTCAAAAAGCTTCAAGTGCGGGAATAGCCTCACGGATGATCGACGCAAGCGACGTTGAGGTGCCAACGGAAGTGGCAGACAATTATGAACCGAGCCCGTCAGATGCTTCTATTGGAGGGGCACACCTACACAGTATATCGTGAAGTACCGGAAGGATCACATCAAGCAACGGCGAAACCGCTGTCCAGTACCACGCCAGAGACGTGTCCGACACGCAAACTACCTAAAACTTCCGTTACGGCAACTCCCGTCATCCGAACCATCAGGCATTCGTTGCTGTTTCGTGCCGTGGGGAAGGCCTCCAGGCCAGTGCCCCTGGATCTGTCACCAGCTTCTCAGTTGCGTAGCATTGTGGGGGAGTAATCATCTCCACACTAAGAGGCATCATGGATGGTTTGTTCGCTTTGATGGTTTGTTCGCTTTTACTTACACATGGAAATACCTTGGATGTTCTCTATAGGCAAAGACTTGGGCATTCCAGAAAGGTCAATTGTCATGAACAAACTGTCGCCAAGTTCTGATGCCTGCATCTGTACCCCGTGGCACTACCTCCAGGGAATCTTACTTGGCGCCCAGTGGTGCTTCCGCTGAATGGTAAGAAAACTAGCGAGTGAAATTTAATTACTAAAAAGTATTGCACTAGCGCATCTAGAGGGCATTTCCGGAATGTTCGCAAGGAACTTCAGTCTATCACTCCATGTCTCAATGGCTTCAGCATTGACGCTCCTCTCCTCAAGTACGGGGACGTCATATCCGAGTGTGAGGAGATCCAGGTCTTCCACTAGTCGTCTCAAGTATTGTTGGTGGACGCAGTGGCTGAGTGTCGGACGATTGCCTCAGATACCTACAATCCAACATCAAGTTTTCGCTCCTTGCGCTTGGGAACTTCCTCGTGGCACAGCACCATCCTGCCTTACGGAGAGACAACGAACCAAGCAGCATCATATTCAACACCAAGCTCATCTCCAGATTGTGGTGAGACATGTTAGCTCGGTACCTATCTAAGACTGAAAAAAACATTCAAAAAATCATGTTACTATTTCAGACATGAGGTGGTGCCGTCAAGCACGCCTGGATTTCACTGCCCAACCAGCATGCGAAGACTCATATTGTTATTCGACCTACGCACCTTGGCAGACGTCTCTGTTTTTCCACCTCCCTATAGGTACATAAATAGTTCTTTTTCTTCGTGGTTTGTAGGTCTTCTGTTCATGTCGTACAAATCATCGCTCCACATGTGTGAAGTGTCTCTCTTCCTTCCACTACCCATCTCGCTGTGGTACCAAGACACCGAACGTTCAGCTTCGCGTGGACTAAGTGGCCTACTCGGGAGATAAAGAGCTACCAGTGTACATACGATGATCAAAAGCTCGACACAGAGACGCCCCAAAGGAATTCATGTGGAAAGCCAAAAACGAGTTCAATTTGTCAGAGTCGTACAACTTATCTCTCTCACCCCCAAGCCATACTACCGAGACAAGCTATTGGTTAACCACAGAATAATCAAGTGTGACTTCCGGGTCACGCCTGATTATTTACAGCTTGTTACAGAAAACCCAAGGGAAGAACGTTATGGGTTAGTCACTAATTCTCAGCCCCCGAGCGGCGCGAGTGGGAGGACAGCATGCTTATTATTGCTGCACTTGGACATGGACGGAAAGCACACATCATGTAGAGTTCTTCTACCAGATACGTACACTTGAGCGAGGTATGTACTACAGCAAGGATTTCCTGGACTCGCTTGCAAGCAGAAAAAGACATGGCACACACCGCCACTGTTGTCATGGAGTGACTGGTTCCTCCTGGCTTTAGGTCTTTATGTTTAAGAATGAAGACCATAGCCGAGTTATGATGACTTAACCAACAACAACTTATTACATCAAGTCTCGCTCAGATATCTGGACACCTCATCTACACAAATCGCCGTCGTAGCAGATTCATTCTCTCAGGAAGCCATTATTCCTCATCTCGACAATTTTGACATCTCAACTCTGAACGATGCCTTAACTTCCCTCATTGTCTATCTACGATCCTTTCCAGTCTTCTGATTACAGGATCAGGCTGTACTCGGATCTCGGAACAATAGGTAGAGATGTCGATCTCACAAGTCTGAGACATAGACTACCTCGTTGGATGGTCACAGACAACAAAAGGTCTTTTTACAGAGCGCCAAACACCTGGTGTGCTTGCTACTTACATCATATGTTTTTCATTTATACCAAAGTTAAGGTAAGAAATGTAAACTTTTCCACTACGGAAGTTCCATGTATGTGTCAGCAAAACTCCTCCCTCCTTTAATCAAGATGACAGCGACTCTTCGTTTCGTCAAATACCTGCCATCGACTCGACAACTAGGCCCACATGGCGTTGTTGTCTAGTGTCTACGTACCTACTGTCTAACTCGTGGAGATTCCCCATCTGGTTCTCAAGTGTCCCGCGGTCCAACATTACAACCATTGTTCCCTGATGAATAACCAAGTGATGGCATGTGGCAGACAGCTTCGTGGGTAGGCTGACAAGAACTACAGAACTCACTACCTACTTATACCAACCAACCAACCGAACTAACCAAACGGCTAGCCACCAACCACACTCCGCACCCGCTCGTTTAATGCACGTAATCAGCTACCCTACACATCTTGAGCTGACCTTACCCTCGACACAAGATACTTACCTCTAAAGTAGTTAAACTGACTCTATTCTGTTGCATGTGTGCTGTACACAGCAGTTACTCTTCAGATCTGGTCAGTCAGACGGCAAAAACCTATATAACCAAATAGTGTTGAACTGAACAGTGCTAATGTGCCTACTTGTGTTGCTAGAGGTATCAATGTCAGGTAGGTAGGTCCCAGCTCGGCTTTCCACAACATCAGACTTGTCCACCGAGTAAGTGACTGTGGCCAAAAATTCCTATATCTCTTCTAGGTACCCTCCCATCTATCACCTGCAACACGTGAACCGGTCCAGACCAAACTTCAAGAATCTGTGTCAAGGTGTGAAAACACCGAGCACTTTGATGATGGAACTGAAAAAGTACCGTAATAACAAGAGTCAGCAAGGGTAACTATGAGTCTAGACGACTGACGTCCCCTACATCGTGCGTGCATATACATACCCGAGGTGAACTTCCTCGCTTGTCTCGCTACATCAAGTCCCGACACCGGACACCGGACGCACCCGAGCCTTGCCGTTGCGGCATCGATTCGCCAATAACACACCGTATGTGGGACACGAGCGAAAACTAAAGGCACGTACCGAACCTTGACCGAGACAGGAATGAGCTGAGCTGATCTAGACTTTCCAGGTATACACTACACCATGTCCAACAATTAATCGCTCAGTGTGATCTTCAAGATGACCCAAGCAAGCACACCGGGGGACTAAAAATCACAGAGTTGAACGAACATGTTGGACTTGAAGTTTTTGTCTTTTTATTCATCTCCCTTCCTGCTCCAAAGTAGATTCATGGCTATCATCATGACATAAAAGAAAAAGGCTACCCATAAAAGTACAAACATGTGGCGCCAGCATGTATTCCAAACCGCTGGTGAAGACAAAGATGCATATCCCTGGCAAATGAGTTTTACACGACCGCCGAGACTAACCAAAGCCCATCATTACATTTCAACTCCGGTGTTGTTACCCTTCTCGGAAACTGTCCAAGTAGGGCTGGTATAATCAACTCTTGAAGAGGCAACTTCGCAAAACTCAATTTAAATCTCGAGGGTAACCTTCTGGCCCTTGACGCGGCCGATGACCTGCTCAGGGGCATACTTGGGAATGACCTCGTCGTCGTGGAGCATCTCGAACTCCTCAGTGGCGTCACGGCCCATGAAGTTCAGAAGAGCCTGGACACCACCGGGGTGTTCCTCGAGCCAGTTGGTGAGGTCAAGGACGACACCCTTGACGACAACCCAGAGGTCCTCCTTCTTGTTGTGCTTGGCAACCTCCTCCATGGTGTACTCCTTGTCGGGGATGGTGAAAGCCTTGGGGTCCTCCTTCTTGGGGGCAGCGGCGGCAGTGTCCTTCTTAGGGGCCTCAGTGTTGGCAGTGGCCTGAGCACCAGACTCACCGCCCCACTGGACGGAGATCTTGCCGGGCTGCGAGGGGTCGATGTGGAGGGCAATCTGACCAAGACGGGCAGCGCCAGTGTTGCCCTTGAGAGCCTCCTGGAAGAGGTAGCTGCTGGCGGAGTCACCGGCGACACGGCCGTAGACAACGCAGCCAAGGAGGGAAGAACCACCGAGACGGTTGGCACCGTGGACACCACCGGCAAGCTCACCGCAGGCGTAGAGACCCTCGAAGGGCTTCTGCTCAGAGTTGAGGACCTGGGCCTTGTCGTTGATCTCGATACCACCCATGGTGAAGTGGAGGACGGGCTCCATGACGGAGACGTGGAAGTCGTCGTTGATATCGACGGGCAAGTTGTGGAAGAACTTCTTGCCCCAAGGATCCTTCTGCTTGCCCTCAGCGATGGCGTTGTAGGTCTGGAAGGTCTTCTGAAGGTGCTCAGGAGTGCAGCCGATCTCCTTGGCGAGCTCTTGGCCGGTCATCTTCTTCATGAGACCACGGCCAGAGTAGTGGCGGGTGTGGAAGTCAAGGGCCTTGGAAGCCTTGGAGTTGAGAACAAGGCGGATGGGGTACTTGCCCTTATCCTTCTCCTTGTGGATCATGCCAGAGACGTAGTCACGGTGGCCGAGCTCGTCGCAGAAGCGGTCACCATCGCCGTTGAGGAGGAGACCACCCTCACCACGAAGGGCCTCAGCGGCAAGGAACTTCCACTTGGAGTTGGGGTCCTTGGGGTCGACGAGACCGGTAGGGTGGACCTGAACCTTGTCCATGTCGATGCCGTTACCGCCAATTGCCATGACCATCTTCTGGCCGTCACCAGTGGCGTGGGTGCCGTTGGTGGTGGCAAGGCCGTAGACATCGGGGCGGTGCTTCTTCAGGAGGGAGTCCGCAGTGAAATCGGCGGCATAACCACCAGTGGCGAGGACGACGGGGCCATCGAGGGACTGGGTCTCGCCGTTGACCTCATACTTGACACCAGTGACCTTGTTGCCCTCCTTGTTGAGGCTGGTAACGCGAGCCTTCTTGATGATCTGGACGCGCTCGGGCTCGGTCTCGGCGAGCTCCTCAAGGCGCTGCATGAGAGCATAGGTGATGGCCATACCGGGGAACTTGGCATCGTGGCCACGGTGGGTACGAGGCTGGGAGTGACCGCTGAAGGCAGAGTTAGCCGTGTTATTCTTGACAGAGCATCCCATATAAAGGGGTTACTTACCCGAGACGGGAAACGAGGGTAAGGTCGAGGTTGAAGACATCCTGGAGCCACTCAACGGCGGCAGCGGACTTGTAGGTGAGGACCTTGATGAGGTCGGGCCTGGCCTTGTCACGGGCAGACTTGAGGGTGTCATCGTAGAACTGCTTAACGGAGTCCTGGATGCCGAGCTCAACCTGTGTCCTGGTGAGGGCACCGTTGATGCCGGAAGTGGCCTTGGTCGAGTTACCGCCGAAGAAACCCTGCTTGTCGAGGACAACGACGTTACCACCGGAGAGGTAGATGGTGTGAGCAGCGCTCAGGCCGGACACTGCATGCGGAACAAACTGTCAGCAAAATGCCCGTGGACAAGATGACACCGCCAGATGTCGAATGCCGGATGTCGTGGCCCGCGCGCGGGGTATGGCGCAGTGCTCAAGTGGGAATGTTAACTTACGGCCACCGCCAACAACAATAACTCTGGGCGCCATTATGAATATGATGTGTACCTCACAGGAAGAAAAAACCTGAAGTGAATGAGGATGAAAGAGAAAAAGAGGGATGCAGGTCAAGAAAAAGAAGAAGGAGTTTGTAAGCGGCAGGAATGCAGGCCTGGTTATTATTTGGTTGCGAGGGACGGGAGCGTCGGTCGACCTTGGACTTTCCGAACCACGGGCACTAGCAATGGAACCGGGGCCGGGTTGTGTTGGTATTGCTGACACCCTGATTCGTGAGCCGAGGTCGAGCGTGGGTGGGCTCTCAGCGAAACGAGCAGCTGGCAGCGTGTCGCCCCATAACAATGATTCTGTCACTCACGGGGATCTCCATCTTTTCTCCAACAAGAGGAGGTACCTTACCTACTCCTCTCTCTCCCTCTCCAATCCAGGTCAGGCAGACAATATCCGAAACGATGTGAAATGCCGTCGAAACATCTTCATCCTCTTTCCCCACGACACACTGGAACCCGACGCCAGCTCGAGCGATACAGAGGTGCTGTTGATCGAGAACATTGTTGAGACAAAGAACAAAGGATGACGGCTTACGGCATCATAACATCCACTCCAAGGGACTTGTGTGCTTTGGATCTCGCCGCCGATTCCTGGCCGAGGACCTGGCCGTCCGGCAAATGTACCGAGGCTTACCGACACAGAGACCCAAAAGCGGACAACACTAAGGAAAATAGGCAAATAACATCACACAGCACAACCACAGACATTTCACCCACTCTTTCCACTGTGGGGTTCAAGATGCAAAACAGGAGGCTCCATGCAACTCACACTCCGGTACAAATTCCTATTGAGACGTATCGCGGCCCTTCGCCGAACTTCAGTGGAAATCCTTTCGGAGAGAAGCTTTTTTGGTCTTTTTTGACTCTGATGTCCGCCGAAGCTGATGCACACGATGCCACCATGTCCAGATATCCCACACTGGGCTTCCATTCCCACATCTTGGCGCACTTGGCGAAATGCCAAGCTGCTAGGAAGTTAAAGTTTGGTCGCCTGGTTGATCCTCGCTTTCTCTCCTTCCCCAATGGAACCGGCCCAATCCCCATGCTTGATCCCCAGGATTCCCCACAGAGTCACGAGCCGGCCAAGCCAGCTAGGTCTCCACCTCCCCCAATCAATCAAAGGCGGGCGGCTGCCGCTTCTCGTGTGGGTGACGGTTGGAGGTGCCACTCTTTGAGGCATGTGAAATTCGACGCAACCAACAACCCAACAACCCCAGCATTTTCGAGATCAACCATCTTCGAAAGCTTGGCTCAATGCTTCGTCTCCAAATGGGAGGCTGTACAAAACCCGAATCATCAGATGTAATCAAACGCGTCCCGTAATGCAGACGTCGAACCGAACTCTGAAAGTCGGTCAGGGCAGCATCTCCGGGTACCTGATACGTGACCCTGTCTGCAATGCTCGGTTCAGCCGTCGAGGCTTGTCAGATGATGAACACGCTCCCCTAATGCCCTGGCTCCAGGTCAATGTAGCGACGGGAGGGTGCCGTCCCTCTTGACTTTTTGTGCTTTCTGTGGCATGTGATACTCTCCGCTTCTACCTAAACAAACAGTGTCATTGGCAGATCTGTGCTCTTTGACGATATCACTTGCTGTCCATGAATACCCAGCTGTCAAGAAAAAGATTGTAGTCTGATGAATGAGCATGTTCTGCCCGTTTGACTGCAGTGCGTGTTGCATACAGCCTGCGTATCGCGAGCCTGTCAATGTTATGGCCAGCTGGCCGCCTAGGTACATGAGCTCTAAATCAACCTCACGGTGGACCCGAAATGTAAGGAGAAGCGATTTCTAACAGAACCACATCAATTTCACCGAACACCTCCAATCTTCGTGGGGTTGATCATTTTGGATCATTTAACAACTTCAACCCAAAGTCCACGGACATCACGAGATGTGAAGCACACAACAGCAGCGCGGCAATCGCTTTTGATTGACTGCTTCCCCGCCCCCAGGTCGCACGTACGTCATCGCCGACATCCAATCCGATGGCTCGCTCGCTACCGTTCGTTTACATCTCTGTGCAGGTGACCAAACACTCGGATGGTACCAAAGAGGAGAGAGCTCACCATTTGAGTTTTGTTTGTGACGGCCATGAGATTCACGCCTTACCTCGTCCTTGCGCCAACTGCAGTCGTCTTAGCTCAACTCGTTCATCCTCTGCATCGGACAGCTTCCGATATACAGCGACAACCGCAGCCGCAGCCGGCCGACCACGCGCAAATCCCACTTGTAAAGCCTGCCGGAGGACTCGGCTCAGCCATGCCGCCTTCCGGAGCGCCCCAAGCAGACGGCCCCGCGAACGCAGGGGGCGGCAGCTCGGTCATGCTTTCGGATGTTATGGGTCGGGATAAGAGCATCAACCTTTTTGCAGGGTGAGTCGCATTCCATATATTACTAAACAGTGCTGCCAACTCTGCTCGTCCAAGTACTAACTGACATCTCAATCATTGCAGATTCCTAAGGAACATCGAGCCTTCGTCACAACGCCTAGACGATCCTGCTAAGAACACGACCGTGCTCGCACCCCTCAACTCGGCCATAGACAGCCTTCCACGGAAGCCATGGGAAGATCCAAAAGATTACAGCGCTTTGGGCGCCAATGCGTATGAAGGCGAAGATGGACAGGGGAGAGCGCAGCGCAACCTGCGCAGGTTTGTTGAGGCTCATTTGATTCCAACCAGCCCATGGCCGGCGGGCGAGAAGGTCAAGCCGGTGGGCGGTGATACGGAGGTCTGGTGGGAGGAGAAGGATGGGGTGAAACGGGTAAGAGAACAAAAAGAAAACATAGTACACCCTCCTCAAGCTGAGATGATTATACTGACACTATGCCACCGCAGATCCAACCGGGAGACATCGAAGTTGTTAGTGTAGGCAGTACTGTCGTCAATGGCGAAGTGGTAGGTTCACCTCGGTTCCCATTTTGCGTCCACTGTCGTCGTCCCCACTATACACTTTCTTACCCGAAGTTCCTTTGTCGCGGAAATGCTGACCTTGAGACTTTGATCGAACAGTGGATCTTGAAAGGCGTTCGGAATTATGCCTGACTGTCATGGATGGGCGGGATACACGACGTTGAGATTGATTCAAGTATTTCTGAGCAGGAGTAAAGCCTTTGGATTTTAGCGATTATACTGTGATGGGCTACAATAGGAGCTGGAGGACATCCGGTCTTGCGATAAAGCTCACGATAACGCGTTATCGGTGATGCTTGTGGATTTTGGTCTGGTTGTCTGAGAACTGATGCTGGTCACCCTGACAGTTATGGTAGGCGGTAGCCGCCGGCAGGTCTTCAAATGGGACCCACCGCGTATGACACGAATGATGATGATGACACCGCGCGTTGACGGCGTTGAATCGGCCCAAACAACGTCCATGCGGTAGAACACGAGACTGAATAACAAACTAATTCTTTCTGAGATCTCTGCGTGATGGGCTTCGAACTTGCAAACCGTTCAGCTTCGTAGTCAAGAAATATCCGATCAAAACAGCCAAATCCCGTCACTGGTTCCTGAAATGCGCGCCTTGTGTCATATTCGGGCTCCATCGGCGATAGTGTAGATACGTAAGGGGTGAGTAGGGACGATAAGAAGCCTCAGTGGGTCAGGAGCAGCAAAGGAGTGAATTTGATGAGCTCTGATTGGGTGAAATTGGGCTTGGGCCGGGCTGAGGGCCCCAGCCGACATTTTGCCGCCTTATCGCTATCAGTTGGAAAGGCGGAAAGAGATCTGCGCCCCGGTTGCCGGTCTTGCGACACAGAACTGCTTGCTACGTTTGATTCCCGACATCCACTTGGTCGCTAAAATCATCTACTGAACCAAGCCCTTGTTGTCGACAGCCGTGCCAAAATCCAAGTCCAGTCGAGGCCGTCTAAGCATCCGAAATCCAGAGGACATTGTCCATCGATGGTCGCAGAGAGGTTCTATGACACCTGTCGCAGCTGTACGCGCCAAGCTCCCCCCCTTCTTCGTGTTCTTCCAGCCCAGCTTTTTGCCCTGTCCTGCCTGGTCCCCTGAGAGAGCTCCCAGGGCTCCCGCCTCGCCGAACTAGGTGAGGCCGATCTCAGGCAAGCAAGCGCCTGCCGCAACCACACTCCCGCTTTTAAGCCTTGTCCTTTTCACCATATTGACTTCATCACGCAACCAAAACTTGCTCCGCTCCAAACCCCCCACCAGCGCTCCGGTCACATTCAGCTCATTCCTGCATCACCCTAGCATATTCTTGCATCTCGCGTCCACGGCATTGCAACTGACGCCTACCCCCAGAGCCTTCGAACAGTCCAACCACGATGAACTCCCAGCCCCAGCCTCTGCATGGCGGTGGCCCCTTTGATCGCGACCGCGACCGCGAACTCGAGGAGCAAAGACATCGCGCCATCCAACAGGAGGAACTAGCACGACGAGAGAGAGACCGTGATCAGACCCGCGAACGCGAGCGAGAACGGGAACGCGACGACGCCGAACGTCAGCACCGGGAACCCTATCAGCCCGCCGCCACCCCTCACCACAGCAGTGCCGGATCGATCCCCATCCACCAACCGGTTGCCTCTAGAGTTGCAACTACCATCCATAGCCCCGGCGGTTTGCTTGCCAATCACGGAGGCTCTGCTCCTTCCATGCCCATTGGCGCACCCACGGGACCTGCTCCCGCTTTCGGCCCGCAGTTACAACATGAACCCGGTCGGCATCCTCCACACGGCGGGCCTGGCGCTGCGCCGACAACCCAACATCAAATGTTTGCCCCAATGTCTCACGGCCCCGGCGGCCTAAATAATTCCCTAGGAGGGTCGGGCGGACCGGCGTCTCTCTTTGGCGGTCCTCTCCAGCAGGAGAACGGTCGGGGGTTACAGCAGGATGGTGTGCGTGGCATGCAACAATTGCCCTTTGGCTCCAACATGGGCGCTGGCCACCCCATGCCTTCTGGCCCTAGTGGAATGCCCCAAGGTCAACAGCCGATTCTTAACGTGAGTAAATCCATCTAGTCGGTCGGCAGGGTGCGATTTCAATCGCCAGTGGATGCTAACGGTATTCTCAACACAGGACGCTCTGAGCTATCTCGATCAGGTCAAGGTCCAGTTCCATGAGCAACCAGACGTATACAATAAGTTCTTGGACATTATGAAGGATTTCAAGAGCCAAACGTATGTCGGCCCTCCGTGTTCGACAGTCTCCTCTAGAAGCAGGCTAACCGGAAGCAGCATAAATACTCCCGGGGTTATCACAAGAGTTTCCGAGCTATTCGCGGGCCATCCAAACCTAATCCAGGGCTTTAACACATTCCTGCCACCCGGCTACCGCATCGAGTGCGGCTTGGAGAACAACCCGAATAGTATTCGCGTTACGACACCTCAAGGCTCCACCTCGTTCTCGATCGGTGGAAGTCGCGCGCCACAACTCGAACCTACACAACCAACATCAGGTCCTGGTCAGGCCTTCCTAAGTGCACGACCAGGGAATTGGCCGCCATCAACTGTGCAGCACAGCATTGAGAGCCCTGAGGTGGCGTATAGCGTGCCTGCACAAAATGGCCCTGCTGGATTCCCTGGTTCTAACCAGAATGCACCCTTCGAGAATGCCAGTCCGATTCAGCAGAGATCCGTCCCAGCCGGCCAGAACGGAGCTGTTGGCACCCATGCTGGGCCAGCGCCTAGAAATGCGCATACGCCCACACCAACGGTGGCCGGCCAGCCCAACTCAAACGGCAGCGTGGCTCATCAAGCAATCATCGAAAAACGGGGACCGGTTGAGTTTAACCATGCAATTAGCTATGTTAACAAGATCAAAGTGAGTGCATTCCCGTTGGCCGGCGGCGGCTTAAGTGGGAGCAGTTTTCGTGGCAAGGATGGGGCTGGGAAGCCTTTGTGGAGACTGTCGTCTGAACTTGACATGGAACTTGAGTGCGAACTCGAACTGACTCTTTTGCAGAATCGCTTCCAGGACAAACCCGAAATCTACAAGCAATTTCTCGAAATTCTGCAAACCTACCAGCGCGAACAAAAACCGATCCAAGACGTCTACTCTCAAGTGACCACTTTATTTCACGCGGCGCCCGACCTGCTCGAGGATTTTAAGCAATTTCTTCCCGAATCGGCCGCGCAAACGCGACCGGCCGGCCAGCAGCGCCCGGAAGACAGCGCGGCGATGGCGGTTACTACGCCAACTCCTCAACCAGGCCTTCCTGCCCGTGATCAACAGCCCAAGATGCCACCGGTCGGCAATTTTGCGCCTCCGCCGAGCGCCAGCAAGGAGAGCAAGAAGCGTCCTCGTGTGGAGAAGGCCGTTCCCACCACCGCACCTCCCGCATCCGAGCAGCCGCCCGTCTCGAGTTTGCGATCAACCATTCAGCCGGCGGCACCCACCAACAAGCGAGCCAAATTATCACACAAGCCCGTCGTCGGCGATGGCAACTTCGTCGAACCTACATTGATTCCCGTCATGCCGGAACCGCTTGGCCCGATCCCGCTTTCGACATCCGGCCAGGATGATGTACAATTCTTCGAGAGGGTCAAGAAGCACATTGGCAATAGGACTGCGATGGGCGAGTTTATGAAACTCATCAACCTGTGGAATCTTGACCTGATCGAGAAGGATGTGTTGATCTACAAAGCAAACCACTTCATGGGTGGAAACCCCGAATTGCTCATTACCCTCAGAAACATGCTTAGGCACACCGGCACGGAAGAGGTCGTTGAGAACCGGCCTGAACCACCGCCAGGCAAGGTTTCCTTGAGCAACTGTCGTGGTTTCGGTCCCAGCTATCGCCTTCTCCCTAGGCGGGTAAGTGTCTTCTCCATAGTAGCCTTTTTTTTTCCCCCAGCGCGCTAACCATCACGGGATTTCAGGAACGTCTCCGCCCTTGCAGCGGTCGCGACGAACTGTGCAATTCGGTCCTCAACGATGGCTGGGCCTCACACCCGACGTGGGCTTCGGAAGATTCGGGCTTCGTTGCGCATCGCAAGAACGGTTACGAAGAGGGACTCCATCGCATCGAAGAGGAGCGACACGACTACGACTTTTACATCGAAGCCAACCAAAAGTGCATCCAGCTCCTGGAGCCGATCGCCCAACAAATGCTTACGCTTACCCCTGCGGAGCGGCAACATTTCAAGATGCCTGCGGGTCTTGGTGGGCAGAGTACTTCGATCTACAAGCGCGTGTTGAAGAAAATCTATGGGCCAGAGAAGGGCTGCGAGGTCGCCAACGAAATGTTTAAGAACCCTTTCGCCGTTGTGCCTATAGTGATGGCTCGCCTGAAGCAAAAGGATGAGGAGTGGAGATTTACACAGGTACGGATCAACATTTCTTTAACCTATCGTTTGCTGATAGTGTGTGTTTGCTAACCGAATTAATAGCGCGAATGGGAGAAAGTTTGGCAGAGCCAAACCGAAACGATGCATCTCAAGAGCCTGGACCACATGGGTATTCAGGTCAAGACGAACGACAAGCGCAATCTTTCCGCCAAGCATCTGGTCGATGTTATCAAGACCAAGCACGAAGAACAACGCCGACTGCGAGCGACTAAGGCGAAGATACCTCGTTACCAGTTCCTGTACGGGTTCCAAGACCAGGATCTTCTCCTTGACCTCCTTCGCTTCATGGTCATTTATGCGAATGTTGGCGGCCAGCACAACGCCCTTGAGAGGAGACGCATCTTGGAGTTCTTTGAGACATTCATCCCGGCATTCTTTGACCTTCCGGAGGACAAGGTACAAGAGAGAATTGCCGATATCGACCAAGATTCTGGAGAAGAGGATGAAGAAGACTCCGCGCCCGCTGAGCTCACCAATGGCAGGACGCGACGCGGTAAGAAGTCCGATCTACTTCGCGGCGTCCTTGACCCGGGCCGTAATGGCAGTCGCAGCCGGGGCCAGAAGGAAGACAGCGCAGCAACAGGAAGCAAGGAGACGACACCGGATGTTGGGTCTGCAAATGAGGAGGAGATGCCGGATGCACCAGAAGACCGGGCTGTCCCCGAGGTCTCAAATGACCGCTGGTTGCCAACAATTGGTCCCATCGTCTTGGAGAACACCAAGGACGGCAAGCCTGATGGACTTGTCGATGTCGATGGTGAACTGAAGGCGGACGCGCCCTTTGCCCGTGCCTGGTACAACTTTTACTGCAACCAGAACATGTATGTGTTCTTCACTGTTTTCCAGACGCTGTATAAGCGCCTCGAGGACGTCAAGGCCAGCAAAGACAGTGTCCTTGAGGAGATCCGCCGGGAGACTGCTGTTAAGCCCGCAAAGATCCTTGGCATGGTCAACCCAGGTCTGCACTATTTTGACGACAAGAACCCGGAGACATTCTGGCCTCGTACCGTTGAGCTGATTGAGGATTTCATCAACGGCGAGATTGACGAGAGCCGGTATCAAGACGTGCTCCGGCACTACTATCTTCGCAAGGGATGGACAATTTACACAATCCAAGATCTGCTCAAAACACTTTGCCGCATTGGTCTTGCCTGCAACAACCCAGACGCTAAGGGCGAGAAGACCAAGGAGCTCGTGAGAGCGTACTTGGAGAGTCGTCAGCAGGAGACTACCAGCTTCCAGAACGAGATCAGCGCTCGTAAATTTGCGGAGAAGTGCATCAAGGATGCCGATATGTTCGTCATCAGCTGGGTAAGTATCTCTGCCAAGAAAGTGAAATACAATAAATGCTAACGTGTCATCAGTATCCGGGCAAGAAGGAAGCTTCCGTCCGCTGGTTGAAGAAGGAAGACACCACCTTCTACATGGACGAGATGGAGCGCATCCAACAATGGCAATACTATATCTCTTCTTACATGCGTCAAGAGCCCACGGAAGGAGTAGATTCCAAGCAACTCCAGAGGGTATTCCTCTCCCGCAACCACGCCGCCGCAACGGAGGGTATATCCGAAGAGGATTATAAACCCAAGCCACTTGCATATGACGAGGGCCTGGTGATTAGGATTTGCCTCAACTCGTCCAAGATGGTGTTTGAGAAATTCACTTCGGAGTGGTTCATCTACAACACCACCAGCTTCGACTCGGAAGAGGACAGGGTTTTCCATGAGGAGAAGCAGGCGTTCCAGAGAGAGCTGCGCGATGAACGCCTAAAGGAGAAATTTGTTACGAATAACTCGTGGATGAAAGGCCTGAGCCACGAGGAAGTCCAGGCAGCCAAGGACGAGTTTCAGAAGTGGAAAGAAGGCGGTATCGGTATGGTCGAGTCGCAGCAGCAGCAACAGCAGCAGCAGCCCCCACAACTGCCACAAGCCCAGCAGTAGTATTGTGGTCATGGACGTCCTTGGGAATTGGGAGAGGATAGGGTGAGTGACGGATGTTTATGTGGTGGGTCTAGTCGTTTCATCTCCTTTCTGCAGGAGAAATACGCTCTGAGTTGCAGCGTTGGGTGTTGGTCCAGATCATTTGGTGATGGAATTCAAAAGGGAGTTGATGGGAAACGGTACGATTTGTTCTAGTCGTGGCTTTTTTTATTTGTTTTCTTTCAGCCTAGGCGAAGGAGCGTGTGGGTATCAACAGAACAGAACAGGACTAGGTTGATTATGAAGTTTGAATCCAGTTCGTTGTTTACAGAATGAGATATGGGAAAAGTAGGCGTACTGAGAAGGGGGGAAAAGCAAAGGGGGACAACGTTTGGAGAGGGCCAAGTGTAGTAAAAGGGACTCTCCGCGTAGGTACAGGTACATTTGTAACTTGAGGCTGTCACTTGACGAGGGGTCAAACTACTATTAGCGAGAACCATTTGTTTGTTTATATTCATTGTCGATTAAATGTAGTAATAGAGAACACGGTGCTGCAACCGCCGGGTTTAGCGGGGCTGCCCCGGTCGCACGGCCCCAGTGCTCCCGCAGCATATATAGAGCCCTCCTCTTCCACGTCCCTTTCTTGTACTCTCGACTTCTCCCTCACTCTTACTCCTGCGCTTTCCCCTGCCCTCTCTCATCGCCACCCCCTGGCCCAATGTCGTCCGCGCTTTGATCCTCATCTCGCCATTTATGATAAATAAAGGGATCAAAAAGATTGAAGGAAAATTAATAGAACAGGTACCGTGGCTCAGGAACACGGATGACATGATCCTGAGACTATTTATCCGCAACTCCTCTTTGTTTTCGATCGAGTTAAGCTTGCAGTTTCGCAAGCCTCTTTGATTCCTCGGTCCTTTTGTCAGGCAGCACACTTGATAGGTGCTTTTGCAGCCTTATTGCATTGTGACCCAACTATTCCAAGATTCTATAGAGGTTTTTGGAAACACTAAAATACTGAATCAACGATAATCACTCTCAAATATAAACTAACAATTGTCCAAGTAGCTGGTTCTCTCAACGTCTGCCCATGGCATGCAACCCAGCATTCCACTCTACTGATCCCTCTTCTTCAGCTCAATATACTGAGCAAACAAGTCTAGCACATCATGCTTATAAGAGTCAAGCGGCCCAAAAGTCCTGACCGTCTTCTCCGTGTCCAGACGGACATCAGCGCCGGGCTGGCTGCCCCCGAGCGGAAACGTCCCATCCCGCACCGCCTCCGGAAAGGCCCCGGCCACAACGTCGTTGATCTCGTCGTACGACGGCCGATGGCAGTCCAGGACAAAGCTATCGCTGCCCTCGACGACCGCCTCATCAAGGGCGAGGACGTGGACGCGCGCCACGTCAGACAAGCCCACCACGTTGACGGGGAAAGCCTCGGCCTTTTTTCCAAGCGCGACGTTGAGGATCATACCGTTGCTGCCCCCGCCGGCCGTCATCTCTCCGACGTTTTTGTATAGCCGGTTGGGCCCCACGACTACGCCGGGCATGATGCTGACGAGCGAGAAGCGCGGGCCCTCGTCGGCCATAAAGCGGTCCGTGTAGTCCAGGGCCAGGGCCTTGGAGTCGATGTAGGCCTTGCCCGGATGGCTCCAGGGCCCGGTGGGCAGGGGACGGACGCGGGAGTCGCTATCGTAGACCTTGTCGGGATTGCCGCTCATGAGCTTGTCGAATGGTACTATGGCTACCACGGTAGATGTGACGACGATGCGTTTGAGAGTCGTGGATTTCAGGGCTGATTGCAGGATGCTCTTTGTGCTTTCGACGGCCGGCTTGACGATGTCATTCTCGGGGTCATTGGTCTAGATCACACACCCTTGATGAGTATTCGCTCAATGCTTTGTTAAGATCAAGATTTCTTACCGGGTTTAGGATTGGGCTCGCGATATGCAAGACGTGAGTGACACCTTGAAGGGCGCTGTCAAAGGCTCCGGGAACGGTAATGTCGGGAACCAGCACACCCTCAAACTGGGAGGCAAAAGGCTTGACGAGGGGGTGCGATTCTAGTTCTTTGAGCTGACTTGCGCGTCGTGCGGAAACACGAAGGTTGTAGCCCGCTTTGAGAGCCGTGATCAGGGTTGCGAAACCGACATGGCCAGTGGCGCCGGTGATCTGTCAGGTACCGTGTATAATCAGCATACTGACTACAATTTGAGCTTTGCAATTTTTGGAGCTGTTCTTACCAGCACAAGTTTATTTGTCATGTTGACAGTTTTTCAGAACGCAAGTGACTATGCCTCGATGATCCCGTTAGAGTCAATCTCTTGGCTCTGAATCAACCTCTTTATATACTCTTTCGACCTACGAAAGCGCATCGCGTACGAGAGCGCCATTATTCATTGTGTCCTCCTGTCCAGCTGCGTGCTCGTGGCTGACTTGATCAACTTTCTGACCTTGCTATGCATACTTCTCATCCAGCACTTATTTCTGACCGCTGAGTAATGAATTCGGCATTGCGAGGGGCTTTCCATGAGCATTTGGCCCATAGTGTGCGGAGATGCCACAAGTTGAACTGGTCCAGATTGCTAAATTCTGACCAGGTCAGAAAGGTATATCGTGTCAGGGCAGGGTCGTGGGTTTTGTCATGACCTGACCAGTTTGTTGGAGTTGCGATTAATAATCATGAGAGTTAGGACTACCCGTTAGTCAATCTGGGGTATCGATATTAATCGCAACTCCGACAACCTGGTCAGGTCATGACAAAACCCACGACCCTGCCCTGACACGATATACCTTTCTGACCTGATCAGAATTTAGTAGTCTACTTGAATAAGCCTACTATGGAAGCCATTTGGAAGCCTTATATGAAATCTGCCGAGGAGGACGACTGGACCAAGATCGCCGATGCCGCGGAGAGGAAGCGAGTACAGAACCGCCTTGCACAGAGAGCCCATCGTGAGAATCACATGCCATGACATTCTTCATGGCTGAAACTGATGGGATTCTGCAGGCCAGAAACGTGGACGACGGCCAAAGCGCGTCGGGGCAGGGACAGCATATTCGAGCCCAGCTTCAAGATCTTCAGATGGCATTGGCCGACACTCATCCAAATCTACTCTAACCGTGAGAGAAGCGCGGTTGAACGAGCTCTCATCATCAGCCGCCAGCAAAAATAAGCCCGAGGAGATTGCAGAAGCGGCCAAGGGTGAATGGACGATAGATGTGTATGATGACCAGGCTGTCAGCAGCACCGGCCCCCTCGGTACTGGGAAACCAAGGTGAGTAGAGCCGTTCAGACTGCACAGTTTTGAGAAACAGAGGTCTCGCGCTCGAAAGCTAGCATCTGGTCTGACCCGGCGTCTCGCAGCGAAGAAATCATGCCCATGCTGCCGGTTGCCAGCCACGCGGAATCGCCATCACCGCTGGCCGAAGTGCAGCTCTTCTCCAGCACCTCCACCCTGGCCGCCCTGCTCATCAACGCGAGCATCCTGGAAATCAACTGCGGCACGAAGCCCCGTCCCGCGATCCACGTGGCCGAGTCGGCGCTCGCGCCGGCCGCCCTGAAGCCGACGCTGCTGCAGGTGTCGGTGCCGCACATGCCCTACGTGGCGCTGCTCCCCTTTGCGTCGTTCAGGGATAACCTGCTGCGGGCGAGGGACCGACTGTCGGCCGTCGAGTTCTGGACCGACGTGGTGCAGAACGTCCGGGTGTGGGGGAGGACCCCGTGGGACCGGCGAGGCTGGGAGGTGCAGGAGTGGTTTGCTGTCAAGTGGCACTGGCTCATGACGGAAGAGGTGTTGGAGGAGACCAACTTTTGGAGGGTTTCTCAGGGCCTGGATCCTTTGCAGCTGATGAGTGGCCTCGGAGCGGTTGCTGTCTAAGCTCTAGACAAATTTGTGTATGGAGGTGCTACCCCGGAAGCCCTGTCCGGCCTTGTATACGAGCGATTCTTGTTCTTGGAAGATTTTGAATAATGATTGGACGTCCTCACGAGCGCGTATTGGCTTACCAAAGTGGTAGCCTCCTCTCTCGGGTCAGAATCCAGATCTAGAGGCGGAAACGATCATGGGTCAGCATGTGTCAGAACCAGTGCTGCACACAAATCAAATAGTAACAAAGCAAAGCAAATCTACCCCCAGTGTAACAAATCAAATCTGTGTAAAAAATCAGTCAAATCAATTCAAATCTGGGTGCAGATTTGCCTTATTATCTTTGCATAATTGTTTCGTTAGAGCTATAAGATTTTTTGTAGCAACATACCTCTCCGATGCGTGTGGTGTAACTTTTTCTGCAGACGTTCGGGTGCAAATGTACTCGTCGGTTAGGTATGGAGTCCACCCTCTGGGGGTCTCGCTTACAGCTAGCCAACCGACTCTCATCGTCCCTTTGAGAGTCGGATTTTTTATATGTAACGTGCAAGGTCTGTAACGGCCAGAATTTTCAATAATCCGTTTCTTTACCAAAATATAAGTAAAAAAGATAGCAAAAGATTTAGATTGTTCGTCTCAATTGCGCGCATTCAATAGTATAAGTGAATTATTTTTAAAATATTATAATATATTATTATAGTATCATAAAGGCCTTATAGCCTATATGCCAAACTTTTACAATATAATATCTAATTCCTCCTCTTCCTCCTCCTCCCCTTATAAATTCCTATTATCGCTAAAATCGTCGTTTATAATAATTATTACCCTTATATAGCGCACGGGTACTTCCAATTTCTTGCTAACTACCGTTATAGTCATTATAGCCTCCTCGTTAGAATTTATATCGATAGCTTTTTCCTTCCCCTTCTTAGATTTCTTCTTAGAAGGGTATAGTGTTAAAGGGAATTTTAATTTTAACCTAACTAAATAAATGTACTATAGTATGATAGGGAATTTATTAAATATATCCTTTATACCCCTATTATTTAGAATAAATTTAACCAATGAGGTGCTCCTTCTATGAATCTTTCTAACCTACTTCTTATTGTATATTTTAAAAAGTATAAAATCTATATTATAGCTAGGAAGGGTAACCTTCCTTATAGCCTTATAGAATTTATCCTCCTCGTTTTTAAAATTAATTAAGAAAACGTTAAGGTCCTATTCTATTGGTTAGATAGCCTTCTATACCTTTATTTTTAATATATAATATAAATAAATAGGACTTTAAATACGAACTATAAACCTACGGCGGTCGTTATTAATAACAGCCTCGTCCTAACCTTCTTTTTACTTAAATATTAAATTATATTCTAGGTAGTTTATAATAATACCGACGAAGTTATTAACATTAGGAACGTTATTCTCATTAAATTTAGGTATAGCCTTCTTCTTAACCTTTAATTTTCGTAGTAACTATTATTTAAAATTAGGATTTTCCTCGAAGGCAACCTTTTTAATAAAGGTAAGGTTAATTCGTTATATTTCTTTTAATCCTTCCTCTATATTAACTACCCTTTTTACTATAACTTTAATATTAAATATTCTTTTATATAGGTACTATCGCTAATAAAAATATACTTACGAAGGTTCTGCTTCTAAGCTTCTACTTTAATACGGCGCTTCTAATTCTTCTACTAATTAAATAATAATTTTTATATATTAATAGAGACTTTTGAGGTAATTTTCATATTACTAACCTACATTTTAAATAATAAATTAGCCTCTTTAATCCGTCCCCATATAGCTAATAAATCGAAAGTATAAAGGACTTTACATAGTATAATAGTTTTAAAACGTTTAGGGAATAAAGGTTTTTGCTATACTTTTATAATTTTATAAAACTTATTAAGAAGGACGTTAGATTTGAGAGGCTAAAAATTAATCTTTTCTTATCCTTTATAAATAATATTTCGAATAAAACTTACTTCTTTAATTTTCTTCTAATTATTTAAGAAAACCGTACAATTAATATTAATAGCCCCGCTAATAATCTCATCTACTAAAACCTTTGAATAAACCTTCTTAATTACTTAATAAACTCCTATATTAAATAATTAAAATATGTAGTTAATATATAAAGGTAGAATATAAAGTATAATATCGAAGGCTTTATAATATTATAGAATATATAAATCCTTATAAATTTTAAATCCGTTTATAAATAATACTCTATACCTTTAGCTTTATTAAAAGTTTTACCACTATATTATCGCTACCTTTAAAAGGCTCTAATCTTTTAAAAGAAAGTAGGTAATTAAATAACAAACTAAACCAATCCTTTATAATGCTATTAAATAAAAGAGATAATTAAAAGAATACTTATTAAAGTACTTAATTTATTACAATACCCGGTATATATTATTATATCTAATCAATATATTTATAATAACTACGTCTAGATTTACTTCGTAATTAACCTATATATTACTTTATATTTATAATTAAATAATTTAAAAGAAATTAAATTTAATTACAAACAACGAAGTTGGAACCTTACTATAATCTATACTTCAAATATTAGAAAGGAAAGGATATTCTTAGCCGCAGCCAATATAGTATCGATAATAATTAAATTTTCTTTATTATTAAGATTAAATATAATACGCCTTATACAGGCTCTATTCTTTATAAATAATATTTATTATTATAACAATTAGTATAAAATTATTTAATAAAGCAATATAGGGGGATATAATAAGGTAATATAGTCCTATACCTTTATAACTCCCTTAATTTCCCCTACTTAAAAGGGAAACTTATCTATATTCTAAATATTCTCCTCCTTAATATTAAAACTATTATAAATAGCCTTCACGTCCTTAAACTAATCTTTAAAAGAATTTAATTAAACTTTAACGTTTATCCTTTTTACATTTTTAAAACTACCCACTTTAAATTCGAACTTAAAGTATTTCTTTCACTACTTAATAAACTAATTCCTATAGAAGTTCGTTAAAGAGGGGTATAACCATTAAGTACGCAATTAGTTCACTAATTTAACGAAGGAAGTATTATTTAAAAGGAAATAGCTATAATTAACGATTTAAACTACAATATTAAGAATTTTATCTTTGTTTACAATTAGGGCTAGCAGTTGATAGGCTTTTGTATTAATCGGTAGAACCTTTCCCTCCTTAATAAATATTATATATTTCTTAACAATAGCCTTATTAATATTAAATAATTCCCTTATATTCTTATACGTAACCCTCCCTTTATTTTTACTTTAATATTAGCCTTAGATTATAAAGTAGTAGATCGGGTTATAATTGCAGTCTAACTTACAATAAAATACCAGGCGGCCTTCTCTACATGGGATGTAACGTCGAGGTTAAATATAAGTATAATAAAAGTATATATAAAAGATAGAGTACGACGAAACGAATCGAATAAAGTTATTTATAGTACGATATAATAAAGATTGGTAATGTTTTGGTTGAATATAGTTTCTATACCATTACAGACCTTGCACGTTACATATAAAAAATCCGACTCTCAAAAGGATGATGAGAGTCAGTTAGCTGGCTGTAAGCGGGCCCCCAGAGGGTGGCCAATGCGTGCACCTAACCGACGAGTAGGCGCATTGATGAAAAAAGATGTCGTATTTTGGTAGTAATTTTTAGTGCTTTTGACATGGGATATTGGTGTTTTTGAACGTCCTCTCCTCCCTTTACTTCTCATTGCCTCCCCTGCACAACTGGATATGGGCACCGGAAGGATAATATGTACCGGAAAAATGACATTCCGGGTCAAATCTAAACAAAGCAAATCAAATATTACAGTAAACAAAGCAAATCCGACCTCAAAATCTTGCAAATAAATCAAATCAGATCCCAGATTTGATTTGATTTGCGTTGTGTGAACCACTGGTCAGAACGTATTGGAAATACAACATTTGTGCTGCAAGGTACCGAACTGCAAGGTACCGCCAGGCTGGTGCCCCTTTCAAGTGCGTACAGCCAGGTATCGAAGCTCGGACCAGGTAGCTATTCGATGGTCATGCTTGGCAGTCACTTCACCACCACCACTCACTCTCCTCCTAGCTCACACAAGCTCCAAACTTCCTCTTCTTCCTTTCCAGTTTGGCGGCTCAAGGTTGGGATCACAGTACCAACCAGCCGCATGGAAGAACCATAAAACACTCCAGCCACATCATTCTTCTTCTTCTTTGTCCGCCCCCGCCCCCGCCCCCTCCCCGTCATGCTTGTCCGGCCGCCGCCGCTCTTCGGCGCCACTATCGGCATTCTGCCACCATGCTTCCCACGTTCAGTGCTAGTCACGAAGACGACAATATCGGCGAAAACAGCAGCCACAAAAGTACTTGGATCACCCGTGAACGTTGTTGCGGCTTATCATATGCGGGGCCCGTCACAGTTGCGATGGCAATCACAACTTCTTTGTCGTAGCATGGAAGCGCTACCTCAGGCACAGAAGATCACTCCAGTCGCAGCACCAGTCCGACTGAGTGGGAGGAAGTCTTCGCTAGTGATGCGACTTGTTGCCATCAGACTGGCCTCAACTGAGTCACCGGCGGCGCAAAAGAAACAGGGAGGGGTAGTACAGGCTAGCAATGGAGAACAGACACAGGCACAGACACAGGGTCAAGCTCAACTACCACCGACTGCTGCGAATGGGGTCCCGCAGCTTAAGGCGCCGAAGCTTGGTGAGATTCTCTTTCTGGGCTTTCCCGTTCGTACGGACGGGGTGGAAGTGGAGGGTGAATCAAAGGGGAAGGGTTCATGAAGCTAATGCTGAATGTGTTTATTTGCAGAATATCCTGAGCGTTTGCTTATCTATAATGCCGGCAAGGGGAGTAAGTATCTATTATTCTTATTGTGTTTGTTCAGTCTTCTTGGGTGGGTTTCGTGTGGTTCGAAGGACACAGCCGAGGTGCCATGGACTTGGTCTGTTTACTTCAGCAAGAACTCACTTACCCTCCAGTTACTCAACCCACTCTCAAACAAGTAACCCATGCTAATCTGACATCTTCTTCCAAACAGAAATCATCTTCATCGCCCTCCTCAAACTCACCACGGTCTTGATCTTTTCCGCCTTCGGCCTCTTCGTCGCTCCAGCTTACATCGTTAACGGGTCGCCCCTCGCTGGCGTCGCCAGTACGTTTTATCTATCTTTCCCTCTCCCCTTCCCCCCTTCTACCTTCCTTCCCCCCTTCCCTACCAAGCACAACCTCTAACAACTCCACAGTCTTCACCTGCGGCCTAACCCCCCTCCTCTTCCTCGCCCACTCCTCCCGCCCCTTCGTCGCCCAAATCCACCTAACCAAGCTCCCCCCCTACGCCCGCCTATCCTCCGACGTCCTCCTCCGCTTCGCGCGCTCTCTGCCCCCTCAGTCTGCCTCCCGTCTCGAATTCGTCACCATGTCACTGATCGGTAAGCCGCGGGTCTCCAGCGTCAGCGTAGCTGACCTAAAACCTGTTTCTTCTCTTCCTTCCTTCAAAAATGGCTGGTTAAAGAGGGTGAATTTCGTTCGCGTCGACCCCCAACCCACCACCCCCTCTACCGCAACCACCACCGCAACAACAACAACAACAACAACAACAACAACAACCAATCCCAAAACCAACAACAAAAAACTATCCTCCACCCAATGGAAAATCCAACAACTCCAAACCCAACAGCAACAACTCAAAGAGAAGAAACAGCAAGGGTGGAAGCAAAGGATTTTTTCGTGGGCTCGGTTCAAGAGTGTTAAAGAGTTTTACGTTACTGATGTCCCCCAAAAGACGGCGGAGAAGAGGGGGGTGAAGGAGGCGAGGGTTTGGGAGGAGATTCGGGGGTTGATTGAGAAGAGGGCGGTTAGGGAGGCGGAGAGGAGGATGGGGGGTAGGTGAGGGTGAGGACAGAGTGAGGTATGTATGATTAAATGGGGACTAGAGTGGTGGCTTGGTTGTTGTGGCCGAGTGCCATTTGTAACTATCTCTAGGGGGGAAAGTGTATAAGGCTCATAGATATGCCATGCCCTTTCTTTCAGGAATCTACGCCTGCGGCACTAAATCATGACTGCTCTGTTTGTTGTACATTTATTGGGGTGCATGATACCTATGTAGGCAATATCATCACATCCAATGCCTGGCTGGCCATGCTATCAAACCTCAGTCGATCCTTCAATGTGCATTTTCTCTATATCACAAACATCATCTACAATTATCCCCATCCAATGCTTCATTTAGCTCATCAACCATCAGCTCAGCATACAGCTATTCGTCCAAGCTAGAACATGGCGCTTTACATATCCAACAACAAAATTCCTCTCTCAACTCTTACATCACCACCTATTGAACCATCACCGACTCCAAGACTGAAAGCCTCCCCATGGATATGTAACACAACTTTCGCGTGAGCGTGGTATAGAACTAGTAATACAATGGCTACAAAAAATAGCCAAAAAGAAACGAATGGTATCCAGATTTCCGACCACCGGAGAATAATGTTGAATGTATGAGAAAAAAGAATCTCCCCTCCTTTATGATCAAGACCCTAGATCCCGCCACCCCTACTGTCCCGTCTTCCGGGGACAGAGAATAAGATCCCTCCCCGAATGATGCCCTGTTGATTGTTCCCTGCCGAGGCGTACCGGCCACCGTCGACTGAGTTTTCTTCCTCTCTTATTTTTTCTTCCCCGATCGTCAAATATGTTTGGTATAGATGCTTCCTTTTTGACTGTGCCGTTGAAAAAAATATGACAAAGCAATGAGAAAAGCCATTCTTGCTGATGCTTAGGTCGAAAGTCGTTATCATGACATCAATGAAACTCTGTCCGTGTTACACAAGCATATATGTCATGCAATGCCGTTTTGATCTGCCTGTAACCTGGTATATCATTCACCAGGAGACTATCCAATCCTGACAATCTCAATGTTCTCGTCCCGTGGTCGGGTTGTGTGGGTGTTGGAATTGGCGTAAGCATCATATATGTGTGTGACGGCGCTACGTCGCGCGATGAAGTGTCCAGCTGTTATCGATTACGCTTGACTGACATATGGCCATCGTAATCGCCCCCCCATGAGCGCTTGAGGCCTCCCTCGTAAACGCTAGCCACAGACTCTTGCCACATCGCAGGGGTGACGAATGTCTGTACTGGGTTGGTTGGGTACTGCGGCATCTGCTGTGAAACGGGAGAAAGCTGAGCCTGGGCCGCCTGCAAGTCTTGGATGCTAGTTTCCGAGGCACCAGAAGAGGGAAGAGATAATGGACTGGCATGGTTGGTGAGCTGAGAAGGATGCTGAACCTGAGGGTTGCCAAACTGGGCATTCCATTGACTAGGATAACGGTTAGTACTGAAAGGACCACAAATGGATCTCTTCTCTTTCGAACGACTTACTCAAAAATGCGAGTCGGGTTCCACGCGGGGGCGTCCGCGAGTGGCATCGTCTGCGCCATGGAAGGCGCTTGTGTCCCGTGACCGGAAGACATCATGGCAAGTGACTGTAAATCATGGGAGTCACTCTTGTTGTCCATTGGGCCAACCGAAATGGGCGGTGAAAGGGGATGAGTGGTGTAACTAACGTGAGAATGTTGCACATGCGTATCGAGCTGGTGGTCGATGGAACCAGTCCTCGACATATCGGATCGATACGACGGGCTTGGATGCGAGTTTGACGATGGGCTTCCGTAGGGGAAGCTAGGCTTCAAAACAAACGGCTTCCTGATATCCTGGGAAAAGGCCTCCCGAACGGAATCAATCTGCCGCTGCATGTCGGGCATTGGCCAAGCACCCATACATTTCTCTAATACCCGCATGTGGCGTGTGAAGTACTCTCGCGACTCCGCGTTGAGGGCCGGATCCGGCGATGTCAAAGCGACCTAAAGCCAGCGTTAGTAGGGCTCAGCCAAGACTAGATAAAAGGGGCTAGAGCGGCGACGAAGACATACTAAATGCAATACAATACAAGCGAGGACCGCATATAGCGTGAAGTTGATACCTCGCTGCATGCACTGTAGCCCGGCAATGCCAAACTGGTTGATAATGCCTTCTTGTAACCTGCAGAGCATCTTGGCGGCGCGGTATGAGACCAGCATGTGTTGCTTCCATTGACTTCCAGTACCTGTTGGCGTCATATGGGCCAGCTGAGGCCTGTGGAACAAAATGATGCTAAGGTGATAATACGAATGCATATTGCCGACAAACGACGAGGGCAACCACGGAGGAGACCCATCAGCAGGGAAATCAAGCTGAAGGTCATGTGGTAGGTCGGTCAACCATGCGTCCATGGCGGGCCTAATCTGAACGAATTCAGGGTCGATACCCCACTCCTTGTTTCTCTTAAGGCGTGAATAAACTCTGCTCATCCGGCAGACGTTCCGAACAACCTTGGAAAAGTAAACAAAGTTTCGGGATACATGGTACTCCGACGTGTCGCCGTTGGGCAAGGGTCTTGGAACTTCAAAATTGACAGTCTCTTCTTCGACCGCAAGATCCGTTTTTCCTAGCAAAACGTCAGCATCCCATATGCCAGGAAGAGAAATCCTCGACTTACCTTGAGGGGTACCAATCATAATCTCCACGATGAAGATAGTCTGCCAAATCCTGTCTCTCAACTGACACTCTGCAGGGCTTAAGCCACATGATCGACCGGCTTGGTGATCAGCATAGTGCTCGTCCAGCCCAAGGTCCTTAGCCATTGTAACACATTGGACAATGCTCATCCAAGAGCGGTAGTAGTAGCCCTTCTTCGGTGCTTGTTCCCTCGCCTTCAAAAGGATCAGTGATGCCTGGAGGGTGCTCAATCGAGGTACATCCAGGAACGAATCGGCATGACCTGTGTTTCACGTTAGCTCATGATCAGAGGGAGAAAGGACGGGATTCGTACGTGTTGCAAGATAAAGCCACTGCTGGCCTTGCGCCGCATCATCAGCCAGACGATTAGCAATCGCAAAAATGGCCTCAAGGATGAGGGGTGAAATGGCCTCCCGGTTATTGTGCCACTGATGATAGAACTGATTCTTGTCCAGCACTGGAACATAAGGATGCGTATGCGTAAAGTAGAGATCAAAGTAGTGGAGGCACAGATCTTCCGACGGCATCAGAGCGGGCGGTATGCGAATCTTGCCCGCCGTCAGAGGCGGTAGGTTCTTTGTAAACTGGTCCTCTTCGGTCTCTTCCACGGAGGGCTCTTCATCATCGGCCGATCGCATTTTGCTGTTCAGATACGGAGCTAGAGCCATGTTAGACCTGAAAAGCTCTCGAAGTCAATAGAAGCCGCCATTTCTCACCTGTTCCTGCTTCGTTGACCTTGAGTGAGCCCAGAAGGTCTGCCAAGTCCTGCTGGGCATATTCGGATTGATAGTCCTCTGGTGAAGAAGGATGTTGAGAGATTTGAGGTAGCTGTGACACCTGGGGTACCTGGTGCATGGAGGGGGGCGTCGGAAAGGAATCCGGGGTCGCATATGCAGAGTGCACGGCGGCATACTGAAGGTTTTGGGGTACAGCTTGCGGCTGCGTGTACGGCACGGTATGGTACAGCGCTGCGGTGTCCTGGAAGGAGGTCGGAGGAGGATATATCGGCGTGGCTTTGGGAGCTTGAGTGTGGGTGAGGAGCTGCTGGTGGTCGGTCAAAGCCATTTGCTGCTGTTGATAACTCTCCTGAACAGGCGACGAGTCGAACTGGGCACGTGGAGGTTCGTAAACTTGGGGTTCGGCGGCTCCGTCAAATCCATTTGGCCGAACGCAATGAAGCTTGAGGCGGATGCACGCCGAACAGGGCCAAGTGTTGGTGGTGGCGGCGTCACATTTGATCTTCCTTCTTCGGCATCCTTCGCAGGCTCTCATAACTATATACGACCGTCAGTCTCAAAGTCCTGCTTGGTGTCTTGATGCCTCCATGAGACGGGAAAGGGATTCTTCCAACGGGGAAACAACATGATTGGAGTATCGGGTGGGTGTATGTTCGCTTGCTTGCTTTCTCAACATCTACATACCCTTCAACCGCTTGTGGCGATTGTGTTCGTCAACGAAGACATAGTCTAAAGAACCAAACAGCAGACTGGTTAACGGACGTTCTCTTATTTTCCAAATAAGACGGAGGGGGGTATCCAGGAGACAAGACTGATAGGGGTCGCACTTTTCTGAGTTTCGCGCGGCGGTTGCTGGTAAGCAGGCGGCGCGAAGGTAAATGCACCCATCTGCGAAGTCTGCGGGAGCAGCCGGCGCACTGACGGGTCGTTCGACATGCTTAGAGGAAGCGGTGATATCGTCTGATGTCGAGTGTGTAGAGGTAAGATGGGATGACAGTTTCAAGGTCTGGTGCTGTTTGGCGAATGACGGGGGAATGAGCGCTTCCACATTGGCTTCTCGCTATCCTTGATTCATGAGTCGGATCGGATGAAAATCGTCCAAACGTCGCGGCTTGTGTCCTGAAAAATGTGTGTAGTGTATTCCTGGCGGCGCTGTTCGATGTGTCCGAGGGAGCAAAGGTGTGTCCAAGATGTCGGCGCGCGAATTGAGTTTGACGGTCTGATGTGGGCGGTGTTGAGACTGAAGCTGCTGGGCCGGCTCAATTGATGATGTAGTAGGCAGTGGAGGCCGGTGTGCTGGTAGGGAAGTGGCAGGTAGTTTTATTTGAACGTTGCGTTGGCGGGATGATAGTAGCGTTGCTGGCGGACGGAGCGTTCAAGTACTTGCCACCTCTACACTACCTCTATCTAGCACTAGCAGGTGTAGGTAGCGGCGGTATGTACTAGGAGTAGCCTCAACTGTCGATGGCCAGGGGCAGGGACAAGCAGATCGCACACAGCAAGCCGCGTATACAATGTTCCTACGGCGAGGCAGTATATGCCGCAGCTCGTCAGTGGTAACAGTAGAGGAACTGAGTGAAACAAGGGGGGATGGGAGGGGATTTTAGGGATTACGATAGATCGAGCTTTAACAGGAGGTTTAGGCGGTAGAGAAAGGTACATCCGTACACGACCAGGCAAGCCAGCCCAGCTACCTTTCCACTGGGTCTGTCGTCTATGGATGGATCCGGTCCCAGGTCTTCCCTGATCTTTTACGGTGGCTCGAGGGTGGATTGGTGATTTGTGGTGGTCGTAGTGGTGTAGCATACAGTGTGCACTATGGCATGCCAAGGTAACCGCAGAGCAGCATAAAGACAGGGCCTGCCTGACATCTCGACGAGGGGGTTCACCCTTGCTACAGACTAATCCCAAGACTGGCTTGTCGTTCATCAGGATCAGCCATGGGGCCTGGACATGGATCCCCTAGCGCTCAATGGACTCGCTCTGTTCGGGGGTTCGGGGGGTTAAATTGTGCCTCTCCGTTGTTGGGACACCCACCACACACCTTTAACTAATCTCTACACTTCATGTAACTGACCTTCTCTTCACACATCGGAGGATCCTATCCCAAGCCATGAATGACATGTGCCCAGTGTGCATGTCTCGAGGTACTTTGTACAGATTGTGTCCGGGCGGGGTTTCTTTCCATGAACAGCAAGAAAGACACCGCAGTCGGTGAACACAGAACAAAGGCGTACAAGTAGGACTCGCTGGATGTGGTACATGTCAGAAGCCCTGGGGTATTACCAAGCTCCTATCCCTTACATATACCTCGTGCTCGTTGTCTTGGGGGATTGCCATTACCAATGCGCATGGGTACGAATATAGTAACTCGTGGTGGCACCTCGATGTTACTCTAGACATCGAACCTAGAACAAAAGTTGCTGCAGACTGGAAGATTGGCAAAAAGAATGCGTACCTAGCACTCTAGCAGAAGTCTGGCGGCGGGACAAGGAACCCGCCCCAATGCCGCCGCCCCAAAGCACAGGGAATATCGTGACAATGGCATTGGCTGGTCTCGCAATGGAACCCTGCTACCGATGAGAACCGACGGTAGCAGTTCCTCGACGGAATCAGCTCTTTTTTACTGTGTTTCCGTGCAAGTGGAATGCTGCTGAATAGGTGCCCAAAGGCAGATATGGGGGACACCTAGTGACGGTACCTTGCGGATACTGTACAGCATCAACCGCCGTAGACTTTTGCTAGAAGCCAGGTGAGCCAGGCAACCAGCATCCGTATCCGGTGTTCCCTCAGCCGCATGTACTGCCATCTGCTATTGGATATCCTTCGTTAGTCCAGCTCACGGGGCAAAGAAATGATAGTGGTACATGGCCAACGTAATTACAAAGTTCGTGCTCTGCTGTAAGATATCCGGATGCTTGATGACGACTTTCGGGGGCTCCCTCTTGGTTCCCGCCGTCGTTGTTGGTTTTCTAGCCCCAACTGACGGGATGTGGTGGGAGGGTGGATGCTGTGATGGATGTGCGGGAGCGAGGAGAGTGGCCGCGTAAAGACGGGACTCCAGGTCCAAGGTTCCGTCGTCCCAGGTGGGGAAGCACTGAAAGACTGGGCTTCGAATCAGCATCTTCAAGATTCGCCCACCCCCCTCCTGCCGCCAATGTATCTGTAGCAGCCCTTCGGGTTGTATTCAAGGCCAGCATGTCGACATGGCTTTGAATAACAACAGCAAGTATCATCCATCTTGGCTCACACTGAGTTTAGGATGAGTTTGCGAACGGACGCTGTTTAGGCACTTCTAGGGATACGGCATGTCTCGGTGAGCAGAAGGGGATTATCGTTGGCACTGACCTCTCTTTAGTTCTTGAGGTATATCTGGAAAAGCCTCTGGGCGAGTTCACGGTAACCGGCGAAGGCATATCCTAGCAACTCGAGGACACTAACCTCATTGAGCGTCAGCGAGGAATCTCCAAACAATCGCGAGATTTGCTTTTCCACAGTCGACTGCCCTGGCGGGATATTTCGTATGCCTGCCGGGCATGGAAGATCGATCGGGCAGAACGGGCAATCATCACAGCGGACCTTGTTGTCTTTTCCTACTTTTACTTGGTGCTTCTGGTTGAGTCCTGGGGCCCTGTCTCACAGTGGGAATCGCACGACAACGCAAGAAGGCTAGCCGCGAACCCTGGGGAAAGGCAGGGCATGGATCCAGTCAAAGATCTTAGCGTTTCTGTTAAGATATGAATCTTCCGCCGATGAGCATTTTGTTTTCGAGGCTGCTCTCAGAGTCCCCTTTTTCACACTGCTCTGGCTGACAAAGCAGGGACATGCTGCTTTGGTTGCTGTTCGTCGTGTTTGTGGTTCTCAAGGGTTAATCGGGCCATTTCAGAGGCTGTCACATGCAAACTGATTTCGATTGGAGAGAGAACAAAGGGTGGGGTAGGAAAAGCCGCCCGAGAGCCGGTACATGCGCAGAGAGGGAAAGGTACATACCATTCCGCTATGCCGAGGATGGCGGATGGCCTTTCCATCAATCTGTCCACCAACGTCGTGGACGGAAGCCAAATTACCTTCTGGCAGCGTTACACCAGACACTTCGACAGCTGCGAGTGGAGTCTTCTGCGAGCCCCCCAGGCTAGCAAAGGCCATCCGGAACCGATTTTCTCAACATCTTCTCGAAGACGCCCATCTGAAAGATTGATGTGAACAGCCAGCCATCCATGCAGGCCCTGTTGTAGAGGTACCGTTGCCTCACCGGTGAAAGGAAACAGGACGGCGAAACCAGGGCACAAATGCAACGCAGTCTCCTCCCCGATGGGAGTTGTCGACAGTACAACCACGTACCTAGTGTCTATACCGCTGCCACGCACTGGCCACCCCCAGACCACTCTAACCACCAACTTAGATTGAATGTTCGGCTCGCGGGCGGGCTCAAGACGACGGCTCGAGGGCAGGCAAGCCAACTCGCAATTCTACCCCCACCCACACTTGTGTACACTACTCTTCGGTTCTCACCAAGTGAACAGAACATCCAATCACCATGTTCATCTATGTACTCCAACCCCAAAGCTCGCCAGGGGAACCGCACCCACCACCTCCACCTTGGCCGAAATGAGTGTGATTGCGACCCGACATGGGTTGGAGCACGCCCGGTTGACGGCGACCTCCACGAGTTCCAATGCAAGAAATGCCGGAAGAAATGTTCTTCTGCAAAAGCAAAGAGGAAACGCGGAGGGGACTTGATTCCCAAGACATGACGTAAGTCATGTTGTACGAGATTGTTATCCTGAATTGGTATCGCCAGTGTGTTTAACTTGACCCAAGCGGGCTGTTACAGTCCCAACTCATAAAAGAGAGGCGCTGTCGCATAGCACACGCAACGCACGCACTACCTGTCAATATCATACACTAAATTCAGACATTAGGTAAATTCCTCCATGGCATTGGTACACTTGGCGACTATTCCCGTCGCACGCAACCACAGCATGTACCCCAGGCTCGGGAATCCTGTAAGGCACAGGGCTGATGCTGCGGCCACCATGGATTAAGGTTTGGCATCACGGAGCCATATCCCAACTTTTCTCGGATCCTTAAATCACATTCCAAGCCCTTTGTAGAAACATCTCCGAGAAGGGGACCTTGAGAGGCTGAAGCATTACAACCTTGGGGCCACCGCAGGCCGTCGGGCAGCCAAGGAGGACGACAACAGCTTGAGCGGGAGCCGCGGGAGCCACCGACGCCAAGGCACTGTTTCCTTCGCCCGATTTCCTCTGGGCTTCCACGCAGGGGTTATGGAAGCTTCCAACTTCTGTCCAGCGGTCTTACTGCAGGAACCCCCCACGCATCCCAACATCGTCATATATGGGATATCGGTTGCATGAATATGAGCAATATCACCAATGATCAGGTTCACACGTGGGGGGTTCTTCCTCTCGTTTTTGTGAACAGGCGCGGCGGCGACGTACTCGATAGCTATAGGTATCAATCCGTAAAGCGCATCTATACGAGCACCCGCTTCGCCGCTCAAAAGGCACCGCCTCACGGCCGGGGTACAACTGTACGGATCTATATCAACGAGGTTTATATACATGGCCGTACCGCAACTGCCCCGTACTCATCCAAATAGGGGTAGCATGGCGCAACAAGGTAAGCAAGATCCAAGTGTTCGGAAACGCCGCGCGATAGAAGATCAAAAGTTGTACTATTCTAGGATGGAGAACTACCGGGTTCTAGGTTTCGCCATACTGTTCAAGTGAAAGAGGTACCTGTACAGCCACAGAAACCTGTCTGTGATAAACTCCAACACGCGGGTCATGTTAGGATTGATCAATGTTTAAATGCACATAGATGTCTTGACCTGCTCGGTGATATCCGGTCATCAATGCTTTCTTCGTCGCTTTCCACTGCAGTTGGAAGAGGCACAAAGGTTTTTCCAGGCAACACACTTCCTCTCCATGTTGGATGTAAGTAGGCTGACGAGGGCATATCTGGCGATAAAGGTTGAGGTGGGTTGACCCATTTTCATACGAATTGTCCTAAATTCTGGGTCAATATGGCAACACTTTGCTCGTGTCGTTTGAAACTCACTAGCGCCACCCTATCTTGATCTCGGAAGGCTCTGTGTCCCCCAGTGGGGCCCGCACTGGGCCTGGCGGGACGGCATGCCCCAGCACCTGCAGAGGCACCGCAACCTGCAATGCGGGGAACGAGACTGAACGAGACTGAACGGTTAGGTTGCTCTTGCTCGTTCACTGAACGTCATCCGCCCCTGCCGCCGTTCAACTCACGCGCACGGCAACGACAAACGTCGGTGAACTTGCCCGAAGCACCAACTCCAAATATTCGCCTAGCCTTGGCCGTCAACTGAGTGGCAACTTCCGTGAACCGCAACAAAACTTTCAACCACTTCGATCAGCCACCACATAGGGTTACCTCACCAGCCGTTTTTCGACACAACCTCTCAGCATGGCTAAATCGGATTTCGACAACGCCAATCCCACCGTCCTTAGTGTCTCACAACTGCCCAGCAGGAATCTAGCGAAGGGCCATGTGAGAAAGGGCCCGGATTCCAAATATGACCACATCTTGTTTCCAAAGCAGTGGTGGGCGGGGAGCTCCCTGAACAGTGACCCATCGGTGTGGACATCGGACGAAGATGAAGACGACGACTTGACTTTGGCGACAGAGGAACCCATTGACGAGCAGGAAATCTACGGTAAGAATTACGCCCCGTCAAGTTGCACGTGCATGGAAAGGTGCAGTCCATGTTTCAGCTGCCTGCCTCGGTCCTCTGTTCTATTTTTACATACTGGTGATCAGACAGCTGATGTCTTGTATTAGACCTGCTATCAACGATATCGGACCCTGAACATCCCGTCACCCTGGGCCAAATCGCCGTTGTCAGACTCGACGACATCCATCTCAGCCCGTCACCCGCCGAGCGTCTAGATCCAAACACCTTGACCAATGTCGAGGTCGACCTTACGCCCACAGTGAACCACTGTTCGCTGGCGACTGTCATTGGTCTTGCCGTGCGTGTCCGACTCGAGAACGCTCTGCCTCCCAACTACCGCATCATTGTCCGCATGAAGGATGGCTCTCATGCCCAGGATGACCAGGTGAACAAGCAGCTGGGAGACAAGGAGAGAGTTGCCGCTGCTTTGGAGAATGACACACTGAAGGGCATCATCGAGAAGATGTTGGAGACTTGCGTCTGAGCACAGTCCAGACATGGGAGCCCCAGAGGTGTCCATTTTCAGCAAATCATCATTCACGTTCCGATGGCTTTTTGGGCTTGACCGTACGCGGCGGTATATCGTGAGATTATATCAACAGGGTTGCCTTGTTGGTCACCGACGGCAACGCCATTCTAGGTACAACACCTCCTCGTCATGGGGCACACGCGTGGCTATCCGGTATGTGGGGAAGCCGTGGATGAATCGATATGACGATGCGAGACATCGGCCAATTCTGATACCTCCCGCCGCCTCTATTGATGTCCAAATTTCCCACCCAGGGCTGAGCATTCTTGTCTCCCATGCCAGGTCAGGGACACAGGGCCAGCAGCTATCCCAACCCAAGCATCGGGATTGCAAGCTCCAGGGGTTCAAACTTGAAAGGCTCGATGTCACCTGCCATTGCATCCCAATCTTGGGTGGCGGTCATGGACGGTTCATGCGGTGAAGCCCATGTCCCTGGCATTCTACCAAGGGCTTAGGTCAAGATTTTCTACGGCAGTTATATGATGATAGAAAAGGCACCGCATCTTACTTCTCTTTTGGTCCTCTTGCATAAACACAATCCTTACTCTTTGTGCGAATCTCACTTAGCGCCCACTCACACTGACGGAGTTGACTTGGTAATTACCGAGCTGACCCATCCACCTAAATACATACAACAGAATCAACAAAGGTTCGGGAGTTACTTTTCAGGGGTGAATGATGATTTTTGGTTCTGTGATAGGAAGGTCGAAGGGGTTACTGTCGAAACACCCCGCCTACTTCCCCCGACACCCGGGATCTACCACAAATGGTTCATCCAACCCATGGCTCATGTAATCGAGTGTCGAGGATGCGGACGTTAGGGACCCCGCTTTCCGTTGATCGACGGAACCCATGTGCTTTATGAACTGATCTACATGATGTGGACAGAGCCCGCTCAAAAGTTGACGAATTCAAGAGGCTAGTTGCTATGATTCGCATTCGGGTCCTCTAGTCAAGTGGGTAGGGAAGTATGGAACAGAGCCCTCCGATGCCTCTCACAACTTCAAAAGAGCGTGGGGAAATTCAAGGCATCTTGATCCTACCCTCACAAGTCTCGTCGAGTGTGTTTCCAGACCACCACGCCAAGCCCAACACAGAAAGTCTCAACACTTCAACACAGCCGACGTTTCAAACGTGACTTTAAACTTCCTGTTCCCAGTTTGGGATCTAGACCTTTGCGACACAAAGAGGACTAAGTGTGATTACGTTACTAGCTGTTCCTGCTATTGTGCACTACCTTCAGGTGGACTAGTGCCGTGAGCTGCCAGTGGCCGTTGAGTCCTTTCCTTTCTAGTTAATGATTGACATATTCTATCGCCTTTCAGGGACACTTAAACGAAACCAGGAGATCGTACTTTTGAGCAAGTTGTACACCTTCAGTGAAAGTCACCGAAGTCACCACATCCAGTCCACACACACTATACTCGATACAGCCTGTAGTGTGGTGTACAAGAGCCAGGTGGATAAGTTCAATATCCCATCATGGGCCCTAATGTGGCTCACGGGGGTGGGTTTCGCCCCATCAGCATCCCCATCAGCATCCTCGCTCCCACCAAGCACCAACAAGCCTCCATCGAGTCCATCCTGTCAGCCTGTCGAGCCTGTTCGCTTCATCTTCAAGAGTTTCCCCATGTCCATCCATGCTCCATGCAACCAGGCCTTTCCCTGAAAGATGCCCGGCCCAAAATCGCCATCCATCATTCACTTTCTTCAATTTTGAGCCAAAACTACATGATTATCAAACGATCAGCAAATGCTGCGCGCAAAATTGATGTATCTTACCGTACCGGGCCGGCCCGGGAAAGCGCGAACCCCCCCCTCCCCTCCCCTCCCCTCCTTCCTTCCTTCCTTCCTTCCCCCCAAAGCCGCGAAAACTTAAACCTGGCAGGCCGGCACTAGGTTTCCAATTCCGCTGCCCACTGCCCACATCTTTGAAAGTTCAACCGAGGGAAATTTGAGATGGGTCTGAGAGAGGCCGGGGCCTGAGAGGGCATATCCATTCATCCGCTCTGGGCCACGATATGCCCACCCACGAAGTCAGGGACACATTTTAGCTACAGTAGCTAGTATATAGTATCGAGCAAATTCGAAGGACAACTAAACTAATCTTCCGGTCTTCCCTGAACTCACGCCGTAGTGTACATACATTACTCCATACCAAGCACGCTAGATGAAGAAAATGAGAGAGAACGCGCGGCACCAAAAAAACTGGTGTGGTCATTTTCCAAGGAAGGAACTATTGACGGATCTGTCCGTTTACTTTTTTCTTAACCGACATTGTTAAGTGTTTCGGTGATGCACATATGTGGCCCCTATCACAATTGCATAAGTTAGGGTTGTGAGTTGTGGCGAGGTTTCTTTGTAATATTCATCTTTACCGTTCTTCACAGCATGTGAAGGGAACTGTTTCATTGCTTTACTCTAGTTGGAGCACTTCATCATCAATTTCATGAGTGATGAGATCTTTCGTGATCATCTATCTACCTTGACATTGAATTGAACGTATATCTTTCTTTGCTTTTTCATTCCCAGTAAAAGTTTTCTCTTTAAAATGGAACCACACGAACGCCCCCCTTCCACCGGGAATGCCTAGACTACCTCTACCCAGGAATTACATAAACGACAAGAAAAAGCTGACAAGCCACCTTCGTCACCTACCATCCATTTTTATCTGGGCGCCTCATGGCCTCATGCCCTCATGGCCTCATGGCCTCATGCTTCACCCAGAGTACCGCTCTCTATCAAGCTCTGGTAAAACTCGGGCTCCAAAAACTTGGCCACGCTGACATCCTCGCTCAAACCCTTGCGCCGCCTCGTCTTGAGCACAAAGTCTCTCGCCGTCGCCTGCGCGTTAGCCATCTGCAGAGGACGGAGGACAATGTCCTTATCGAGCGGATCACCGGGAACAATGTTCCACCTGTCGAACACCAGACTGACCATGGCCTGGCCGGGCGTGTTGATCCTCAGATCGGTCTCGAAGCCGAAACTGTCGATGACGGGCAGCAGGCCGTTGACGCGGTAGAGCGGGGTGCCGGCAATGGGACCGTCGGAGAGGACGTGGCCGCGACGGCGGGCCAGGATGTTGTAAACGGTGCTGACGGTGTCTTGGGGACCGGTCATGGAGACCGAGTACATGGGCTCCATCAGGCGAGGCGAGGCCATCAGGAACGAACTGTAGCAGGCGCGGCGGGCAGTGGGGATGATCTGACCACCGCCCCGGAAGATGGCCTCCTGGGCAAGCGATACGTCGATGAGTCGGAACTTGGTATTGCGTATTGCTGGTTTCACAGAAACAGGTTAGCACCTAGTAGATGTGTGAGGGGGGAAACGTGAATGGCGTGGGAGAGGCATCTCCAGAAGCGTGACCGAGCAGCTCTCGTGAGCCCGGAACCGCTGAGCCAACGTTGGCCGAGGTGGTATCTGGAAGGTGCCTCATCGTTGCAGTTTGCAATCTTTGGGGACTCCCCCCGCCTGTGAACGCCCAGACCCTCCTTTTGACCGGGGCATCATGCATTGGCAAGAAAAGGGACCAGAACATGGGGTGAAAGCTGCACATGCAACAATACCCTGCTTTGGAACCTCCTTCCCAGCTGCCACTTTAAGCAGGTCACTGGGGCCCCCATACTGCAGGTCCTTCACTGATGGTGTCAAGTGCGGCCAAAACTGTAGCCGCTAGGGGGTGTGACTGCATAGGCACGCAGCAGTCGAATGCAAGACGCTCAAAGAAGGAAAGAAATAACTTACGCTCTTCGCAAAGCGGGCCTTCCCGGACTGCCCAGTTGAATCCTTGTTTGATGGACTCCTTGACAGTGTTAAGCCGCTTCTTGTCAACCTGTTCATCGTGTTAGTCGCAGTGGTAGACGGCCCGATTCTGACGATCACGGCAAGCAATGGGGTAAGACGGAAACTAGTGTCCCGACTATGGAAAAGAAACTCGTAACTGACCTCTGATGGCAAGGTGTCGTCCTGCAAGATGTTGGGTCCCATCTCGTCTGGACCGAAAGCCCAGATACTCCTGGCTGCGAGGAGATCCCAGCCATACTTTTCCTCGAAGAACTTGGCGATCTTTCGTACAGGATCCCGAATCCTGACCGCTCCGGACTCGATGTCTTGCGCGATGCCATCCTCCAATGGCTCCGCCACCATGGTAATGGTGTTCTTCTTGTTTGGCGTAATGGCGTAACATTTGGTTGCGGACATGTCCTGTACCGTCTCGCAGAATCGTACCACAGGATCCGATACCCTGACCTCCATATCGGCATAAAGACGGCGTAGGTCATGCAATACGCAATCCATGTATAGCTCGCCAGTTCCAAGAATAATATGCTCTCCCGATTCCTCCACCTTGGTGGTAACCAGGGGGTAGCTCTTGTTGATTTTCCTGATGCCGTCAAGCATCTTGGGTAGTTCGGACGGGTTGATGGGCTCGACAGCAACCTTAAGGACGGACTGGGTGAAGTGCGAAATAGGCTTGAAGATGTAGGCGTCCTCATCATCCTCAAACTTCTTCTCCACAATAGTGGCAGTCTTCACGATCGAGTTGTCCACGCCACCCAACAGAACCCAGTTACCAGCGGGCACGCCGTCCGTTGGGATGTTGTATCGTGTTTCGGCGATGAAGACATCGGATATCCTCGCCATGGCCATATCTTCTTCGTCGTCGATGGAATAACCCTCGCCAAGCACGCGGACCTCTGTGCCAGGGCGCGCAATACCGCTCATCACACGGCCAAACGAATAGAAGCTCTTCGCATCGGGAGCGCTGAACAGCTTCGACACGTACAACACAAGCGGGCCGTTTTGGTCGCAGTTCAGCATAGATTCAGCAACCTTGGTGTCCAGAGGGCCTGTGTAGTACTGTTCGAGCTTTTGCTTTGCAGCCTCAGCCGGTGATGGTATATGCTGACAGACCATGTCCACGAACCCGGTAGATGGTCCAAAGAACTGCTCGCAAA